TTCCGTACAGGTTGTCCTGACGGGTGTGTATAGTTATACCGCCATTGCTCGGTCGCCATTGCCCCGTTCGTTCTCTAGCAGGGAGCACCACGGCACCCTGTTGGTCGCCGCCGCCATCCGGCGCGTGCAGGTGGGGTTGACAATAGGGCCGGTGAAGGTAGCATTCGATCTCCCCTTACTCCCCCAATATATTTACATTACATTATACTGTTTGATTGCTTCCTTGAGTTTCACTTTAATTGTCCTAATATTGTATTTAGAGGGTACCTACGTTTTGGGTATTAATAAATTGTTAAAGAATGTTACTTAATATCCCATGTGAGTAATTGTTATTCTCTTAACACTAATTCACTTCTTGTTCCTAAAAATAAAATATTTCCTAAAATTTTTAACTCAATTTTATTCCTTCATCGCGGAAGTCGTCCGTCGTCACACGAGTTAAGTACGTGGTTCATTACAAAAAATTCTACCTGTCTGCGGGATTCGAACATTGGCACAGTTGCATCGCTCGTTAGATCCGGCTGTCTTATCTTTTAGGCCACGACGACTTCAACACATTCCAACGTACGCATTTCCTAAGACGAGTGATTGTGAACGATCATTTGTTTTAATTAAGACCCCTAATACCCAACCGAGGACGCAGTCCCACGAGATGATCGGACCAAATTCGGTGTTGTCTGAATATCAAGCTCCACGAGGCCAAGGATCACAGCAGATGAAGAACAATCGTACAAGAGTTATAGATGTAGAGGGGAGTCACGACCCTCAGTAATGAGGAGGACGACGCAAGGAGGTATACCCAACCACTTAGAATGTTTTGTTACTGGAATCTCGGTTATAGTTTTAGATAATAATAGCCTATTTGAATTCCAAGTAAAACGCGTGCTTTGACCGGCTAAGTCGTTAGCGTCGAACGATTTTAACACGTATTAATTAAGCGCTATCGATTGTTTAATTACAAAAAAAAAATATTTCTCAAGGAACCAACGTGACGCTTAGGCCAATCAAAACATAATATTCAATTGGATAATTTCATTGAACTACAAATTGTTTGGACATACTAGTAGACATTGTTGACAAGGCTGTCGTGGCCTAAAGGATAAGACGTCCGGTGCGTTCGTATCTTGCGATGCAACAGTGTTTAGGCAAAATATTTATAGCTACTGATACCAAGTACCCCACGCTTTTTTTACAATAAAATCATTTTTTCTTACACTATTTTTAATTCAAATTTATTAACTTTATTTTCAATTTTTTCGTTGGATTTTCAATAAAAGCGTATTTCGTTAGTTTTTTTAAACTATTATTTATTTTTTGGTTGAATTTCAATTTGTTTAAATTTTTTTTTCATTTTTTTTTAAATAGAATTAATTGTCATCGGTTCGTAATAAGTATACCAAATTTCCAGTTAATCCGACGTTTTGAAGGGGCTCAAAATCCTATTCAAAGATTCCGTTACAAACATACATACGTCTGAAGCTAATAAATGCGTATTAATAAAAAACACATACGCCGCTAAAAATATACTTTTAACAAATTCGCATCTCGTTACGTGAAATGTCACATTTCGCTAGGGAACCATCAATTTAGCTCCGAAGGCTTCATTTCACTGCGGTGTCCGCCTAACGAGAGGCATTCACGTCGGTCGGTCAAAGCAAGTCGGCTAGCGGGGAAAAAAGAGATCGATAGAGATGTTCCCGTAATTCGAGATACATTTTCCATACATAATTTTCGTATCTTTTTTTTCCTACCTTTTTTTTATTGCTTAGTTGGGTGGACGAGCTCACAGCCCACCTGGTGTTAAGTGGTTAATGCGGCCCATAGATATCTACAACGTAAATGCGCCACACACCTTGAGATAAGTTCTAAGGTCTCAGTATAGTTACAACGGCTGCCCCACCCTTCGAACCGAAACGCATTTCTGCTTCACGGTAGAAATAGGCGGGGTGGTGGTACCTACCCGTGCGGACTCACAACGTTTACGTTGTAGATGTCTATGGGCTCCGGTAACCGCTTAACACCAGGTGGGCCGTGAGCTCGTCCATCCACCTAAGTAATAAAAACAAAAAAAAAAAACGACTGAGCATGTTTCGGACGGCCGCGGCTTTGCAATGACCCGTCGCCTGGATGAGATAAGTAAATCACGAATACTTTGAGCATACGCCCCTAGGTAAAACAGCATCGGTAACTTCTAATATATAATATACGTATATAATAATGTTTTTTTCGTTCGTGATTTGTACAATCGCGTGTTTTTTATCAGATTGAGTTGAAACTGGACAATCAAAAAACTTTGCCACTTATGGGAACTTATTTTTCCCATTACGATCCATTTACGACATATTATGCAATTCTTAAATTTAGCAAGCGGACGCGGCTAGGCGTTCACTAGTTTTTATAGTTTAATTCGATTCACACAACCTTCTGCGTACATTAAAAACTGTAATTAATTTTAAACAAGTACCTCTATTTCATTCATCCTTCTATGCGTGAACAGAACTTGCTTAAAGATTGTTTACGTTAAAAGTCCTCATGACAAACAAACTACATACTTTGATATGTATTAAAAAGATACTTAGAAATTAAAAAAAAAAAACATTTTTTTTATTGCTTAGATGGGTGGACGAGCTCACAGCCCACTTGGTGTTAAGTGGTTACTAAAGCCCATAAACATCTATAACGTAAATGCCGCCACCCATCTTGAGATATAAGTTCTAAGGTCTCAGTCTAGTTACAACGGCTGCCTCGTCCTTCAAACCGAAACGCATTACTGCTTCACGGCAGAAATATGCAGGGCGGTGGTACCTACCCGTGTGGACTCACAAGACGTCCTACGTAAACTGGTAAAAGCGGCTGGTTTAAGCCAAATAGCCATTCACTCGTCGATATAACGACTATTCCGCTGATCAAAAGCTTCACGGCAGTTACAACATTAATTGAGTGTAGACGAACGAAATGTCTATGAAATTTATAGACGCTTCAGCGTACATTTTAACGGCTACCTAGATGTGCAAGATCCATGTTTCAATGGGACGGAAAACCTGAGTTTTAAGCGTAATATCCCATTGCTTTCAATGTACTTCGTAGTTTTTGGTTTAATTTTAATTTACGATAGATCGTAGAATTTTGTATTCACAACACAATCAACGGAACTGAACAATCTATCTATACTTCTATACTAATCTATACTAGTCTATACTAATGTTATAATCTATACTTAATAAAATATTATAAAGAGGAAAGATTTGTTTGTTTGTTTGTATTGAATAGGCTCCGAAACTGCTGAACCAATTTGAAAAATTCTTTCACTGTTCTTTCAGCTACACTATTCCCGAGTGGCATAGGTTATATACTTTTTTGAAAAAAATTTAGGGATCCTTACTAAAACTCCAATAATATAACCCAAGGTGTAACAAATTACCTAAAATATTCTTTACATCACGTGCCCTGCGAAAACTATTGATTATAGAATAAAATAACGTACTACGACTTTGTACAACACTTTATATTTACAAAAAGTTTCGCGACAGCATGTCTACCTATTATAGTTATGCCGCAATAAGTGTTTTTTTATTTAAAAAAATAAAACTACGTCATATATCGTTGAAACTTTTGTTAAAGACCCGAGCGGAGCCGGAGCGGCCCGCTAGTATTATAATAATTTACTTATGTCTTACTTAACTACTTACTAACTTATGTCTAATAGAAATTTGTACAAATACAATTTACATTTAACTTATTACGTATGTATTTGTGTGTGTGTGACATGCAGAAGTGTGCGTTACGAATTTGAAATTGTCATGTTATATTTTTTTATTCAAACGTTGCTTGAAATTGTACAACAATATTTTTCCTGTTGTAATCTATGTTCATGTAACAGTTATTTGGAGATTCCCTTTCGAACTTCATTTGCATTGTTTTGTTGTACAATAAAGAATAACTTACTCTACTATTTTTCAAACGCGGTATGCTTTGTTTTTCCCTAACCTATGCTGATAGCCTTGAGAGGTTATATCAGCTTCTCCTTGACGTGTAGATGAGCTCACGGGGCTCTAATCAGTTCTGTTGCTAATACTGGCCCTAGCAAGGGCTGTGCTTACCAGAATCTACCACCGGATCGGAAACGCGACCCACTGAGAAGCGCGGTATATGAAACCAGGGTATCGATATTCCAGCCCGAAAATCCTTTTCCAGTCTTCATTGTTTATTTAAGAAAACATAATACAGTTCGTACAAAGGGGAATCGTACAGTTAGCAATGATATTAATACATTTTCTGCGAAATAATAACATTTAATTTATGGTAATAAGACGAAACATCCGTTCTGGACTCCGATAATTCAGTTTATGTAGGTAGGTAGCGAGTAAACTTATCACACATGTACGTTTATTTGCATGTCCAAAAATACATTTTCAATTGGAACTGTCGTTTATCGATTACGAAAAGCATTAAAAATGAGAAACAACTAATGACACGTTAATTAGATTGTAATAGATGTCAGAATGTAGGTGATTCAAACGGAGTCTCGTACACAGATTCGACCGCGGAACAAAGTAAACATATTATTTTATCGTTGGCACAGATTCGGCCATGTTAATACACGCGACCATACAAGATAAATTTTGTTGTTAAAAATTACTTTCTACTAGTCGAGAGTGTTCCATATTTAGTCGACTGTGCGTTCTTGCTTCGTGTTTTTGTTGCTATGCGGGAGTACATGGCAGTCGACCGCGGCCTTCGAAGACCACAACATAAATAAATGCCAATGGAACTATGAACGCTGCATAACTTCGCTAACACAGCCATCAACATACAGGCGCGATTTCTGCTGCATAATTTTTCAAGGGCATTCAAAACGACGAAGCGTATGCCCCGCGTCGGGAGGCCCAGCCGTTCCAAATCAAATCATGAATGAAAACAATAACGAGAAACAACGAAAAACCACTTATCCGAACATTGAATAGCACTAAATTAACACAGAAATAAAAGAAAATACTTACAAACTGCTCAGCCCCGATACGTGTATCACATACATGACGTCATTTGACGCAACACAAACGCGAAATATTGAGCAAAATGTATTGTAACCGCTCCGTTAACAACACCGACATGTAAAAAACACTACACTTTATTAAATACAATAATAACTTTAAGTCAACCTGTCGGCTTAGGACATTTTACAATATTTATTTGTTGTCACCGACTGAGTTTTGACAAGATGGTCGCGCACCGACTGTTTTGCTTTGGTTGTCAGCTGATACGAAACACTGATGTAATTGAATAGGAACAGAGGATTTTTTTTCCTTTTCACGCACAAGATAGCACCACCGTGCAAAGAGCGAGGCAGCTATAGTATTTCAGCTTAGATAAAATAGTAAGTACGCCAAACGTCATTTTCTTGTTGCATTATTTTTGCAAAGGAAAAGTCGCAAATAAATCTATTTAATTGAACTGATGAATTGAAAAGTTAATCTCTGTGGGTGAGAACATGTTTTTATTTCACCATAACACGTAATCATTTGTCAATTAGCTATATTTGGGCGTAACACAGTTTTTGTTTGTTTCCATCTAGTGCTGCCACCTGTGATCGAGTAGTGGTAGCTTGAACACGTGAACTTTTCAAGGTCGAAGTTTCAACACGAGAGTGTCTTGAAAATCGTTTTCTAGTCTAAGTTCATATTAGTTCCATATTTTTTTGGATCTTTTTTAATTGGAGTAATCATCATTATAAGCGTGTAAGTATTTTGTCTCTTAATAGAATAATGTTTACAATTTTCGTTAACCCCTACCTAAAACTTGTCTTGTTAGTACGTTTATGTATAAATAGATGGCGCTCTCATAAAAGCTGTCATTTGTATTTCGCAACGTATGTCTAGAAACAATAAGCATTCTGTTATCTTTATTGAAATTATTATATTTTAGAGCAAATGACAATAAAGGAAACAAAGTTCCACGAGTGAGGAATTATTTTTAAAAGCATTCTACGAATTGATAATAAACTGAATACCAACTTTTAACAATTAGGTTCCTTATTTTGTAGTTTTTTTTTACAGCTACTAATTTGGAAACAATGTTAATCGGTATTTCTGACTCGTCAGTTATCAGACATTATTAGCTATACTGCCTTAGTATATGAAGCATTGTTGATACTACAAAGTACACTAGACGAATGAGTGACCAGGTATGGCTGCTTCGGGAGGTACCTGTGGAAGGTCTGTAGGAGAGAGCCTCATCAGGGTAGCCACCAGTGCAGGCATCCGCACGATGACGCTTAGCACGCGCTCGAAGCGTGTCCGCGTTGTAAGCACTCGCGGTGAGATCTCATCGCGGTGCTGGGGAGGGACATCTCCTTGTGGGCTGTCGTCACTTGCATGTTAGAGGACCAAAGTTCATGGGAATCAGGCCAGGTTTTGCGACCTGGTCATGGTGTTTCGTGAGGCTGAGGAACGCGAAAGGAGTGGAATCCCTCTTCGGCTCCTCAGCGAAGAGAGGGGGGGGGGCGCTGTCACGAAACCAGGGCCGCGCCGACCCTCGGCAGTGCCTGTGTGCGAAACCCATGATGCGCCTCCTATTTTTACGAATCTTCATATGTGTCAATGTATTTTTTTTATTTTGACTTGTTGTTTTGACGTAAATCTTGGGAAACTTGTATTTGAAGAAATGTATTATATGTTTTGTTATTTACAAGGCATACCACCTAGGAGGTCCTACCACCAGAAAAGTTGGAAAGTAAAATTTTAAGGTGGGTGGCGCATTTACATTTTAGATGTCTATGGGCTCCAGTAACCACTTAACACCAGGTGGGCTGTGAGCTCGTCAACCCATCTAAACAATAAATAAAAAAAGCAATAAAAAAATATATTTGAAAGTCTAATGAACTGTGTCGTTGAAGTTCGCATATTTAATATTAATACGCTTTTATTAGCTTCAAACGTATGTTAGTATCTATGTAAATGATTTTTTTTTAAATATTGTAAAAAAAGCACGGCGTGTTTTTAAAAAAAAAAAAATTAAATAATAATCCTTCTACTAATATCTGTTTTTTTTTACAACTATTATTTAGTATTAAGTAATGTTGATTTTGTAGTAATGTAGTTAATAACATGGCTCGCTGGTACCACCGCTCCCTTGGTTTCTATCCCGAAGGTGTCATATATCAGTTGTCAATTTAGAGGATGTCCGTCACCGTCTGCGCCGAACCCGTCGCTGGCGACGAAGGGCTCGACAAGTAAATTAACCCACAGACACAACCCACTGAGTTTCTCGCCGAATCTTATCAATAGGTCACGTTTCCGACCCGGTGGTAGATTCTGCGAAGCACTGCTCTTGCTAGGGCCCGTGTTTGCAACACAACGGTTTGAGCCCCGTGAGCTCAACTACACGTCAAGGAGAAGCTGAAATAGCCTCTCAAGGCTATCAGCACAGGTGGAGAAAAAAAGGAGGATGTGAAGACTGATGTATAATAAAGTCGAGACTACGACCTGATGTCTCTGGGGGTGTGGCGGCAATCAGCTTGTAGCGTCCACGGACTTTGTTAACTGTTTTATAATAGACCAAGAGCATCTGCATATTTAGGTTAACAACGATAAAGTATGTGGCAACACTCAGGGAATACTGTGAACAGTTTTTTTTTTAATTTTATGCCCTGGTTAACCCAACTGCAGAATTACGTTCCGGGGTTGCAAGATAAAAATAAAACATTTTCCACAGAATTATCTTATTTCAAACATCAATTTCAACACACATTTTACACTTAGCATTATATATTTATGTACAAATTAAATGTAAACAAATAGGCATTATATAATACAGCGCTGACAGTTTTGGAAGAAGCTGGTTCGTAATTACCAAGTAATAGTTATATAGTGCTTTGTGTCTACCTTGACATGGTTTAAATTCCTAGAATAAATTATAACAAATGGTGATTTTCATTTAACTATCACACGCATATTGGTCGAATTTCAGCTTAAGCATGTAAAGATAAAAAAAATTTTTTGCTATTGTAAAAATAAAAGTGTAAAAAAAAGTGTTAACCGTTTTGTCTTCGCATGTACACGTAAAACGATTCTATGTTCAAAATATTTCAGTAAAAGTATTTTAGACTATTTTTGTTCGCACTCTCGTGTTTATCGTTAAGAGTAGAAAATATGATCATTTTGGCATATGACGTCACCTTTAGGACTTGGATGTGTCAGATGTTCTCTTTCCTCCCCACTTTTTAAGCATCTAAAACACTGTACTGTAAAACTGAAACCTTAGAACTCATAATAATATCTCCAAGTAGGTGGTGGTATTTAGGTACGTTGTAGATGTCTATGGGCTCCGGTAATCACTTAACATCAGATGGGGCGTGAGCTCTTCCACCAGGTGGCTAGCAATAAAAAAAAAACTAATATTAAATCTAAACATCGGTGAAGTCATCAAATTTATAAGTTACTGTTTTAAATTATTTTTGATTCAAATAATATCTTCTTGTTCTTGATTTTATCCCGAAATATGGGTGGGTGGTTAGCTTTTGCGGCAGTTTGTCCCTTTATCATGCTGTATAAGAATTTGGCATGAGTTTTATGACTAGCTGCTTGGCTAATGTAAGCTCTCCTTGGGTTATATCTCCAGTTGAATATCCATTACAACGTGCTATAGGGAGATTTTCTTCTGTTCTTATTTCTAGTACATCTCCTTTTTAGATTCTATATTATTATATAAATATAATTCTAACATTTTGATTAAAATAAAAAATCATTCAAATCAAAGTCATTAAAATACATCACATCTCTAAATGCAATTACGGGTCAAACTTTTTTATTTTATTGCTTAGATAGGTGGACGAGCTCACAGCCCACCTGGTGTTAAGTGGTTACTGGAGCCCATACACATCTACGACGTAAATGCGCCACCCACCTTGAGATATAAGTTCTAAGGTCTCAGTATAGTTACAACGGCTGCCCCACCCTTCAAACCGAAACGCATTACCGCTTCACGGCAGAAATAGGCAGGGCGGTGGTACCGACCCGTGCGCACTCACAAGAGGTCCCACCACCAGTAAAACTAAATGTAATTACGGCCCGTATAGTTTATTAGGCCGGAAGACTCAGTCAATAGGAACGTTCTGGTACTTGGTAATTGTCGAACAGCTTCTATAAATATGAACTGAAAAGGGCTTCATCTAATTATGTTTACATTACAAATGGATCACAACCATTTTCTAGGGGTGTTCAGTTTCTGAACGTCAAAATGTCAGCCAGCGACCTCCGCCATGACAACAATTCCCCTTTAAACCCAGCCGCAAAGAACAACGCATCAATGTTATATTTCTCTTATATATTAAGTATTTAATTTGTTATATAAAGGTACAATAAATATCTCAAAACAATAAATGCAGTCCACGATCAAATACCACAACGCAAGAAGGGAAATGGGATCGTAAAAAACCTTTCCAACATCGCAGGCGCGTCCACCAGAGTGACAGCCTGGAATGGGTCCCCACTAATTTCCCATTCCTACCTCGTACCATGCGGCTAATGGTACGATCCCCAGTTTTCTCAGCGACATTACGTGTCTTTATTTAAAGTTTTGGGCGTAGTCTAATGAGGTTTTAAGAACTCTATATAGTTGACGTTTAATAATCTCCCTTTATGGGGGTTAGGACAGGAGTCACGCACCAGAAATTTGAGATATTGACTATGTTAATGTTTACCCTAGGGATACACCTGGGAAATTGGGAATAGAACAAATGTGATGGCAACCAAACTGGCTATGATGACTGCAACAGGTTACTTGAACTATTCAAAAATATATCCATAGTTAATAATGTGGACGCGTGTTGAAGTGAAGTTTTTATTAAAGTGAAACTTCTTTAGGTGCGTTGAGAGTAAAATTTAACTCGCAACAGATTCGTGACGACTAGAGAGAAAATATATAATTTAGGACAAGCGAGAGTGAGAAAATAGACAGAGCGTCTCGCGAACCACTCGACCGACCGATTCGTCTTTCCCAGAGTCTACTAGATAGTCCGGCGCCTTAGTAACAGAAATCGACATAATCACTTCATTGCGCCGCGTAGGGCATCGATGACCTACACGGCGGTCAAAGGGTTTGTGTGTGTGTGTGCAAGTCACACACGGTAGAAGTGAAACTTATAAATAAGATATAGATATACTGACTAACCTAACTACACAGGAGCATACATATGGACAATGTTTAGTAGACGACAGTGGGGATGCTACGAAGAGTCGCACAAAGAGGATACCGAGAACGGCTAATGTGTTCTATCTCATTATACATTATACATTTATGTGTTTTTGTCTCTGTGGACTTATTTTTTCGTTTCATCGAGTTTCAAATCACAACGATTCTAAAGAAGTTTCACTTCAAAAATATATCGGTAGACAAAAATGGCAATAACAGTTTAGTCATAACTATTTATATATATTTGGATTCGTTACCTATACAAATACTTATATGCTATTAACATTAACATTAACATTTATTTACAGCTTAATTACAATGAAAACACTTAATGTTTTTACACATAAACTTCTCAACTGAGTCCAACGTTACTCGTAAACTATATAATAGTCTCCGGGCTAGGTGGTGCAATGCAGGATCTTCCTGAAAGCCTTCCTGAATTCCGGGTTGAAGATCGTGTAGATGACCGGGTTGAGGAACGAGTTGATGTACCCGAGCCACGTTGTCAGAATGAAGACCGTCACTCCAGGGGAGAAAGGGAGATCGAATTTCGTACAGAGAGCGTCCAGGACGGAGCACGTGAAGAATGGTGCCCAGCAGAATAAGAAGACTCCTGGTAAATCATAAGGATATTTAGTACAAGCGGCCTGCTCCGGCTCCGCTCGGGCCTTTAACAAAAATTTCAACGATATTTGACATTGTTTTATTTTTTAAAAATAAAATAACACTTATTGCGGCATAACTACACTAGTTTTACACATGCGACACTTTTTGTAAATAATAATGTGTTCTACAAAGTCGTACTACATTATTTTAGTCTATCATCAAAAGTTTTCGCAGGGCACGTGATGTAAAGAATATGTTAGGGGTTTTTTTTGGGTTACATTATTTTTTTTCAAAAGATTATAGCAATTATTTCAAAAAAAAATTATTTCAAAAGATACAGGATTATAGCCTATGTCACTCGGGAATAGTGTAGTTTCCAAACAGTGAAAGAATTTTTCAAATCGGTTCAGTAGTTTCGGTGCCTATTCAATAAAGAGACAAACAAACAAATCTTTCCTCTTTAATAATATTAGTATAGATAATAATAATAATATTAGTATAACTAACATAAATCGAAAAAAAATCTAACAGTGAATTTGCAACATCGTTGCTTCTCCACGTCTGTAAACTTTTGGCGGGAACGCGTGGGTTTAAGTTATGTAAATTGTTTAATTTTGTGTGTCCTCAGATTCAAACTGGTAATAATGGTAACCTATTTAAGCGGTTAGCATCTGTGATAGTATCTAAGAGGACGTGACTTCCCGGGTTCTTTCAAAAATACTACCTCGGAGTAAAGTACATTTTGTTTGGAGCAGTATTTCTTTCACCCTCTTTTATTTCATATCGTTTGCTGTTCGTTAGTCTCGCTAAAACTCGAGAACGGCTGAACCGATTTGGCTAATTTTGGCCTTGAATTATTTGTGGAAGTTAAGAGAAGGTTTAAAAGGTAAAAGGTAAATATGAAAACGCTCGGAATTAAATAAAAATAACAATTTTGTTTTTCCTTTGATGCGTCCACCGTCGGACAGATTCTTTTTGTTTGTTTTAAGTTTATTTTATACAAAAGTTTAGGTCTTTTATTTATCGATTGAGGCACTACGAAATGTGCCGGATCAGCTAGTAATATATAAAAATCATTGACCGTCAGATGTTGTCAATAAGGAAGCTCACCTAAAACAATAGCTAAAGTTTGCGTTGCCTTCTTCTCTTTCTTGGCGAATGATTTGGCTCTTAGCTTCCCTGCTCTGTTCGCTCTGAAGATTGTAAATCTTGCAGCCGAAGCTGCGCTCCTAAACCGCCTCCGCGGCGTCGAGATCAAGGAGCTATTGCTGAGGCGACTCAGTTTCTTTCTGCAAACAATGCTTGGATAAAATGAGTACTTAAGTACCTATATCATAGTATTACGTTCGATTTTCTCAAGTAATAGAGTTAACTAGCCGTACTCGCTCGCTAGGCTCGCCGGTGGTAGGACCTCTTGTGAGTCCGCGCGGGTAGGAACCACCGCCTTGCCTATTTTTGCCGTGAAGCAGTAATGCGTTTCAGTCTGAAGGGTAGGGCAGCCGTTGTAACTATACTGAGATCTTAGAACCTATATCTCAAGGTGGGTGGCGCATTTACGTTATATATGTCTATGGGCTCCAGTAACCACTAAACACCAGGTGGGCTGTGAGCTCGTCTACCCATCTAAGCAATAAAAAAAATAAAAAAGAGGATTATAGAGAAATGATTAAGTATAGATTAGAAATATATTTACAGTTTGATCTAACGGCTTTATATTATCACTTATTATTATATTTCCCACGTTATTATATTTCGTAGCCACGTATCACGTATTTCGCGGCCACTCATGTAAATACATACATACATATATGTATTCTACGTTCTACCTATACACAAGGTAATATCGTATTAATTGAGTAAAAGATCGTACCGCTGTCAAGGATGTTGATGGTAAATAAGCAAATATAATACAACATAAATATAATAGATTATTCTAAATTTCTTTTTTGTAAAATTGTAGAATAATCTGAAGATAGAAGCTAATTTAAAAAAAAATTATAAGTGTATGAGCTGATTGTTTCTCTTTGACAAATAAGAATTTTGGATGGCGTCATTTTACAGCTTTATGTATCTGTTATTTGACGTACATGTAACAATATATGTATGAATGTTGTAAGGGAGTGTTAACAAATAATTTGCTGGAGGCGTAAACTTGAAAAAGTTTGATCAGAGGAACCAAACCAGCTTAAAACGAAAGTAAAATTTGATGATCTCGTGTAAAGTCAAAAGCTGGAAGTGTCCACTTCTATTAGGATCAACAATCCTAAACTTCTGCCGGATGTAATTACATTACGATAATTTCCCGGTGATTCCACGTTAATTACGAAACCCGGTAATTACTTTGTAAAATATAAAATTAGTTCCGGTGTTCAGTCAAAGGGTGACAGAAATTTTGACGAGAGCTTTAAATCTGTAGGTCCTTTCGAAGGTTGATTTAGAGTTTTTCCTATTCTATACGCATTGGATATGTACTATTAGAGAATACATAACAAATTCAGAAGAGGCTATATAAAGTTCAGTGTAGCGACTGTAATATGCGAACTGTGTTTATCCAAGAACGCCACACCTTTGAGACCGAACCCGCAACTAACAACACCCTAAGGCATCCCAAAAAGTTAAACAATATAAGTTTGAAATTTCCATAAACAAACTACCCACACTTGGGACATAAAATATCGGATACATCTTTGTTCGGGGGAGTGTACTGTGAAAATTATTTCTATCGGACTGCGAAAATGGAAAATGAAGTGGAATCTAAGCAAGATAATATACTCTAAGTGACCGTATTTTGATTGTTTTTTCAGTTAACCTATTAGCTTACTTTTAAGCTCTTTTTACCATCACCCTCCCCTTCGGGACCCTGGACCGGCGGTCATCGGCGCCACGACCACCAGCCCTCTCGGTCGGCAGGCTATCCGAAGCCCGCCTAGATGGCGCCGGTTAGAATAGGTTATCCTACGGAATACCCCGCTGGGTCAGAACCAGCGTGGGTCAAGGATAGCCGGCCTTCCATCACCCGGATGCTCTTACGTAAAACGCGTACAGAGCAGTTTGCATGTCGTATTCATAGGCCCTCTTCGCCGGTGCCCAGACCGACATGTGAGGGGGACCCGAAACACTTAGAGGGCCAGGGCTTGGGCGAGATCCACCTCCCTGGCCCCCGCTCGACGGCGGCGGGCTTGTGCGTCTCTCACGCGCCCCGTCGCCTTCTTCTGCGAGATGGTGCACTCGCAGAAGTCGAGCATCGCCTTCCACGACTCGTCGTCGCCGAGTATCGATGCCACAGCACTCGGTAACGACAAGTCGTTTCCTAACTAGGTGGACCTAGGAAAAACAAGTTTGTTAAGAAAGCAAGGTTTGAGAATACAAAGCCCATTATTTAGAATTATTCAGCCTTTTTAGGGTCAAACGCTAATGAGTTCTAATTCGAATGGATGGTCAGCAGTTCTCTCGCAAAATTACCTATCAAGAAGATTGATGATAGGTCGAACAAAAACCTTGTTTTTGCGGGTGATCTAATTTTGGCCGCGTGATATGTATGTTTAGAACAATAATCCTGCTTCTCTGAGATAGTTATTGGCTCTATTTTATGAATGGACCTAGGAATAGTTGCCGGAACCCATAGAATAGATGTGTAAGAGTCCCTTCAAACAACAAATTAGGTCAGTGTCAATTGTATTCGTATTCGTCGGCGAGGGTTTGATCCTCAAGAGTGAAGGTCATGGCTGCTACGCAGATTAGAGAGAATAGCGAGAGCTTCCCATGTAAGTTGAAAATATATATACCTATATATACTGGTGGTAGGACCTCTTGTGAGTCCGCGCGGGTAGGTGCCACCACCCCGCCTATTTCAGCCGTGAAGCAGTAATGCGTTACGGTGTAAAGGGTGGGGCACCCGTTGTAACTACTTATATACTTGAGACCTTAAAACTTATATCNTACGCAGATCAGAGAGAATAGCGAGAGCTTCCCATGTAAGTTGAAAATATATATACCTATATATACTGGTGGTAGGACCTCTTGTGAGTCCGCGCGGGTAGGTGCCACCACCCCGCCTATTTCAGCCGTGAAGCAGTAATGCGTTACGGTGTAAAGGGTGGGGCACCCGTTGTAACTACTTATATACTTGAGACCTTAAAACTTATATCTCAAGGTGGGTGACGCTTACGTTGTAGATGTCTATGGGCTCCAGTAACTACTTAACACCAGGTTGGCTTTGAGCCCGTCCACCCATCTAAGTAATAAAGATAAAAAAAAAACGTAATGTTCAATATGATCTATTAGTTAGTATAATCGCATCTCCAGTGGTGTTTTGTGAGCCCACAAGTATAGGTAATATCACCATGCTTAATTCTGCTGTGGAGAAGTAATTCGTTTCGGTTTGAATGGTGGGGGCTGCTGTAAAACTGAGACCTAGAACTGACGCCTCAAGGTAGGTGGCAACGTTTACTTCGTTTATGTCTATGGGCTTCAGTAAGCACTTAACACCAGGTGGGCCGTGAGCTCACCGATCGCAGCAATAAAAATCCTCATGTCATCATGTCATCTTCATAGCTACCAGTTAGCACATAACGGACAGTGGGATGTCAAAGAATCTGCTCACCTTAGTTCAGGTTTCTTAGTTTGATCCTCCTGAATCTTCTTCCCATCCTTGTGCGTGGGAGAAGCTGGTGGCGTATGCTCTTTGGTTTCTCCGTCGATGTTAGATGGAGCGTATCCCGAATCATTATTTGTGTTCGGGTCCACCATTGGAATCGGTGACGCGAGGTTTGCCATTATTCTAGAAATAGAAATAATAACATGTTTCTTGCTTTTTTTTATTGCCTTTGTAGGCAGACGAGCATACGGCCCACCTGATGGTAAGTGGTCACCGTCGCTCATGGACGTCAGCAATACCAGGGGCAGAGCCAACCAGCTAACCGCTGCCTACCATAAAAGCTGTTGGCTAGATGGCCTGAGTGACGTGAAGCAACCATGATAGCATACGGACGTACCATTATTAAATAGTACTTTCTAGTATACTAGCGACCCGCCTTCGCGTCGCTTCGGAAACTGTAATTTATTATTGATTTCTCCACTATTTAATGGATGTTATTATACATATAAACCTTCCTCTTCAATCACTCTATCTATTAAAAAAAACCGCATCAAAATCCGTTGCGTAGTTTTAAAGATTTAAGCATACATAGGGATATAGGGACAGAGAAAGCGACTTTGTTTTATATTATGTAGTGATACACATAATTATTCCACCAGTACGGTCACCAGTAGTATGCGTATAAAAGTTTTGATAAGTCACTCAAATTACCAAACTATGTAAGGAAAGACAAAAAATATATACGGGGGACCCAAAAGAAACCTTTAACACCTAAATAGAATATCGAGCTAGCTCTACGTATGCTGTTTGTTATTATACAAACAACCATGAGACACTGAAGTGAGTATATATAAATGTGCCTTTCAATAATATTTATTTAATAATTAGCTGACTCGGCAGACTTCGTAGTGCCTCAATCGATAAATAAAAGACCTAAGCTTTTGTATAAAATAAACTTACAGCAAACAAAAGGAATCCGTCCGACGGGGGACACATCAAAGGAAAAACAAAATTGTTATTTTCACTTTCACAAATAATTCAAGACCAAAATTAGCCATATCGGTCCAGCCGTTCTCGAGTTTTAGCGAGATTAACGAACAGCAATTAATTCATATATATTTATTCCATAACAATTTCGTTTGAATGTGACAATAAGCGAGTTAATTTTGTGTAGTTCAAACAAAACACTGATTTGGGCAATGGATCGTCGTTCACGGTGTGCTGATGTCCCTAATAGACGTGAAATTCTTTTTATTCACTCACTTGTGAACAAGCAGTTGTACGACAAAGGAACGGAGACATTACGTTTTCCAGAAAACACAATACTCTCACTCAACTAAAGTCCTTTCGGTACATTAAGCAGCAGATAGACATTTATCGGCCGACGGTCTTGTATGTATGTCAAACTTAATATTTGATGTCTTTTGAGTTTATAAATGAAGACTTATTATATAGTGAAGTTAGAAGAAGGAAAAAAGTTCAAGTCTTATTACCGATATATTTAGAAAGTAAAAGGTGTGCTCAGTGTTAAATCTTCAATGTTTTATATTAGATGATGTTTTGATTGGTGTAATAATAATGTATCTCATGGACCGTTTGATAGTGATTCTACTGACCTTTTACTTTATCTGGCTTTTTGATAAAAAATAGTTTTAATTAATAATAATAAAAAAGCCTTTTACTTCGTACAAGTGACATAAAGACAAAAATTAATGCAATGTGATCTATGCTATTAATTAAGTAATAAATAATTTGTTTGTTGAATAATATTATTTCCACTTGTAAGAACCCCTCCTCAGGTAAAGGCCTCCTCCAAGTATAGCCAATCTTCTCTAGATTGCGCAATTTTAATTGTAGACTAGAAAAGTAGTTTTTATTTTTATTTTTTATTGCTTAGATGGGTGCGCGAGCTCACAGCCCACCTGGTGTTAAGTGGTTACTGGAGCCCAACGTAAATGCGCCACCCACCTCGAGATATAAGTTCTAAGGTCTCAGTATAGTCACAACGGCTACCCCACCCTTCGAACCGAAACGCATTACTGCTTCACGGCGGAAATAGGGGGGGTGGTGGTACCTACCCGTGCGGACTCCCAAGAGGTCCTACCACCATTGATTACGCAAATTATAATTCTGCGGGTTTAATTTTTATTACACGATGTTATTCCTTCACCGTGTAAGTCAATCGTGAACATTTGTTGAGTACGTATTTCATTAGAAAAATTGGTACCCGCCTGCGGGATTCGAACACCGTTGCATCGCTCGATACGAATGCACCGCACGTCTTATCCTTTAGGCCACAACGACTCGACACGAATTTTTCAGGACTGTTTCTCCTGATCTGGAATGATGGAGCCAGCGCAAGAAAGTCTAAAGCGGAGACAACTTGTGAGGGCTCTTTGTACCAGCGGGGGTACCCTAGGATTACAACAACAACGACAACACTGTAACTGTAACTGTACTGAGACCTTAGAACTTATATCTCAAGGTGGGTGGCGCATTTGCGTTGTGGATGTCTATGGACTCCAGTAACCACTTAACACCAGGTGGGCTGTGAGCTCGTCCACCCATCTAAGCAATAAAAAAACATTGATAAAACTGTAATTTTACAAGTAAACTTAGTGATTTACTTATTTATTAAGTTGCACCAACAAAGTGATCATCAATACAAAACATTGACAAATTGACAAAAGTTCATGGCAGATGTCACCTCAATTATAGGTGCAATCGACAGTGCATTAACAACAAAAATAAAAAAATGGTATAACTAAGATTTGATTACATTTGATTGATTGCTTAAGATTAACTTATATTTAACTAGCGATCCGCCCTGGCTTCGCTTTGGAAACTGTAATTTATTATTGATTTCTCCACTATTTAATGGATGTTATTATACACATAAACCTTTCTCTTTAATCATTCTATCTATTAAAAAAAACCGCATCAAAATCCGTTGCGTAGTTTTAAAGATTTAAGCATACATAGGGATATAGGGACAGAGAAAGCGACTCTGTTTTGTACTATGTAGTGATTGGGAAAAATTATGATCTTAGGTTATAATTTTTCCTGTTTGTACCGTTTGCTATACCTTCTTCTACGAGTGGTCTACGCAAAGGTTTAATTATCCAGAATTTACTTCGTCCATCACCTGCTCAGTAAGCCCGGTAATGATACTCACAGGCCGGTTTCTTCGACGACAGCTGCCAACATGAACCGCGCCGACCTCGTGTTGACCAGTTCCTCGGCGTACGGCCCCATTTCCGTTCTGCCGGAATTTTAATCACAATTAAGGTTAGTGCTGGGCTTAACAAATTTTTTTGGAACCTTTTTTACATCTATGGATCACTCAATCGCATCGCAAGTCCTCTCAGAGAACTCAATGTTTAAAGTCATTTTTAAACTTCCATTCAATGGATAAATATTTGTTTCTCTTACAACTGTTATAATGGTGTGGTCAACTGTCTGCTATATGCACGAACTTTTAAGAATAAGATCGGCTATGTTAACCACACACGAGCACAATGTGACAATTAGATACGGACTTTGAAGTGGTCGCCATGACCGAAACCGGCTAAGGAGAGTAGTAATAGTATTATTACGACTACTATTTATGGAATTATCTTTTTGGTCAGGACCGAAGAAAAAATAGTTCCTTCTTCAATTGTAAAGAGTCCTCAAGAGTTCTATCAAACGAACCTTTGACTTACTCTTCTCTTATATTAGTCTGTCTTGATGTGCTGAAGAGTTTAGATTTTTTGCGCTTTGAAGGGGATAAAATGTGGTACAAAAGCTCAAGAATTCATAAAAGCCATAGAGATTTAACTTATTTTTATAGTATAAATAATAGTATAGATAATATAATAATAGTAAATCCCGTATGAAGACTACACAATCATACAAAAACCCATTGGATTTCGTTTCAATTATTTCACATGTCTATTAGTTAGTGCAAGTGCATCATGGAGACAGTTTTTGTTAAAGAAATCAAACATTACAAATGTTCTTTGTGTCTAAAGAAATCGAGAATACAGCCTGAGTTCAAGATGAAGTAGAGTTATTTCTCAAAATAAACATTTTTTTTTTATTGCTTAGATGGGTGGACGAGCTCACAGCCCACCTGGTGTTAAGTGGTTACTGGAGCCCATAGACATCCACAACGTAAATGCGCCACCCACCTTTGAGATATAAGTTCTAAGGTCTCAAGTAAAGTTACAACGGCTGCCCCACCCTTCAAACCGAAACGCATTACTGCTTCACGGCAGAAATAGGCAAGGTGGTGGTACCCACCCGCGCGGTTTCACAAGAGGTCCTACCACTAGTAAAAAATAACAACAAATAAAAATAACAATAAAAATAACACTAGTAAATTTAACAACATTAAAGGTGAAATGGTTATTTCTGTTATATCAACAACTTTTTTGTTATCTACAGAGTTAATGAAATTCCCAAAATCTACGGAAACCAGTTGAAATGTAAAACAGTGTTAAAATAAAAATTTAATTAAGAATTATGTTTACTCGCGTTTATCAAATAACCCTGATTCAATTTTGGTTTAATTAGGAGAGCTTCGAGTTAAGAACATAAATCAAACAAGGGGTATAATAAATCTAAACAATGAATTTTTGGGTTTTGGTCTGACGGTGTGCCTGGGTCAATCGTTGGGTTGCAGATTTGAGTCCAGATAAGACACGTGCTAAATGTTTTTAGATTTATGAAAGGAATCATGTACGTTAAACGAAATATAATATATCTATTGATAATCAGGGTGAACAGCCATGACAGTAATATTAGATCGAATGAATATCACCACCCATTTGAATCGTCGTGGCCTAAAGGATAAGACATCAGGTGCATATGTAGGGATGCAACGGTGTTCGAATCCCGCAAGCGGGTACCAACTTTTCTAATTAAATACGTACTTAAAAAATGTTCACGATTGACTTCCACGATGAAAGAATAACGTGTAATAAAAATCATACACGCAAAATTATAATTTGGTATTGATGGTAGAACCTCTTGTGAGTCCACACGTATAGGTAGCAAGCACCACCCTTCCTATTTTTGCTGTGAAGCAGTAATGCGTTTTGGTTTGAAGGGCGAGGCAGCCGTTGTACTGTTATAAGTGAGACCTTACAACTCATGTCTCAAGGTGGGGGCGAATTTATATTGTAGATGTCTAAGGGCTTCGGAAACCACTTAAGATCAGGTGGGTCGTGAGCTCATCCAGCCATCCAATCGATAAAAATAAAAAAAAACCCAGCTTGAGGTATGAGGTCAACATTTTTAGCTCTAAATGGGCAGAAATGCTTGTGACCCACCGTGGTGATTACCGGGACCCATTATCTCGTACTGAACATCCCCTACCTTGGGACTCGGGGCTGAAGTCCCAATTCTATTTTTTACAAATGTAATCAGTATTATCTTTCAAATTAAAAAGTATGATTACTATACCGCTGAAATAGGACTCTGGTCTGTAACCTAAGATATCTGCAGCACGTGCTCTCAGTAAATAAGCTTGAACCTTCAATCTCGTTTTTTTATTGCAGATGGTGATAACCACGTTTTTCCTTCAAAAAGTGTCTGGGAAGACGAGCTAGTTCTGTCTCTTACAATCTCATTTCGACTTACTTGTCTTCCTCGTCGTCCACTTCATCGTTGCTTCCCGAAGCAGTGTTAGTCGGTCTATCGTCTTGTAATGCTTCAGTCAGCCTTTGAGTTTGCGCCATGTTCTCAATGACTACAGCTGCAGTGCCGCTGGAAAGCGCTGACCCGATTGCGGCAGAGGTCTTCTTCGCTACCCTTTGTTTTTTTGCTCTTTGTCTTATAGCCTGGTGAAATAGGAAATTTAAATCTTGTAACCACTCACTATTGGTCTAATATCTATCGGTAGTTTTCAGTCTACCCGTAATTTGACGTTTGAAATATTCCTAGCTCGATTTAATTAAAAATTGTGCTAACCCTTTAGAACCTTTTCAAGGTTGTACGTGAGTTATACTTTTGACTTCTCTCTATTTAATGTTCATCGCTTTAATGTTAATCACGTACTAGTACAATGAGTTGCATGGGCTTAATCAGCTTGAGCTTTTTCTGATCACGGTCATCGTCGTAAAGAAATGCAACACGAACCTTACTCCTGCCGCGAAAGGTCAAAAGGTTATTTTAAAGATTCTAGACCTTTGAAATTGCATTTAATTTTCCAATGGAAAGAGATCTAGATCTAGAAATCCTAAGGCTTTAACAGCTGTATCCTGATTGTTGATTTTATTCGTCAATACCAAACCACCAAAATCGCTGCACTAATTTCTCAACATACATTATTATAGCTTACCTTGAAAATATTATAATACAGGAACATCATGATTATGCAAGGAATATAGAAGGAGCCGAGTGAGGAATAAATGACGTAGTCAGTGTTATTGAACAGGCACTGGTGTGGACTTCTATCGGGGGTGTTATTTAGGCCTAAGACCACAGGAGATCCTATTGCTCCGGAGACCAGCCACGCGATGCCGATCATGGTCCAAACTCTACAATTGCTCTTATGTTTCGCGTACTTTATCGGTTGTGTCACAGCTATGTACCTGGAACAAACAAATGAAATGTGATAGATAATTTGGAAGCTCTAAGCGTGCATAGGGACTTTGCTTTTTGTGCTTTATGCCATACTTGAAATAGAGAATGCGTTGCGGGACCTCTTTCATATTATCCATCCCCTATTTACCATCACATGGTCAATCGAATAGAGTTCATCCCTACTATCTGGAACTGCTATGTTTTCCAACAGTGCCTTTCCTAGGAAATATTTTCCACGCACTACCTTTATTCTGGACTGTCCTCCACAGTGATTCCTGAGCTCTTTTTCATATCCTTCTTCAAGAGAGGACTGAATGGCTGACGACGCTCACTCAACATCATATGAGTCAATTGCTTATTTACATTCGAAGGCCGAAAATATATCAATACATCGTTAATAATTTTTTATGACATTTGTAGGTAGATGTCACACGTCGGCAATGCCAAGGGAATAGTTAGGTCTCTGCCTACCATAGTAGGTATAACTAAATATGTATATAGGTACATAAGTAAAACATATATAAGTATGTTTAATAATTTCTGCTACTCATAACACAGGGAATTTTAAATTGGAGCCGGATGACCGTGCGTGATTTGTTCCCAGTTATGTACAAAGTTTTTATTTTGATATTTTTATGAATTTCGGTAAACACCAAAAACCACGAACTTAAGCCAAGTTAACTTCTTTTACAGTTTTAATTTCGCCTGATGTTTCGTCCTGCAATCACCAACATACCTCGTACCAATTACCCTCTCTTTTAATTAGTTTAACGGAACTTTCAAAAGGGATTAATAAAGGAGCCCGGCAAACCAAAATCTCCAACCAAAAATCTCTGGTAAACCATTGACCTTATATTTAATATGTGACCAAAATAAATGTTAGCTCGACCGTATTTTTGCCGGGGCCCTCCGACCGCGCAGTCCGGCGAGGCCAGAATAATACCTCTCTATTCCTTTTCGTTATCAACCTGCTCGTCAATCATTCAGATGTGAGGCAATTCAAGGGGTGCGAGCTGTTTAAAATTCTGGTCGTCAGAGACCCAAGCCAGCGGTGTTTTTATAACAAGTAACAAAGGTATTGTATTCCGGCATTTTTAGTCAAACGTGAAAATTTAATGTTGTTTTTTTCCGTGCTACCCAATTGTTAGATTCAATTCAGAATTTTCTATACTATAAATCTGTTATATATGTTTTTCCATAATTGGCGAACGACAAACCAGAGGTTGACTCACAAGAATAAATAACACAAACAGATGTTATGCTGGAGTTATATTTTACGAAGTTGTGAGTTTGCGTTTTTGATTTTACATATCGCCAAAAACAAGAAATGAGGTAGACCAAATTTCGTTTTTTCATTAAGATAATCGTTATACTCTAATTGTAAAGGTTCCAGGATTTTACAGCATACTTAATACTGATCGTCTTAATAATAAGTATAATAAGATTTTCCAGTCAAATTTAGCTGTCTCCATGTCTTATAGTATTTTGTAATAGATATTTACACGTGTATATTTCACTGGTGGTTTTTTATTGCCCTTGTAGGCAGACGAGCATACGGCCCACCTGATGGTGAGTGGTTACCGTCGCCCATGGACTTCAGTAATGCCAGGGGCAGAGCCAAGTCGCTGCCTACCGCTTAATACTCTCCACAAGCCTCGTTTGAAGAACGTATGGACCTCATGTGAGTCCGCACGTGTAGGTACCACCACCCTGCCTATTACAGCCGTGAAGTAGTAATGCATTTCGGTTCGAAGTGTGGGGCAGCCGTTGTAATGTAAAAGCTGAGACCTTACAACTTATATTACAAGGTAGGTGGTGGCATTTACGTTGTAGATGTCGATGGGCTCTGGTAATCACTTAACATCAGGTTGGCCGTGAGCTCGGACGCCCACGTAAGCATTAAAAAAATTTGTACTATACTGATACACTTTTGGCCGAAACACCCAATTTTAATGTGGCTGACTCAGGTGAGCTTATTATTTATTCTTATTCTCATCTCATCTCTTATTATTATCTCAATTGCTTTTAAAAGGCTCGCATCGTAACCCGCTCTCGCGTGTTGTAAAAGCGGTCGAATTTTATGCGACTTTAAAATAAAAGCTTTAATAGCCTCATAAATAACTAAAATCTCATCTACTCGATCGGGCAGTTAACACATTCTCGCGGCTGGACTATCTACACGTGACGACGTAACTAATTACGGGTCTAATGAGGTCCCATTTGCGAGTTTCTCATTTAAAACGGGTGCCTCTGGAGATAGCATGAGACGAGTATCATAGAAATTAAAAACCCTTAGATACAGGTCCTATATGACCCTCCTATATGATCATATAGGAACAAAAGGCAAACTATTCAATGTTTGCATTCTACCAATCTTAATGTATGGAAGCCAAACATGAGCCTTAACAAAAAACATAACCAATAAAATTGCTATTTGCCAACTAGCAATGGAAAGAAGCATGATAGGAGTAAAAAGGGAGGATAGAATAAGAAACATTAACATTAAGAAAAAGACTAAGATACAAGACGTAACTCTAAAAATAAAAAGGCTAAAATGGAAGTGGGCGGGACACAGGGTCAGAGGAAAAGCAAAATGGAGCAAAATAACTACACATTGGTACCCAAGAGAAGGCAAGAGGAAAAGAGGGAGACAACAAAAAAGATGGGTCGATGATATCAGGTAGGTTGCGGGTATAACATGGAGTAGAATAGCCAGAGAGAGATCAGAATGGAGTAGGTTAGAGGAGGCCTTTGTCAACTGACAAACGGACTTACAGAAAGTAAAGAAGCACCAATTACGTGAACAATTTTAATTTTGTAAAATAGATATACATATATCAGTATAAGTGCAGTAGTATAAGAAACTTAATTGTATATCTGTTGTCCGAATAAAAGGCTTTATTATTATATTATTATTTGTATTAAACACTGCCTCGTCTGAGAAGACGGCAGGATACACTGCGGCGAGGTGGGCAACAATCAGCCGTAGCGTTAGGGACTGTTGGGAGAGAAACCGGCGAACTATACGGGCATTGTCCAGCAAAACTGCTTTTTGCATTTGGGCCACCACCGACTTTTTGTTGAGACCAATTAATTATTATCATTATTATTATAGATACAGGTCACTTATGGCTTGGTGATGAGCAGTTTTATTTTGCCTAATGATAATGATGTGATCACTTTTTTATCATCGAATATCCAGTCACTAAACTTCTCGTTAGCGACCGTTAACATTTTAAAATCGGCTTAGCTGCGAGCTTATCTACCATTAACCGTTTCTCTTAAACCTTTAGATATACTAAACGACTTTTTAGCTACTCGTATGCAAGTATATAAGCGGATTTTAAATTTAGACGTCACTATAGGTTTTAAAATACTTAATAGCTTATTGTTAAACTTACGCATTCATAAAGAAACTTCACAAATGCAAATGCCATAATGAGATTATAAAATACTAGCGACCCGCCCTCGCTTCGCTTCGGAAACATTAAAACACACATGACACCAAAATAAAATAAAAAAACAATAAACAAAAATAGCCTATGTTCATCAGGGACAATGTCGGCTTCTAATGGAAAAAGAATTTTTCAAATCGGTCCAGTAGTTTCGGAGCCTATTCGAAACAAACAAACAAACAAACAAATCTTTCCTCTTTATAATATTAGTATAGACTAGCTTTTGCCGGCGACTCCGTCCGCGCAGAATAGTTACTCTGGCATAACGCTAAATTTTACTGCCCACTTCATTTACGTAGAAAGTGAAAATATTTTGAAACATTCTTTATTGGTGCTCCACTTGTACCGGTCCTACCGTGATGTTATATAGCCTTCCTCAACAAATGGGCTATCTACCACTGAAAGAATTTTTCAAATCGGACCAGTAGTTCCTGAGATTAGCGTGTTCAAACAAACAAACTCTTCAGCATTATAATATTAGTATAACTATAATATATAATATATAGGTAAGTACTATATTTGCCGGATTTTGAGACCTAGTGCTTACGAGTCTGCCATCTCTGAGATTACAGTTACAAACCAAACGGCATCACAGAAAACGATTTCTTAGGAACAAACAGCAAAAAGCTTCATGTCATCAGCGTTTTACGGTCATAAAGTCTAGAACATGACATATAACTCGGAAATTGGATAGTTTGGCGCAATGCCTTGAATAATGCATGGTGGCTTTATGGGTGTTTAGAATACGCTGACCGGTCTGTGTTACTTGGGAGATAATTAATATGTGTTTGTTTATATTCACTACGTCCTTATAACGTAATTGTTTTAACAACTGTACTGCCCCTGTATCCTGCGATGAAACTAATTTTTTTTATTGCCCTTGTAGGCAGACGAGCATACGGCCCACCTGATGGTGAGTGGTTATCGTCGCCCATGGACTTCAGCAATGCCAGGGGCAGAGCCAAGCCGCTGCCTATCGCTTAATACTCTCCACAAGCCTCGTTTGAAGAAGGACATGTCATAGCGCTCGGGAAACACCGTGGAGGGGAAGCTCATTCCATAGCCGGATGGTACGTGGCAAAAAAGACCTCTGGAAACGCACTGTGGATGACCGCAGTGGCTCCAGGTAGTATGGATGAACTCTACTCCGGTGGCGGGCGGTATAAAGTCGAAGACAAATATGTTTTTTAAATGTCAATGTGTCATTCAATGCTCGATGCTGTAATTATACAGTTTAATTTGAATTAGAAGGTAGGATAGTGGCAGTGAAGAATAACAGTTATTTCAGTGTAATTAATGCTTTTATCGCTTGTGTACAGAGTTACATATGCATAGACGTAACAATATATATATATATATATAGCACCTTTAAAATTGAGGTGGCGTAACTAAAAATTTTAAGAAAATGAGCTTTATACCACCAGTGATTTATAAAAATTAATTCTATCAGCTTATAAAATTAAATTTTAATAATAGTTAGAAAAGATCAGAGTACACCTTCCGTCTCTTTTTAAATCAAGAACATATTATTTTAAGCTTCAAGGTATGCGCTTTAACGCTTAAATTAAATATTAAAATCAAAACTAAATAAATACAATTCTTCAATTACGTTTTTGACGTTTACCAAAAAAACAAGAATTTTGGATTAACCCACTTTAAATCTAAAGGTGCGATATTATGTGAAAGGTCACACAAAACATCTGGGTTCAATCAAAGAAAGAGAGAGACTATGTTTACCTGTAAATTTATTATTTTTGTTTTCATAAAAAATTTAGTAGGTAATACCTAATAACTATATGCAAGCCATTTTTTGAGGTGAATCATAGGTAATTATTACAGAATGAGACTTCGATTTGGAGTTCCAATGTGAGTGGCAATTTTGGTTCCAGCAAATTCATCTTGAACTTGGACCCGATTTTTTTTTTATGGCCGTATCGGCAGACGAGCTTACGGCCCACCTGATGGTGAGTGGTTACCGTCGCTCATGGACGTCAGCAATGCCAGGGGCAGAGCCAAGCCGCTGCCTACCGTTAAACGTTATGCCGGTAATAATTCTTTAATGTTTACGTACCTATCCACAGATATGGCGACTAGATTGAATATGCTTGAGGTTGAGCAGGTGACATCCATCGCGATGTAGCAGTCACAGACGACGGCTGGTAGTCCCCAAACGCCGTTCAGCTGGTGAATAATAACGCGTAATTAGTAAACAAAATAACAAATAAGTCACTATTAACCAAGAGAACTGGTGGTACTGGTGGTAGGACGTCTTGTGAGTCCGCGCGGGTAGGTATCACCACCCTGTCTATTTCTGCCGTGAAGTAATGATGCGTTTCGGTTTGAAGGTTGGGGCAGCCGTTGTAACTATAGTTGAGACCTTAGAACTTATATCTCAAGGTGGGTGGCGCATTTACGTTGTAGATGTCTATGGGCTCCAGTAACCACTTAATACCAGGTGGTCTGTGAGCTCGTCCACCCAACAAAGCAATAAAAATAAAAAATTAAGAGAAGGCTTTGCTTCCATTGAGGTTCGTTTCCACTGTAACCAGGATCAGAGCAGCGATAAGCAGTGTGTGTCCATCTTATCCTTTTCTCGTTCTCTGATCTCCTCATTCCGATATAAACCAGTATTTGCTAGTGCAGTAAGCAAAGCTTGGCCTATAACCCTAATGGGATCCTACCCAACCCAACCGTAGCCTTGGATCATATATGATCTCGTGGGCCAAAAGTGCATTTTCCCTCGAGAATCTCTCGTTCTAGTCTGAAATCTCAGTGCTGGTGGCAAGGCACATTGTTAACCCAATCGGGTTGGTAGATTCAGCTGCATTAAAGGATGGTGATGGTATATCTGCCATAAAGCAATCACGTGTCCTGTTCTAAGGATGTTAAATCTCGAAGTAGTATAACTTTACGATGTCTTTAAGCTTTGGTTACTTTGTCCACTTAGAGTAGGAAAAAAACTTCATCCAACTTTTTAATAATAACTACTTTCACAGGCTGAAATTAAATCCCTACTATACTAAAATTTCACAACGAAATTCTTACAAATGAGTCGACTATTATCAAAGCCGGCAATGTGACTTTTGGACAATTATTGTTAAATCAGAAAAACGAATTATTAACTTTGTATTCCATTGGCAGTCACAAAACTCTTCTGAACGACATCTTAGATAAATAACAGGTTAAGTTAATACTTTATTTAATGCAGGTTTTGAACCGTATTCTTTGAAGGAGACGATTATATTCAAATCAATCTGTATTGACATATCAATAACATTTTTTTGTCCAAATGCACAGATTGCCACCTTTGATAATAGACGNAGTACACACAGCGTAACCACTGATCAAGCCACTAGCATATATGCTAATGAAAACGAAAACAAATTACCATCAACTGCCTCTATCGCTACGTCACATTATGACAGTGAAACTGAGGATTCCAATTTAGAATCACAAACTCCGCCAAGTACAATCACTAACCAAGCCACTAACACATATGCTAATGACAATGAAAATAATTTAACATCAACTGCCTCTGCCAATGCGTCACATTATGACAGTGAAACTGAGGATTCCAATTTAGAATCAAAAAGTACGCAACGTACAATCACTAATCAAGTGACTAGTATATATGCCAATGACAATGAAAACAAATTACCATCAACCGCCTCTGTCACTACGGTACATTATGACACTGAAACGCAAGACTATAATTCAACATCACAAACTACGCAGAGTACAATCACTAACCAAGCCACTAGCATACAAACTAATGACAATGAAAACAAATTACCATCAACCGCCTCTGTCACTACGGTACATTATGACACTGAAACGCAGGATTATAATTCGGAATCACAAACTATTCAGAGTACAATCACTAACCAAGCCACTAGCATACAAACTAATGACAATGAAAACAAATTACCATCAACTGCTTCTGGTACTACGTCACATTATGGCAGTTCAACTGAGGATTCTATTTCAGAATCTAAAAGTACGCACAGTATAACCACTGATAAAGCCACTAGCATATATTCTAATGACAATGAAAACAAATTACCATCAACCGCCTCTGTCACTACGTCACAATACGACACTGAAACGGAGAATTTCGATTCAGAATTACAAAGTATTCAAAATACAATCACTAACCAAGCCACTGGCACATATGCTAATGACAATGAAAATAAATTACTATCAACTGCCTCTGTCACTGCGTCACATTATGACAGTGAAACTGACGATTCTAATTCAGAATCACAAAGTACTCAAAGTAGAAACATTAACCGAGCCACTACCATATATGCTAATGAAAATGAAAATAATTTACCATCAACCGCCTTTGTCACTGCGTCACATTATGACAGTGAAATTGAGGATTCCAATTCAGAATCACAAACTCCGCAAAGTACAATCACTAACCAAGCCACTAGTGTACAAACTAATGACAATGAAAACATACTACCATCAACCGCCTCTGTCACTACGGTACATTATGACACTGAAACGCAAGACTATAATTCAGAATCACAAAGTACTCAAAGTACAATCACTAACCAAGCCACTAGCATATATGCTAATGACAATGAAAATAATTTACCATCAACCGCCTTTGTCATTGCGTCACATTATGACAGTGAAACTGAGGATTCCAATTCAGAATCACAAACTCCGCTAAGTACAATCACTAACCAAGCCACTAGTGTACAAACTAATGACAATGAAAACATATTACCATCAACCGCCTCTGTCACTACGGTACATTATGACACTGAAACGCAAGACTATAATTCAGAATCACAAAGTACTCAAGGTACAATCACTAAACAAGCCACTAGCATATATGCTAATGACAATGAAAATAATTTACCATCAACCGCCTTTGTCACTGCGTCACATTATGACAGTGAAACTGAGGATTCCAATTCAGAATTACAAACTACGCAGAGTACAATCACTAACCAAGCCACTAGCGTACAAACTAATGACAATGAAAACATATTACCATCAACCGCCTCTGTCACTACGGTACATTATGACACTGAAACGCAAGACTATAATTCAGAATCACAAAGTACTCAAGGTACAATCACTAAACAAGCCACTAGCATACAAACGAATGACAATGAAAACAAATTACCATCAACCGCCTCTATCACTGCGTCATATTATGACAGTGAAACTGAGAATTCCAATTTAGAATCACAAACTCCGCAAAGTACAATCACTAACCAAGCCACTAGCACATATGCTAATGACAATGAAAACAAATTACCATCAACCGCATCTGTCACTACGGTACCTTATAACAATGAATCTGATGAGTTTAAAACAGGATCACAAAGTATCCATAGTACAGCTGCTAATCAACATTCAAGCATACAAACTAATGAAACTAGAATACCATTGACCACCCCGATCGTTGAGTCGTACCACAACACCGAAATTAAAGGTTCCCAAAGAGAATCACATAATACACAAAGTACTGATACAACGTATACAGAATCGTATGACAGTAAATATGAATTGCCATTGACTACTGCTTTCACCACTTTATATTATAACAGCGAATCTGACCTTTCCCGGACAGAGTCTTTAGCTACGCAAAGAATAGCTACTGGAAAAGACACAAATATAGAATCTAATCAGGATCATTACCAGACAACAGTTGATGCTACAGAATCATTATCAACAGAAAACGTTGTTGATTCATTCACATCTACTGCAGTAACAAATTTAGCCACTTTGATCGACGAAAACGTTAACAAGTTTTCGGAGAGTCAACATTCTACAACTATATTAACAGCACAAGATGAAACCACCTTTAAACCGTATTCTGAAGTCGATTTCACTACAGTGTTTCATAATATTAAGACAGTTGAAAATGACTTTAATGCAGATAAAGATGATGATTATTTAACACAGGAAATATCTACTACAACAGAACCGTCAACGATTGATTATCTGAACGTAAATTATGAAAAAAATAATCCTCTAAGTACTACTATTCCACCTCCGACAGCAAAACATAGTACGATTTTGAAAAATTCGGAATACGGTCAAAATACGGTAACATCTTCCATGTTGAATTTCAATAAAGAAAAAGTGTCTTCAACCCATACAAGTTCTTTGAGTACGGCAAAAAGTAGTAAACAAACTTCGAGTAGTTTGAGTACTTCGACAGAGAGCTTGTCATCGCGAAGAAAAAACGTTGACATTCCAGCTTGGACTGACTTATCAACTATAACAGATATAACAACTACGACGGAGTCAACTTTGACTGAAATGACGACTAGTACTGACATACCTTTTAATCTTAAATGTAGAGTAAATTCACATTGTCCGTTAAACATGACGTGTCAAGAGGGAACATGCCAGAACCCATGTGATTTGCCTGAGATGAAGTGTGCCCAGAATACTTCCTGTAAAGTTGTCAACCACGCTGCTGTTTGTGTTTGTGACTCAGCTGGAAACAACTGTGTAAGAGGTATGCTTTTGAGATGTTTTGCATACCACGTTTTACCAGACTTCTGTTATAATTAGTTGAGTAAGAGTCAATTGTGATCTAGTTCAAAGCATTATTTGAACTCGAATTTTTACAAATTGAAACTTCTAACTTATGTCTCTCGGTGGGCAACAGTATTAATATTTTCGCGTTATAGGTTCCGGTAACTGCTTCACATTAGAAGGACCGCGAGCTTGTCGATCCATAAAATGTACGGTATTTAAACAAAAATATAAAAATTGTGATGGGTAAATTTTATTGAAAAGTGGCCATCTTATCGGACAAATGTGTAAATACAAAAGTAGTAATTTGTAAATAATTTGTAACGAGTTTTTACTGTAAATAGCACTGTAACATACTAAATTTCATTAACATCTAACGTACTAGAATCATCTGGAACGCCAAAAGTACCAGAGCCGTGTCATTCCGATCGAGATTGTATAGAAATTGAAGCCTGTTTTATGGGACTATGTCAAGATCCATGTGAGTTTGATAATGTTTGTGGGATACAAGCAAACTGCCAGCGCGTAAAACACAGGCCTATGTGTTCCTGCCCTGCGGGCTACGATGGAGACCCTGCAATTAAATGTTCACCTAAAATATGTAAGCTTTAACTCATACTAATTTAAGCAATTACTTATTCATTTTATGTGTCATATGTCTAGAAATAATCTTAACAAAATAATAACGATTAAATTGTAAGTAAGAAGTCGTTGTAAATACTACTATGAGACGAAAATATTAAAAATATGATATTCATTTACTTTAAACATTAAATTACGTTATTTCAAACATAAATTTGCGCTTTCATTTCATTTAATTTTAAAAGTAAACCATATTTTACTATATGTAGCAAATGTTTATAAGCTTTTGATTAGTACGAGTAAATGCACTATAGAATATTTGTTTTACATAGTTGGATGCACGCGAAACGACGACTGTCAATCTACAGAGGCTTGTATAAATAATGCATGTCAACACCCTTGTGCCATACACAACCCATGCGCACCTAATGCTGTATGTATAAACACAAACCATGGATCTGACTGTAGCTGTGTGGAAGGTTTTCAAGGCAACGGATACGTCGGTTGTGTACCAGGTAAATATACAAACATACAAAAATGTGTCATGGATTGATCTAATCGAAAGTAAATGTACAAACTACGAATTGGAAATAATTCATTTAATTTTCTAGTTGTGGAATCTACATCAGTATGTCAATATAACGAAGATTGTCCACCTGAATTACTATGCGATAGATTAAATAGAAAATGCATTAGTCCTTGTGCAATTAACAAATGTGGAGATAATGCTGAATGCTTACCTTCAAATCATGGTATACAATGTAAATGTGCCCCTGGTTTTACTGGTAATGCCTTCCTGGAATGCTATCAAGGTAACTATTGTTTTTGGAAAAAAATATGTAATTTCAATGATTCAGTAAAAGGCAGTGATAGAATTTAAACAGTTTTTTTTGTGTCATGCTTTAGTCTTGTTAAAGGTAGTGACTCATGGTCTACTCCGACCATGTGAAGAATATCATGTTTTAGGGGTACCGATGGGGTATCATTCCTTGGTACTTGTTATACCTGCCAGCTTACTTGTAAATGTCGTTGGCGTAATTTGGGCTACCGCCACAGTTTATTTCAATGTTTTTATTTATTAAAAGGCAAAATCAAGGCATATTTTTTTTTTAATTAGAATTATATTGCAAACTATTCAGGCGTAATGCACGGTACATTGAATTTTCGTATGTTTCAGTTCAAGGCTGTCGTTCAGATAACGAGTGTGCCAATTCTGAAGCGTGTATAAATGGTAAATGTGGTTCTCCATGCCGTTGTGGTATAAACGCTGTCTGTGATGTGATTAACCATCGAGCATCTTGTAAATGTCTACAAGGATATACCGGTAATCCACAAATTGGTTGTGAACCACCAACAAATCCATGTAGTCCGAACCCTTGTGGAATAAATGCATTATGTGAAATCGACAACGGAAATCCAATTTGTTACTGTCCGAAAGGCTTAACCGGAAATCCTTTCAAGAATTGCAGTAAGTATAAATAATAATTTATGATGTTAAATTCTTAATCTTATTTGAAATATGTATTTATTTCGTTGAAATATTTTAGTCCCAGAAGGAAACGAATGTGAACCAAATCCATGTGGACCAAACTCAGGATGTCGACTAATAGATGATAAACCAGCCTGTTTCTGTCTACCAAATTACGAAGGGAGTCCGCCAAGAATGCCATGCAAATTACCAAACAATCCCTGTAATCCATCACCTTGCGGTCCTAACACTCAATGTACAGTACTGTCTAATGGATTTTCAAAGTGTTCTTGTTTACCTGGTTATGTCGAAAGCCCGAATACTGTTCGTGGATGTATTGAAGCACGAAACCCTTGCGAACCGAGTCCCTGCGGAGTCGGCGCTCGATGTGATCCAAACAAAACTCCATCTTGTTTCTGTCCAGAAAATACTGTTGGAAATCCATACAAATCATGCGACAGTAACCGTGGATATCTTCCACCAGTTGCGAATGTTCTCTGTCAGCCAGGACCATGTGGACCAAATGCGGATTGTTTTGTTAGTAGCAATAGAGAAGTGTGCTATTGCAAAACTGGTTTTAGTGGTGACCCATATCTGGGTTGCCAAAATCAAATAAGTCCTTGTGCTCCCAACGCTTGTGGACCACGAGCAATCTGTCAAGTAAAGTTTGATGGACAAGCCTTCTGTGTGTGTCCTGAAGGAAGTGTGGGTGATGCTTACAGCATTGAAGGCTGTATTTTACGGGAATGTGAGGTCGATGATGGCTGTCCCACAAATAAAGCATGTATTGGATATAGTTGCCAAGATCCCTGTCCTGGAGTATGTGGGTTGAATACCAAATGTCACGTAGAGGCTCATCGACCAGTATGTTTCTGTGAAGAAGGTTTCATCGGAAATCCATTAATATGTTGTCTTCCACCCGAAGATCAGAAATCAATATCACCATGTAACAAAATACAATGTGGTATTAACGCAATCTGTCAAGAAGTCGGAGATAGAGCCGTTTGCTCTTGTCCACTTGATTTCATTGGTGATCCAACAATAGAATGTAAGCCTGAATGTATGATGAACTCCGATTGTTCCTCGAACGAAGCTTGCATTAACAAAAAATGTATTGATCCTTGTGCATCTGCCAACATCTGTGGAATAAATGCTGTTTGCCTATGTTCAGATCATACTGTTTCTTGTCTGTGTCCCGATGGTTATATAGGAGATCCGTTAACTCAATGTATATACAAACGTAAGTAAATTTTTCCTACCATTAACTTTTGAAGGTGTTTTATAAAATAGATTTGTATAGAAATAGAATTGTCTGACGTGATATTATACTCAAAATCTTTACTATGGATAAACACATATTTAATTAAGTTTTCTTTTTTCAGCTATAATAATTGTACCAGATAATTCTACAGCGCAACCTTGTTCACCAAATCCATGTGATCAAAATGCGCCTTGTGATACTTATGGTAACCAGTTTGCAATTTGCGACGCATGTGTTGGACTGAATTCTTTAAATAACCCATCGTGTAGACCGGAGTGCGTTTTGAATTCGGATTGTAGTTTTGATAAATCTTGCTTAAGGAACAAGTGCTTGAATCCTTGCCCTGGTTCTTGTGGTATTAATGCAGAGTGCACAGTTTATAATCATGATCCAGTTTGCCAGTGCGTGAATGGTTTCGAAGGGAATCCATACGAACATTGTAAACCAAGTGTCCGGCGTAAGTACATATTTTATAGCGTATTATTTCTTAGGTTATTATTCATACAACTTGCAGCTATATTAAACTAATAAATTTATGTTTGCAGCTATCACACATGAAACTTGCAACAATGTGCAATGCGGTGCAAATGCAATTTGTAGAGACTTCAATGGTGCTTTAGCTTGCCATTGTCTGCCCGACTTTTATGGAAATCCTTATATTTCGTGCCGACCGCAATGTGTTGTTAACAGCGACTGTTCACCGGAATTGGCTTGTTTTCACAATAAATGCGAAGACCCTTGTACAAATGTGTGTGGCATAGGAGCTTTGTGTAAAACAGTTAATCACCATGCCGTGTGCTATTGTGAATCTGGACAAATTGGAGATCCTTATGTTAGATGCCAAAACGCACCAGCGTTGCCTCCTTCTTTATCTGTATGTGATCCATCGCCTTGTGGGCCTTACAGTCGTTGTCTTGTTTCATCTAACGGTTTTGCAATGTGTTCCTGTTTACCAGGACATAAAGGGATAGCCCCTATGTGTCAACCAGAATGTGTCAGTAATGCAGATTGTCAACAGATGGAAACATGTGTTAATCAACGATGCATAAACCCTTGCCTCGGTAGTTGTGGTGTTAACGCTGACTGTGTTGTTGTTAATCACAACCCAATATGTACCTGTAGTCGAGGAAAATCTGGTGACCCCTTTGTAGCCTGTACTGATATAACAGAAGTGGTGCCTTCCGAAAGAAATCCATGTGTACCTTCTCCATGTGGGCCGAACTCCGTTTGTGAAATTAAGTCGAATCACCCAGTATGTTCATGTCGACCTAACTACTCTGGTACTCCACCGTACTGTAGACCTGAGTGTGTCATAAGTCAAGAATGTCCTTCTAACAAAGCTTGCATCAATGAAAAATGTTTAGACCCATGCACAGGGGCTTGTGGTAATAATGCCAAATGTGTTGTAATTAATCACACGCCGTTATGTAGCTGTTTAGATGGATATAAAGGCGATGCATTCGTAGGATGCAATGCAATTTCAAACGACGATACCGAGACTCTTTGTAATCCTTCACCATGCGGAGAGAACACAATCTGCAATGTAATAAACAATATTGCGCGCTGCTCATGTATTCCGCCCAACATAGGAAACCCGTATGCGGGGGGATGTCGACCAGAGTGTTCATTAAACTCAGATTGTCCGAATCATTTGGCTTGTCTGTCAAACCACTGCAGGGATCCATGTAAGGATCTATGTGGTGTTAATGCGGAATGTATAGTGACTAACCATGTACCTGTATGTACATGCTTTAGAGGTCACGAAGGAGACCCTTTTATTGCATGCAATCGTCAAGAACAAAAACCACGTAAGTCTAATTGAAAGCGAAACTTATTTTAAACTATGATAATTTTTCAAATGGAGTTCCATTCGATAACTTTGAATTTCAATTTAATCTTAAAATAGCAAGGAACATTATTCAGTCCAAATTTAATTAATGAAGACATTTTTCGTATCACAGGAAATCCAGAGAGTCCTTGTGAGCCTTCTCCGTGCGGAGCGAACAGTGACTGCCATACAGTGAGCGGTCGAGCGGCATGTTCTTGTCGTCCGGGCTACTTGGGCGCGCCACCAGCTTGTCGTCCTGAGTGTGCGGTCAACTCAGATTGTCCTGCTACTAGAGCGTGTATTAACCACAAATGCAAAGATCCATGCATAAATAGTTGCGGTATTGACGCTCGTTGCCATGTTGTTGGACACAATCCTATTTGTACGTGTCCCGAAAATCTCTCGGAAGGTGATCCATTCATTAAGTGCACCAGAAAATGTGAGTCCTTATTATGCCTTAATTTCATGTTAATTTGAATAAAATTCAACAATGAAGTGATTTTGATCTGCTTACTGTTAAGCCAGAAAATAATAGCAAAAACTCAAGAAACTAAAACAAATTTATTGATATTTTGAGATTTTCACATATTATTACCATAGCCATTCAAATCGAATTACCATGTTCGTAATAATATAACATTCGCGGCTTATATTGTCCTATCCTTAGTTATTAATTATAAGATTCGAATTTACGATTCTAGATGTTTCGAGTCACTAGACATTTACTACAATATTCCGAATAAATATTAAGTTGAATATCCGAAGTCCGAAATACCTATTAAACACGAGATCACACGAATTACTTCTACGATGAAGAAATAGCATCTTGTAAAAAGTAAAAGCCGTAAATATTTATAAATTTGCGTAATTATTGATGGTAAAGCATATTTCATTTTGTTGAGCTAGCCTGGTTGGTACCATACAAACTATTTTTGCCGCGAAGCAGTCACGCGTTTTGGTTTGAAGGATAGGACAGCCGTTATTCAATATAATACAAATTTGGGTCTCACAGCTCACGGACAGTGAAGGTATTAACGTGTTGCCTATGGGTTACGGTAAACACATAGATAACCGTTAAAGTGAGCCGTGTTGTTAGATCGACATCTCTTAATGCGTCTTAACACTAGACTTTTTTTTTAGCCATTATGCCGACACATACAGATCCATGCTTAATGTCACCGTGTGGACCTTACGCAACATGTAGAAATGAAGATGGACGTGCCATATGCGCATGTGAACCTGGAACTCTTGGAGCACCACCATCCTGCCGGCCACAATGTGTTATTAACCAAGATTGTCCTTTAGCGCTGGCTTGCCTCGGCGGTAATTGTGTAAATCCGTGCATTGGTTCATGCGGATTTAATGCCCGATGTTCTGTTCAAAATCATCGTCCAGTGTGTTCATGCGACGACGGATTCTCTGGTGACCCATTCGCTGGATGCAACCCAATTGAAAGTAAGTACATTTAGCAGCATGTTTAAATTATTTGTGTTATATCAAACTGCTTGCCTTTTTGTCTGTAAATCTTTTTGTACATATAAAATGCATGCTCAAATATTATTTCAGTTTCTAAAGAAGCACCTCGTCAACCTTGTCATCCTTCACCTTGCGGTGCTAATGCGATATGTCGAGAAAAGGATGGTGCTGGTTCTTGTACATGCTTAGATGATTTTTACGGTGACCCATATAGTGGTTGTCGCCCTGAGTGCCTTATGAATACAGACTGTGCTAGGGAAAAATCTTGTTTTAATAACAGATGTATAGACCCTTGTTCTGGGACTTGTGGACAAAACACTCAATGTAGAGTTGTAAATCATGCTCCTTCATGTTACTGCTTATCTGGATTTACGGGAAATCCTCTTCACGCATGTGTTCCTGTTAAACGTAAGAATATTTTTCTCTTCTTTATTTATGTACATTTTTATATTATTTTTCTATCTTTATATTCTATAATCTTTTTACCTTTTATTTCTTATGTAGCTTTTCCGGATAATCTGGATCCGTGTCACCCTTCGCCCTGTGGACCATATAGTAAATGCCGAATATCAAACGGTCATGCTGTATGCACATGTCTTGACATGTGTATAGGTTCTCCGCCTAATTGTCATCCGGAATGTATTGTTAGTTCTGATTGCCGCTCAGATAAAGCTTGTATAAATCAGAAATGTCAGGACCCTTGTTCTGGCATTTGTGGCATTAACGCGAAATGCCAAGTGGTGAATCACAATCCAATTTGCAGTTGCCTTAGTGAATATACTGGCGATCCGTTTGTCCGGTGTTATATTGATGACCGTAAGTCTTTTACTTTTTTAATTCCGTGATTAAATTCGTTTTTATTTAATATTTTTTTCCTAATGATCATGTTTTTGATAGGCCAAATGACGCCGATAAATAATTGTGTTCCAAGCCCTTGTGGTCCAAATTCACAATGTAAGGAAGTAGACGGAGTAGCAGTTTGCTCATGCATTGAAAATTATGTGGGTCGTCCCCCTAATTGTAGACCAGAATGCGTCATGAATGTTGAGTGCTCGGGGAATTTAGCATGTATAGCGGAAAGATGCAGCGATCCTTGTCCTGGTTCTTGTGGGTTCCATGCGATTTGTACTGTTGTGAATCATGTGCCGACGTGTACTTGTGATCATGGGTACACAGGTGACCCCTTCTCTGGATGTTCATCTATTCCTTGTGAGTTATATTTCAAAGCAATTCGATATTAAATTACAATGAAAAACAGCTCGCTTACTGAAACACATTTGAAATTTTAGCAATAGAACCTCAACCACAAAGTCTTTGTTCTCGTTCGCCGTGTGGAGCTAACGCAATATGTAAGGAAAGGAACGGAGTTGGATCATGTTCATGTTTACCTGATTATTACGGAGACCCATATATTGAATGTCGCCCTGAGTGTGTTTTGAACTCAGACTGTACTAAAGACAAGGCTTGTATTAACAACAAGTGTAAAGATCCATGCCCTGGTGTTTGTGGTATGAACGCCGAATGTCGCGTAAATAATCACGCGCCTTCGTGTGCATGTCTACCTGGGTACGAAGGAAACCCATTTTCTTCATGTTACATAAGTAAGACATTTAATTAATATAGTAGTCGATTGAATCTATTGAATCGTGTCGGTTGAGTACATACAAAATTTAAATTTTAGGTACCTTCGAAGATCCAGTAAATCCTTGTGTACCGTCACCTTGTGGTCCTTACAGTTTATGTCGTGAAAATAACGGACACGCAATATGCTCTTGTCAGGAACATTATTTTGGTTCACCGCCTTTTTGCCGCCCCGAATGTATGGTCAGCAGCGATTGTATGCCAAATAAAGCTTGCATTAATAGAAAATGCGTGGATCCATGCTCAGGTGCATGTGGCAACAACGCTAAATGTACAGTCGTAAATCATAATCCGTTATGTAGCTGCCCAAAAGATTACACAGGCGATCCGTTTGTACACTGTTCTTATGAAACAAGTGAGTTTTTAAATGATCTTGATAAAAATAACAAAATAATCGTTTAATAAAACATAACTGTGTGATTTAATGAAATAATGCTTAGTAACAATTAGAAAAGCTTCCACTTTAACTAGATGTAGTCCAGATTTTGGAACAATACAATTTTCAAACACACATTTTAGGACCAGAACCAAAACCGTCAGGAAATCCGTGTATTCCTTCCCCTTGCGGACCTCACTCGCAATGTCGTGTAATAGGAGAGACGGCCGCTTGTTCTTGCCAACTCGGATTTATTGGTCGTGCTCCTAATTGTCGGCCTGAATGTATATTCGATGAAGAATGTCCTAGTAATCTAGCGTGTATCCAAGAAAAGTGTGCTAACCCTTGCGAGGGTTCATGTGGGTCAAACACTAATTGTGTTGTCATCAATCATAAAGCAGTCTGTCATTGTCGTGAGAGCTATACTGGCGATCCTTTCAGTGGATGTTACTTTATAGGTGAGTTCCTAGTAGAGAAAATATTGAAAAAAATATATTCGTAATTAGGTTTCATTGTGTAATTATAATAATCTGTTTATCCAGTAACCGTACCGAGTGAAGAAGAAACAAATCCATGTAATCCGTCACCATGTGGTCCAAACGCTCTATGTAAAGAACGAAATTCTGCTGGATCATGTACTTGTATACCTGATTACTTTGGAGATCCGTACTTAGGATGTAGACCCGAATGTGTCACAAATAACGACTGCACCTTCGACAAAGCCTGTTCGAATAACAAGTGCGTAGACCCGTGTCAAGGAGCTTGTGGCATAAACTCGCAATGTACAGTAGCACACCATAATCCAGTTTGTCTTTGCGTAGATGGTTATGAAGGCAATCCTGCGGTATCTTGTCATCCACAGCGTAAACGTAGGTTATTCGATATGATTTGAAGTTTAAATTATTAAATTGAAGTAACAGTTTAATTATGAGATTGATCTTCTATTTTAGCTCCACTTGCGGATACAAATCCTTGCATACCTTCGCCTTGTGGACCTTATAGTCATTGTAAAGTGGTCGATGACCACGGAGTGTGTTCATGCCAAGAGGGATATATTGGATCGCCTCCTGCATGTAGACCGGAGTGTGTAACAAGTACAGATTGTCCGCAAAATCAGGCATGCATTCGACAAAAGTGTAAGGATCCATGTCCTGGAACTTGCGGCACAAATGCACGATGCTTAGTGATAAACCATAATCCAATTTGTACGTGCAAACCTGGTTTTACTGGAGATCCGTTCAATTTCTGTCAATTAGAACAAAGTAAGAATCACCTCCACACACGCAAAAATAAAAATTTGAATAAAAAATTATTTGATTTATTTGATTTTACAAATACTATTTCAATTTTGCTTATGTTTCATTATTTCAATCTATCTTGCCTGATTCATTTATTATTTTCTTTTATTTGTATATATGTATTTTCTGAACTTTATTGTTTTTCTTTCTTTCTTAGAACCTATCATAGAGGGGCCTAAAGGAAACCCATGCATTCCTTCGCCATGCGGTCCATATTCTCAATGTAAAATAATCGCAGATGCGCCTGCATGTTCATGCTTGCCCAATTATCTTGGTGTTGCACCAAACTGTAGACCTGAATGCTCGATAAATGCTGAATGTCCGGGTAGTCTTGCATGTCAAAATGAAAAATGTGTGGACCCATGTCCTGGGTCTTGTGGTTTTAACGCTGAATGCTCCGTAGCAAATCACGTAGCATTATGTAACTGTATACCCGGTTACTCTGGTGATCCATTCAGTGGATGTTCATTATTTCAACGTAAGTTTTGTCAGATGTATATTAAATTTTCAATTTAATAGAATCTTAAAATTTTATGTGTATGGCATTTAAAAATTGGAAGAAACTTTTCTTATGTTTATGAAATGAAAAAATTGAAATCGATTCTACAAACAAAGCAAGGACATACTTTATTCATTTAAGTTCCAATAAAAATGTTCTTGCTGTATTCACGGGACTTTTTACATGTTTTTTTTGTGCTATTTTGATTTTACAAATCTTATTTTACTTTCACAGATATACCAGAACCCCCACCCAATCCATGCAGTCCTTCTCCATGTGGAGCTAATGCTATTTGCAAGGAAAGGAATGGAGTAGGCTCTTGTACTTGTTTACCAGAATATTTCGGAGATCCATACACTGGTTGTCGTCCAGAATGTGTTTCTAATTCTGACTGCGACCGTAATAAGGCTTGTTCAAATAACAGATGTAAAGATCCTTGCCCTGGTACTTGTGGTATTAACGCTGAATGTAGAACAGTAAACCATTCTCCAACCTGCTCTTGCTTAACGGGATACACCGGAGATCCTTTAGTGAAGTGTGACTTTGAAAGTAAGATCAAAAACTTAAGTTACTTTGTGTTTTCCTTTTTATAAAAATGTGAATTAAATAAATATTACTTAAAATCTTCAGCTATAACGGAAAAGAATGAACCAGTTCAGAATCCATGCAAACCATCGCCTTGCGGCCCCAACAGTCTTTGCAAAGTTGTGAACGGTCATAGCGTTTGCACTTGTGATACTGGTTATATTGGCACACCACCCTCTTGTCGTCCAGAATGTCTTGTGAGTGTGGAATGTTCCCAAGATAAAGCATGTATAGCGAAAAAATGTCTGGATCCGTGTCCCAATACCTGTGGCCTCAATGCTCGTTGTCAAGTAATCAATCACAATCCTGTATGCAGCTGTACGCCTGGATTTACGGGAGATCCGTTCACTAAGTGTAATCCTGAAGAACGTAAGTTTATTTTTAGTTACAAAAACACTAAAACTGGTCAATTCTACATTTATCATTTTTGTGCACTAGTTATATATTGCATATATGTATTGATACTAATATTTGATACTAATATTGATACTAATAAGCAACAATATTGTTATGGATTTACCATATTTTCAGGAATGGTACAATCAAATCCATGTCAACCATCACCATGCGGACCGAACGCAGAATGTCGAGTAATCGGTGATCAAGCAGCTTGTTCTTGTTTACCGAATTATATTGGAAGAGTACCAAACTGTAGACCTGAATGTACGATAGATGCTGAATGTCCTAGCAACGCGGCTTGTATCAATGAGCGTTGTAAAGATCCTTGCGAGCGTGCATGTGGTGTAAATGCCATGTGCTTAACTGTAAATCACAAACCGATTTGTTCTTGCCAGCAAGGTTTTACAGGTGACGCATCTATAAGTTGTGATCAACTTATCATATCATGTAGGTATCAATAAACAAATTTGAATGATGATGAGATGGTTTAGTAACAATAGAATTCATACTAAGCTAATGTTCTCTGTATTTTAGCAACCGAAATGACGCCGACATCAAGTCCATGTACTCCATCACCCTGCGGGCCTAATGCTGAATGCAGAGAACATAACGGAGCCGGAGCATGTGTTTGCTCCGAGGGCTATGAAGGAGATCCGTATAGTCCACAAGGATGTCGAAGGGAATGCGAGAGTAATGATGAATGTGCACCTAATCTAGCTTGCACCCGATATAAGTGCATTGACCCATGTCCAAGAACATGTGGACAGTTGGCGCAATGTATAGTAGAAAATCATGCACCAGTTTGCAGTTGTCCTCGTGGTTATACTGGAGATCCATTCTTTCAGTGCAAACAAATATTAATGGACCGTAAGTGTCTTTCAAACAAAAAAATTTACGTGATTTAATTTTAGAGTTCATTTAATAGAGTTTTGTCTATTCTAGCATCCCCTCCGAAGAACCCTTGTGAACCAACACCTTGCGGCCCCAACAGTCAATGTAGACAAGTAAACATGCAAGCTGTATGTTCTTGTCTTCCAAATTATATTGGATCTCCACCATCATGCAGACCACAATGTGTTGTAAACAGCGAATGTGACACATCGAAAGCTTGCATTAATCAAAAGTGTGACGATCCCTGTCCAAACACGTGCGGACTTAGAGCTCATTGTTTGGTTAAAAACCACAATCCGATTTGTACTTGTCCAGTGGGAATGACAGGGGATCCATTTACACAATGTTATCGTGAGTATATTAATTGTTCAGAATTCACTATTTTATAATCTATCCATACTTTATCGGACTACTTAGTAGGACAATATAATCAAGAATTTTTTTGCCCTTAGCACTTAAATTTAATGTAACTTGTTACTTTTATTATATTTTCAGAGATTCCGCCTACAACTGAACGACCTCCAACATGTACTCCATCTCCATGCGGACCACATTCTCGATGTCAGTTGCTAGCCAGTGGACCAGCCTGCTCTTGTTTACCAGGATATGTGGGTTCACCACCTTCGTGTCGTCCCGAATGTACAATTAATTCTGAATGTCCTGCTTCATTAGCTTGTGTGCGTCAGAAATGTGAAGATCCATGCCCTGGCTCATGTGGAGTAGATGCAAATTGCCATGTTCTAAATCACGTTGCCATATGTGTTTGCAATGAAGGTTTCACCGGTGATCCATTTTCAAGATGTCTACCAATAAGTGGAAGTGAGTATTCCAAATATAATTGGAAAATTTAGACATATCACACATTTATCATACACTTAATCATTTGATTTTAGGAATAAATCATGTTTTTCTGTATTTATGTAGTGTAATGTAGATTAAAGTAAATTTCATGGCATATCGTAAAATAAATGATACATTTTTTACAATATCAAGTATTGTTTCAGCACCTACAACGCCAGAACCATCAGATCCATGTAATCCCTCACCATGCGGGCCAAATGCTCGTTGTGATAACGGATTCTGTACATGTTTACCAGACTATAGTGGAAACCCTTATGAATCATGCCGACCTGAATGTACCGGCAGTCAAGAATGTCCTAGGGATAAGGCCTGCTTTAGAAACAAATGTCGGGACCCCTGCCCTGGAGTGTGCGGGCTTAATGCTAAATGTGATGTTATAAACCACATTCCGACTTGTTCATGTATATCAGACTTTACTGGAAATCCATTTACACACTGTAACAGAATAGAAGGAAAACAAACTGATAAACCAAGAGACCCCTGCCATCCTTCGCCTTGTGGACCGAACAGTGTCTGTAAAACTGTTGATAACGCTGCAGTGTGCGCCTGTTTAGAATCTTTCCAAGGAACACCGCCAGCTTGTAGACCTGAATGTATTGTTAGTTCAGAATGTCCATCAACCAAAGCTTGTGTTAATCAAAAATGTATAAATCCCTGTATAAACGCTTGCGGCGTGTCAGCACGCTGTGAAGTTATAAATCATAGCCCTATATGCAGTTGCAGTCCTGAACAAACAGGAGATCCTTTCAAGAGCTGTTACGATGTTGTAAACACACCACCTGAACCAATCGATGCATGTAATCCTTCTCCTTGCGGACCAAATGCTCAGTGCATCCAACGTAACGAAAAAGCCAATTGTAGATGTTTGGAGAATTACATTGGCCAGCCTCCTAATTGTAGACCCGAATGTGTTATCAATCCTGACTGTCCATCTAATCAAGCATGCGTAAGAAATAAATGCATTGACCCGTGTCCAGGTTCTTGTGGTATTAATGCTGATTGTGTGATAGTAAGTCACACAGTTTCATGTATCTGTAGAGAAAAATATACTGGAAATCCCTTTATGCAATGTGTTCCACAAGAAGGTAAATATGAAATATCGGTTGACATAAATAATAATAAAAAATATACATAGTCATTAAATATATTTTTTAAATAACTCAACTTTTTTTCTAGAAATTGTCACGAAGCCTTGCGATCCCTCACCTTGTGGTGCTAATGCTCTGTGTACCCAAAGAGAAGGAGCTGGTTCCTGTTCATGTTTGGAAGGCTATCAAGGAAATCCTTACGAAGGCTGCCGTCCCGAGTGTGTGCTCAGCTCAGATTGTCCAGCTGATAAATCATGTATTAGAAATAAGTGTGCAGACCCATGCCCAGGAATTTGTGGTACTAATGCAGAATGTAACGTCATCAATCACGTACCAAGCTGCGCATGTCTTAAAGGATACTCTGGAAATCCATTTACCCAATGCTCTAAAGATGAACCTATAGAATTTAGTCGACCATGTCAACCATCACCATGTGGGCCTAATAGTGTCTGCAGAGAAAATGGAGGATTAGCATCTTGTGAATGTCTACCAGAATATATTGGTGCACCTCCAGACTGTCGACCAGAATGTACCGTTAGTAATGAATGTCCATCAGATCGCGCATGTCATAAACTGAAATGTGCGGATCCTTGCAGAGGTACATGCGGTATAGGTGCACATTGTCAAGTTGTTAATCATAGTCCATTATGCAGCTGCCCAGCTGGTACTTCTGGTGATCCCTTCAAGAGATGCTTTGAAACTGTACTTTATGAACCAGGACAGCCGGTGCAACCATGTCAACCAAATCCTTGTGGCCCATACAGTGAGTGTCGTGCTCTTAATGAAAATCCATCATGCTCTTGTATGCAAGGATATGCAGGTGTACCTCCAAACTGTCACCCGGAATGTCTTGTGAATACGGACTGTCCTTCTCATCAAGCGTGCATCGCTGAAAAGTGCACAAATCCTTGTGAAGGATCATGTGGATTTAAAGCAGAATGCCGAGTGCAAGACCATATTCCGATTTGTAGTTGCCCAGTTGGATATTCCGGTGATCCATTCATCCAATGTTCTGAAGTTATAGGTAAGAAAACTAAAATATACTTGACATTTTAAAAAAGAACTCATTTTTAAAGCCATTTGAAGTTTAATAAATTTACTTTATTCATGTTTGGAAAATAAGTGAAGCTGTTAGGATTTTTATTATTGCATAAATGGGTGAACAGTTCAATTTCTTTTATTGCATCAATGGCCCATCTGATGGAAAGTGGTTACCGGAACCCATAGAAATCGCAACGTCAATGCCAACACCCATCTTGAGATATGAGGTCGTAGTTTCATTTTACTGTATAACAGCTGCCTGACTGCTTCGCGGTTGGAATAGGCCATCTGTTTATTATACATCCTTACGATCATTAAGTTACCTGATAACGCTACCTGTTCAGATTTAAGTATTAAATGTTTTTGCAGTTACACCAACACCTTCCCCAGAGCCTTGCAACCCATCACCTTGCGGAAGTAATGCTTTATGTAATGCTGGTCTCTGTACATGTGCACATGGTTATTTCGGAGATCCATACGTCGGTTGTAGGCTTGAATGCTCGACCAATGGTGAATGTTCACCTACGCGTACTTGTCAAGGAGGAAAATGTGTTGATCCATGCCCGGGAGCTTGCGGTACTAATGCTATCTGCTCAATCAACAATCATATCCCGTCTTGTACTTGCCCACCGAATACTTCCGGAGACCCGTTCACTTTCTGTACTGAAGTCGTTCACCAAGGTTGGTATTTTGCAATTTTATCAACTTCTGTATTTTTTTCCTTACCAAATGCTAGTAGACTCGAAGAAAAATTGTTAGCACTAGCCCTAGCAAGTGCAGTGCTTCAGTGAATCCACCACCGGATATAAGTTGTAATAACAATCCTGATGACATTGGAGTCACCAACATCACAAGACCAATGGTGATTTGGAGCTCCAGTGTAATATCTGATAGAAACTTCGGAGAAATACTGTAGAACGAATACACATTTGACACCTTCCTCATTTTTAAGATGACCAGAGTTTCTCCTAAAGTTAATTGCTCAACGGTATCCGTAACTAAATGCTGCTACCGAGATGATTTATTTCTGAAAACTATCATATTCCATTAATTTTCAGATACACCTACTTCGGCGTGTTCTCCTTCGCCATGTGGTCCATACAGTGAATGTTCCGTAAGCGCAAACGGTGCCGCTGCCTGCTCCTGTAAATCAGGTCATGTTGGGTCGCCTCCATCTTGTAGACCTGAATGCCTCGTTAGTGCGGAATGCAAACTTCAACAAGCTTGTATAGATCGCCGTTGCCGTGACCCTTGTGAAGGTGCTTGTGGCCGAGGTGCGCGCTGCCAAGTAATCGCACATTCCCCGATATGTACCTGTAATGATGGTTTTACCGGAGACCCATTCTCATATTGTTACCCGGCACCAGGTATTGTACCAAAAATGTTTAAGTTAAATAAAACAAAATTCGTTGCATACTTTAAATAAATAAAAATGTGATTTTTAGCCACCCCACCCACACCTATTGACCCTTGCCAACCATCACCATGTGGACCAAATTCGATGTGCGTTAATTCTGGTGAAACACCTGCGTGCAGTTGTCATCCAGGATTTATAGGAACGCCACCAAACTGTCGACCTGAGTGTACAATTAGTGCAGAATGCCCTGCCACTCTGGCGTGTGTTGGACAAAAATGTAAAAACCCGTGTGAACAAGCTTGCGGTCCACGTGCTCTCTGTTCGGTGGTTGATCATCGTGCAACCTGCGCTTGTGAACCCGGATTAGAAGGTGACCCATTCCAGGGTTGTTCTCCAGCACGAGGTAAGATATTAAAATGTGAAAATATGATTTAATATTTTTTCGAGATTTAAGACCTACAGATAAAAAACAGAATTTCAAAACAAGGAGAGGACAGTTAAATTAATATGATATTTGCAAGAACTTATTTTGATTGTAAAAATGTACAATGAAGGTAAACAAAAAATAAATGTGACATTAATCCTAAAACATGTTACAAAAAAAGAATCGCATTTAACACTTAGCTTTGCAAAGCGTGATACAGGAAAATCAGGCTTGAAACATGTGCTTTTGTTAAACAAAATTAAATTGTAAAATCATGCCTCACCTGGTTACTAATTTTAATAGGCCTCCATGAATGTTATTACTTTAGGGCTTTGTGACGACCATGCCAGCCGCAGGGCCCAGTGGTTATTTCATGAATGTTGTGCCTATTTATGTGCTTCAAACATAAGAATTTTTGGAAAAATAATTACGGTTTTGTTACGATAATAAAAACGATATTTTCTTCGAAGAATTCAAACGGGTTGTAACACATTTTTAATTATATGACAAAATAATGCCTATGCTTGAGATCGGAGCACGCGGAGATAACCTAGCACTTACAGTAAGCTTGATCCATTCGTCGTGATGGTCGCTTTGGACAGTGCCGCTAGAGATAGTGACGCTGTTCCCGGACTTGGATAAGGAAGTTATTAAATGACGCCGAGCCCAGCCCAGCTTCAACTAACGCTTCGGATAAAGGAAGTGCTTCCACGGTGGTTAAAAATCTGGTAAGTGAATTTTGATTTACTTTTCAGCTCCGCCAAAGATTGAATATTTAAATCCTTGTGAACCTTCGCCTTGTGGCGCGAATGCAGTGTGTAAAATCCAAGGAAATGCTGGTTCGTGCACTTGTTTGCCTGAATATTTTGGTGATCCATATCAAGGATGTAGACCAGAATGCTTAACAGATTCTGATTGTCCACTGGTATCATCTTGCAGCAGAAACAAATGCATAAATCCTTGTCTCGGTGCATGTGGTGTTAATACTGAATGTTTCGTTAACAACCACAAGCCGATGTGCAATTGTAAGAGTGGTTTCACAGGAAATCCAATGACTATATGTTCCGCACTAAGAGGTGAGTTTCACACAAAAATTTGAGGAATACTATTTTGTATACGTTTCGTGATATCAAATGTGGCAATTTTCAGAAAATGATGTTTACATTGAAAATGTTTGTAATCCTTCACCGTGCGGTAACAATGCAATTTGTAAAAATATAAACGAACAGCCTGTGTGTTCCTGTTTGGCGAATTTCATTGGATCTCCGCCAAATTGTCGACCAGAATGTATTGTTAATTCGGAATGCAAACCTAGTAAAGCTTGTATAAATCAGAGGTGCATCAATCCGTGTCCAAAACCGTGCGGAAAAAACAGTGAATGTAAGGTAATCAACCACAGTCCCATATGCAGCTGCCGCCAAGGCTACAGTGGGAACCCATTCACAATGTGCAACCTAGTTCTTCGTAAGTATACTTTTATCATATAAACGTAAATATCTGATTCACATATTATTATAATTTTTACTGTTTTCAACGTAAAATAATACATTTCAAAATAATTTTCCATGTCTTAATTACTTAATTTTATACCTGTTATAAATGTGCATTAAATAAAATTACGCAAAAGAATGATGCTAGTTTTCATTATTTTCACAGAGACCTTACCAAGTGTAGTTGAAACGTCCAATCCATGCTCACCGTCGCCATGCGGCCCATACTCTGAATGCCGTAACAACAACGGATTAGCAAGCTGTTCTTGCTTATCAACCTACATTGGGTCTCCACCGTTTTGCAAACCAGAATGTGTTGTTAACTCGGATTGTCCGAGTAACTTGGGATGCATTTCAGAAAAATGTAGAGATCCTTGTGAGGGCTCATGCGGCTTATTTGCGAAATGCTTCGTAAATAACCACGTGCCGGTTTGTTTATGCCCGGAAGGTTTTACGGGAGATCCATTCAGTCAATGTGTGGAAAAGCCTGTGAAAGGTGAGTCTTTAACTCACACCTTTCTATTCGTAACAAATTTTTTTATTGAAATCAGTTCATATAATGTATGTATTTTTAACAGAAATAACTCCAACTCTTCAATTAGACCCATGTCAACCAAGCCCTTGTGGACCTAATACTGAGTGTAGGAATGGTGTTTGTTCGTGTATAAATGGGTATCACGGAGATCCTAATTTAGGTTGCCGACCTGAATGCGTCTATAATGCCGACTGCCCCTCCGATAAAGGTTGCCAGAAAAATAAATGTATCAATCCATGTATTGGCACCTGCGGAGTGAATGCTATTTGTGATGTGATGAACCATATTCCAATGTGCTCTTGCCCCAAAGGAATGGTCGGAAATGCATTTGTGGAGTGTAGAGCTGTTGCAGGTAAAGTACACATTATTATGACTTAATATTACTGTTTCTTTTTAAATTAAAATTATTACTTGTTATCATCAAATGAGAAGTCGCTGGATCGAAAATTATCATTTTCATTTTTTTCTCAGCCTACGATAGTGGGTGTTATTATGAGATACGTGTTTTCGTATGTTTCTGTTGATGACATGCTAACAATATTTTATTTAATAAGTTGCCAATATTTAATCTTAACATTAATATGTCCCTATATTATTTCAGTGACAGCTACAAGCCCGTGTAGTCCATCTCCTTGTGGACCTAATAGTCAATGTCAGCAAAGTAATGGACAAGCAGTATGTTCATGTGTACCTGGATATAAAGGCAGTCCGCCTACTTGTAGACCTGAATGCGTAGTCAGCCTGGAATGTCCTCTTAATCAAGCTTGCAACAACCAAAAATGTCTTAATCCTTGCATTGGAGCTTGTGGCGCTGGAGCTGTTTGTGATGTAATTAATCACAACCCAATATGCACCTGTCCTCCTTCGTTTACTGGAGACCCATTTGTTAGATGTTCAGTCATAGGTAATTATATTATTTACGAACGTAATTCATTTACTCTCGGCATAATTTGGTTGATCACTTTATTAATTTCTTTTGGTTATTTTCAGTTGCGGTAGAACCAACGGTAAACCCGTGTGAGCCGTCACCTTGTGGTCCTAACTCTATTTGTAAAATAAGTGGAGAGAATCCAATTTGTGCTTGTTTACAAGATTACAAAGGGACTCCTCCAAATTGTCGTCCAGAGTGTATCAGTAACAGTGAATGCGAGTACCATCTAGCCTGTCAAAATAAAAAATGCATTGATCCGTGTCTTGGTACCTGCGGGTCTAACGCAGAATGTAGAGTAGTTAGTCATGCCCCAAATTGTATCTGTCAAGTAGGATATACTGGAGACCCTTTTGCTTACTGTAGTATGTTAGCAGTAATGGATTACACAGAAATTCTGACACCGTGCAGTCCTAGCCCCTGTGGCGCTAACGCTATTTGTAGAGAACAAAAAGGAGTTGGATCATGTCAATGTTTGGATGGTTATTCGGGCAATCCCTATGAAGGTTGTCGACCAGAATGTGTCGTCAATTCCGATTGTCCTCTTAATAAAGCTTGTTCGAGGATGAAGTGCGTCGATCCTTGTCCAGGAGTATGTGGTTCAAATGCTTTATGCTTAGTTAACAATCATATGCCAACATGCATTTGTCAGCCGGGATATACCGGAAATCCGTTCGGATATTGTACTATTATGCAAGAACGTAAGTACCATTTTTTTATATTCTTCATATATTTTCTGACTTAATGGTTCTTTTGTAAATATAAAATCTAATAATATAGTTTTAGTATCATTAACATCTGAAAATATTTTGCTTTATTTTCAGCTCAAGTATTGGAAACATATCCTTGTAACCCTACGCCCTGTGGTGCCAACAGTCAGTGCAAAGAAATAAATGGACAAGCTGTATGTTCCTGTTTACCTTCATTTAGTGGTTCCCCACCGAACTGCCGACCAGAATGTGTTGTAAGCTCGGAATGCCCACCGGATTTGTCTTGCAGTTCACAAAAATGCATTAATCCCTGCGAAGGCGCATGTGGAGAAAACGCTCGCTGTAATGTTATTAATCACAGTCCTATTTGTGTATGCAAGCAAGGATTAACTGGAAATCCTTTCACAAGATGCTATCCAATAACAGGCATGTATAAATTTATTATAAAAATTATGAAATTGTTATAACAGGATAAAATTCTTGCTCCATTTTTGTTTGAAGTTTAAGTTTATGTTATTTTCTTACAGTTTCTAAACCGCCTCAAAATATACCAATACAAGATCCGTGCATCTCTTCGCCATGTGGACCATACGCAGAATGTAGAAATATAGAAAATGCTCCATCTTGCGCTTGTAAATTGAATTATGTTGGAACTCCACCTAACTGTAGACCGGAGTGCACTATAAACTCTGAATGCTCTAGTAACCAAGCGTGTATTAATGAAAAGTGCCGCGACCCGTGTCTTGGTGCCTGTGGAATTAATGCTCAATGCTCTGTATTTAATCATGTCGCACAATGTAGTTGCATTGAACAACACACTGGAGATCCTTTTACTCGTTGCTCACCTGCAATAGAACAAGACGGTGGGTGTTTTTTTTAATATGAAACCGTTAAAATACAAAATGTCAAATTTTGAAATGTTGCGATATCAAACAAAATAATTGTATTGCTGAATATTTTTTCTAGAATTCTCGGAACGTGACCCGTGCAACCCGTCGCCCTGTGGAGCAAACGCAGAATGCAATAATGGAATTTGTACATGTTTGCCTGATTACCAAGGTGACCCGTATTTTGGATGCAGGCCTGAATGTTTGCTCAACAACGACTGTCCTCAAGAAAAGGCTTGTGTGAAGAAAAAATGCGTGGACCCATGCTTTAATACGTGTGGCACTGACGCAATTTGCAACGTGTATAATCACCTGCCAATGTGCTCGTGTCCAAATGGATTTACAGGAAATGCTTTTCTACAATGTCGACCTATAAAGAATATTGAAGAAATAAACCCATGTAGTCCTTCGCCTTGTGGTCCAAATAGTCAGTGCCGAGAAGTTAACGGACAAGCGATTTGCTCCTGTTTCCCCGGATTTTTCGGAGCTCCTCCAACTTGCAGACCAGAATGCATATCGAGTGCTGAATGTGCATTGAACAAAGCTTGTTCTAATCAACGTTGTATTGATCCTTGCAAAGGAAATTGTGGTACAGCGGCCATATGTCAAGTTATTAACCACAATCCTATATGCTCGTGTCCACATGGATTCACTGGCGATCCATTTTCGAGATGTTCTGTTCAAGGTAGCCTTTGTTTATCAACAATATTTTTACAGTTTGAATCACCAATAAACGCTTCTTTATACCTCAAGATCATTGCGTCATCATAGTGTAATACTGTAATGTCATGGATTGTAATTCTGACAATTATCTAACCGTGTAACCGCATCCAATAGCTCATTTGTTCCAATATTTATTTATTGATCTTGTCATAATATAACATTTTTTTTGTCGCATTACAGAAGAAGAAATACCTCAATATGTAAATCCTTGTGAGCCATCACCTTGTGGACCGAACTCGATTTGCAAAGAAGTTGGTAACTCGCCATCTTGCGCTTGCTTGGAAACATACTTAGGCCATCCACCAAATTGTCGACCAGAATGTATCGCCAATTCAGAATGTCCCAATAGTATGGCATGTATGAATCAAAAATGCAAGGATCCATGCCCCGGTTCTTGCGGATCTAATGCAGAATGTAAGGTTGTGAGTCACGCGCCGCAGTGTATTTGTTCCCCTGGTTATACAGGAGATCCATTCATAGCTTGTTTATTGCAAGACATACCTTTGACGCCATGTCAACCTTCACCTTGTGGTCCGAATGCAATATGTAAGCAGCAAGGAAATGCCGGCGCTTGTGTATGTTTACCAGAATATTTAGGAAATCCATACGAGGGCTGTCGTCCAGAATGTATAGTTAATTCTGACTGTGCAACCAATCTAGCATGTATTCAAAACAAATGTAAAAATCCATGTAACAGCGCTTGTGGCCTCAACGCGATATGTAATGTCATAAATCATTCACCAAAATGTGAGTGTTTGCCGGGATTAACTGGAAATCCATACCAAAACTGCTATGAGCAAAGCGCAGGTTTGTGTTAATTGATTTTTCGTATTTGATGAATCGTATTCCATTTAAGTAGAGATTATTAAAACAATGTTTTCTTGACACAGATACTCCTTCGGTTACGAAAAATCCTTGTACGCCTTCGCCGTGTGGTCCCAACAGTATATGCAAGATTAATAATGAACAGGCTGTGTGCACTTGTCAACAAGATTTCATTGGAACACCACCATCATGCAAACCCGAATGCGTGATCAGCTCTGAATGCTCGCAACAACAAGCTTGTATTAAAAAAAAATGCAGAAATCCTTGTGAAGGTGTTTGCGGACAGAACTCTGAGTGCAAAGTTATCAATCATAGTCCCATTTGCACATGTCGTGTACATTACACCGGCGATCCATTTAATGGTTGTTCTAAAATTGGTATGTGTTATTTTATTATAGTATAGAAAAAATGTACTATAGTGGATAGGTTAAATATTCACGACAATTTTATTTATTTATTTTAGTTGCTGCTGAGATTATTCCTCTGCCAACAAATCCATGTCTACCATCTCCGTGTGGTCCATTTGCACAATGTCGTGATATAGGTGGATCGCCTTCATGTTCTTGTTTACCTCTCTATATTGGCCAACCTCCAAATTGTAGACCAGAATGTACTATCAACACCGATTGTCCTAGCGATAAATCGTGCATCAATGAAAGATGCGTAGATCCGTGCCCTGGGTCGTGTGGAATCTACGCAGAATGCAGAGTTCAAAATCACGTTTCAATCTGCACATGTCTTGAGGGTTACACAGGAGATCCCTTTAATGCATGTATACTGAAACCACAAAAAGGCAAGTGTTTGATTCTATATACCTTTTCTTGTTTTTCACTTAGTTTTCTAAAAAAATTGTTGAATATTTCAATTTATTGTTTTTTTTTTAACAGATCCTGTTCCTTCTGATCTTTGTAATCCATCACCTTGTGGACCAAATGCCATTTGCAATGACGGGATATGTTCTTGTCTACCTGAATTTCAAGGTGACCCGTACTTTGAATGTCGTCCAGAGTGCACGATAAGTTCAGAATGTCCGATGAATAAAGCTTGTGTTCAAAATCATTGCGTGGATCCATGTCCGAATACATGTGGTACTAATGCCATTTGTCAAGCAATAAATCACATGGCAGTGTGTACATGTCCGGCAGGGATGTCTGGCAACGCATTTATACAATGCAACCCTATAAAAGGTAAAAATAATAGTTATTACAATTCCACACTTAGTAGTGTCGTGTAAGATATAACAGAATTGTAAGTTTTTTAACATGTGCTAAAAAAAAAACATATTTTTCAGAATTTTCCATTGTAAACCCATGTCAACCAAGCCCGTGTGGAGCAAATAGTCAATGCCGAGAATTAAATGGTCAAGCAATATGTACATGCTTACCGGGATATCGCGGTACTGCGCCTTATTGTCGCCCAGAATGTGTGGCAAGCTCTGAATGCCCATCGGACAAAGCCTGTAGCAATCAGAAATGTATTAACCCATGCCAGGGAACTTGTGGGGTTGCAGCCCAATGTCAAGTAATACATCACAACCCCATTTGTACGTGTTCTACAGGTTTTACGGGAGATCCATTTACACGATGTACTGCTACGCGTAAGTAGTTAATATTTTTTTAAGTTTTCATTAAATTGAATAATGAAGAATAAGTGTGCTTGAAGTTGATGTTTTCTTATTTTAGCTCTCGAGTTACCTACGGCCCCTATAAACCCTTGTCAACCATCACCGTGTGGTCCTAATTCAATTTGTCAAGAAAACGGCAGCCAAATACCTTCTTGTCAGTGTATGCCCGAATACATTGGTGCACCGCCGAATTGTCGTCCTGAATGTCTCGCAAACAGTGAATGTGCTCCTCATTTAGCCTGTATCAATAAAAAATGCCAAAATCCATGTGAAAAAGCATGTGGTACAAACGCTGAGTGTCGAGTTGTGAGTCATACAGCGGTCTGCATTTGTCCAGAAGGATATAGCGGTGATGCAGCAATTCAGTGTTCACAAAATGCTGTTGTTCCATTCGAAACACTTTCAGCTTGTGAACCTTCACCTTGTGGAGCAAACGCAGAGTGTATAGAACGGGCTAGTGCAGGTGCTTGCATTTGCCGAAAAGGATATATCGGAAATCCATATGACGGCTGTCATCCAGAATGTGTTGTAAGTTCGGACTGTCCGAGTAACAAGGCTTGCACAAGAAATAAGTGTATAGATCCATGTCCTGGTACATGTGCATCGAACGCTAATTGCCAAGTTGTTAACCATTCGCCTCTTTGTACATGTAAAACGGGATACATTGGAGATCCATTCACCGCATGCAAACTCGAACGTAAGTTGAAATATTTATAATATCAAGAGCAATTGTTTATTGGTATTTTTTTTATTTTCATTATTAAAATTAATAACATAATTGCAGCTCAACTTGATTTACCAGTTAATCCGTGTCAGCCATCTCCTTGTGGACCAAACAGTCAATGCAAGGTTTCGAATGGCCTGAGCATTTGCTCATGTTTACCAGAGTACAGCGGATCCCCTCCAAATTGTAGACCAGAATGTGTTGTGAGCGCAGAATGTCCTTCAGAAAAAACATGCAGAAACAAAAAATGTGTGTCACCATGTCCCGACCCTTGCGGTCAAAACACGAACTGCAAAGTTATTAATCACAGTCCAATATGCTCTTGCCAAAGCGGATACACTGGAGACCCATTCTCACGTTGTTACCGTGTAACTAGTAAGTATATTTTGAAACAATAAGTCGTTGATTGTGTATTTTCCTGATAATTTACTATAATACATAATAATATGTGTACTATTCTCACTTAACAACAATTATTTACCAGTATATAATAAATGTCTCGTTTCATTTTCAGCCACGGAACTTACACCTCAACAACAAAGAGACCCTTGTGTGCCTTCCCCTTGTGGGCCGAACTCCTATTGTCAAGACCTAAGAGGTATTCCCTCGTGTTCTTGTTTACCCAACTTCGAAGGGAATCCGCCTAACTGCAGACCTGAGTGTACTATCAATGAAGACTGTGCCAGTAATTTAGCGTGCATAAATCAAAAATGTAAAGATCCATGCCCTGGTTCATGTGGTATTAATGCTAACTGTCAGACTCAAAATCATATAGCGATCTGTTCATGTATCGAAAGCTTTACCGGAGATGCTTTCACGCAATGCAAACCAATACCATTTATAGGTGAGTTTTATCAACTTTTTTTTAAAATTCATGTTCAGATTATACACCTATTGATTTGAGATGAGATGAATTTTAATTTATTATAAAAAACAACAACAACACGTGTTTTCTTGCAGAAGAAAGTGATCCCTGTAATCCATCTCCATGTGGTATAAATGCTGAGTGCTCAAACGGAAAATGTACCTGCTTTGAGGAGTACCAAGGTGATCCATACACTGGTTGCCGACCGGAGTGCTTGGAAAGTTCAGAATGTGAACGGGATAAAGCTTGCATTAAAAATAAATGTAAAGATCCGTGTCCAGGAACCTGCGCGTCGAATGCTGAATGTAATGTCATCAATCACATACCTATGTGTAGCTGTCCTGAACGAATGACTGGCAATGCATTTGTAGAGTGCCGTCCAATAATAGGTATAACAATAACTTTGAGTTCGAACACTAATTTACTCTTTATTTATATAAAATATAATACTATTTATGAATATCTTTCACAGAAGCAATTATAACAAATCCTTGTGAACCATCACCTTGCGGGCCTAATAGTCGCTGCAGAGATGTGAATAATCAAGCTGTTTGTTCATGTGCACCAAATAACATAGGTTCTCCGCCGTCATGTCGTCCTGAATGTACAATTAGTTCTGAATGTCCTCTCAATCAGGCCTGCAGTAATCAACGTTGTGTGGATCCTTGCGTCGGTTCATGTGGTGTTAATGCAGAATGCAAAGTTGTAAATCATAATCCAATTTGTTCGTGTCCAACATTTTACACAGGAGACCCATTCTCAAGATGTATGAGGCAACGTGAGTAATCCAGTTTTACATATAAATGTAAATAAACATAGTTATATTTTGCTGTTTATTCAATGAATTTTTAAACTTCCAGCTGAACGTCTTCCTGAGCCAACTAATCCGTGCGCACCATCACCATGTGGTCCAAACTCGGTTTGTCGAGAAGTAAACGGGGCGCCATCGTGTATTTGTTTAGAAGGATTCAAGGGTCAACCTCCCTATTGCAAGCCCGAATGTAGTAGTAATGAAGAATGTTCTCCACACTTGTCTTGTATTCGCAATAAATGTAAAAATCCCTGTGAAAACGTATGCGCTGTAAACGCTGAATGTAAAGTTGTGAGCCATTCGCCGGTTTGCGTGTGCCAATATGGTTTTACTGGCGACCCATTCTTCGAATGTATTCAAGAACCCTTATATACAGAACCTATCACATCTCCCTGTTCGCCATCACCTTGTGGAGCTAATGCTATCTGTAAAGAACGTGACAACGCAGGGTCCTGTTCATGTATCGATGGTTACATGGGTAATCCATATGAAGGATGTAGACCTGAATGTGTAGTTAATACTGATTGCCCGTCAAACAGAGCCTGTGTTAATTATAAATGCAATGATCCGTGTCCAGGAAGTTGTGGTACCAATGCGGAATGTCAGACTGTTAATCATGTGCCCTTATGTACTTGTATTAATGGCTATACTGGTGATCCATTTAGATACTGTGTTTATCAAGGTAAGCAATGTATTTTGTATTAGTATTTATTTATAGCCGCTGTAACCAAAGTGAGATATCGACCTCATGTCGGACAGCTCTATTGTCTACTAGCTCCAGTGACCTAAAACTACGCAGATGTACCTAATTAGGTCGATTTAAAAAAACCATGAACTTAATGATTTTCGAATATTTTCAGATTCTCCAGTACTAGCTCCGGTTGACGTATGTAACCCTTCGCCGTGTGGACCTAACAGCCAATGTAGAACTATTAACGGCCAAGCTGTGTGTTCCTGTTTGATAGAATATGTTGGATCTCCACCTAATTGTCGGCCAGAATGCATAGTCAGCTCTGAGTGTTCGCACGACAAAGCATGCGTCAACAATAAGTGTGTAAATCCTTGTCCTAAACCATGCGGAGTCAATGCTGACTGTAAAATGATTAATCACAGTCCAATTTGTTCATGTAAAAATGCTTACACTGGAGATCCATTTACTGTTTGCACCGCAATAAAACGTGAGTTAAAAAGTGATTGCCTACAACAGATACTTCAAAAATATTTATCATCGTTAACACATTTAATATTCAAAAATTATTTTTCAGATGAACCTGTACCAGATACGAGCGATCCTTGCGTACCCTCCCCATGTGGACCATATTCGCAGTGTCGAAACATTGGAAACAATCCGTCATGTTCTTGTCTTCCAACGTATACAGGCAGTCCACCTAACTGTAGACCAGAATGTATTATACATTCTGATTGCCCTGGTGATCGAGCATGTATTGGTTCCAAATGTCTAGATCCTTGTCCAGGATCATGTGGTATTTCAGCTACCTGTAACGTTCAAAATCACATACCAATTTGTACGTGCATTGAGGGATACATAGGTGATCCATTCACCGATTGTAAACCTAAACCCTTAGAAGGTAAAAACTTAAACCTTTCAATTATGACATATATAATAATATGTAATTCTCTTCTGCTTGTTTTCATTTTAATTTTAATTTTAATTTCAGTTGAACCAAGTGTGACAGATGCTTGTACAAACATAAGATGCGGTTCCAATGCTGAATGCATTAACGGTCAATGTCAATGCTTCCCGGAATACCACGGTGATCCTTACTTTAGTTGTCGACCAGAATGTGTGTTTAGCAGCGACTGTGATGAAACCAAAGCCTGTATACTAAAGAAATGTGTGGATCCTTGCATTGGAGCTTGCGGACAGAATGCTATTTGTCAAGTTTTCAATCACATTCCGATGTGTAGTTGTAATAATGGCTTCACTGGTAATGCGTTTGTCAGGTGCAATGCGGTCAGAGGTATTTTTTTGTTTTTACATATCACGTTGAAATTAAATTTTTGTATCAATAATTACATGCATAATGTAAATAAACAAAAAAATTGTTTTTAGAACCGACTATCAAACATCCTTGCAGTACAGCGGTATGTGGTCCAAATAGCCAATGCCGAGAGGTACATGATCAAGCAGTTTGTTCTTGTTTACCATCGTATTTGGGCACACCGCCCGCTTGCAGACCCGAATGTGTAGTTAACGCTGAATGCCCACAAAATCAAGCTTGTATGAAACAAAAATGTATTAACCCATGCGCTGGTACATGCGGTTCGAGAGCATCGTGCGATGTCATCAATCATAACCCCATTTGTACTTGTCCTGCTGGTTATTCTGGGGATCCATTTGTAGAATGCAAAATTTTATACAGTAAGTATAATATTGGCTATAATCTTATTTAAATTTGTGCGATCTAAGTCTAGTCTAAGTGTTTCAGTGAATCTAACTTTTTATTTTTTATACAGATACACCACCTGTTGTTATTGACCCATGTCAACCATCACCCTGCGGACCTAATTCTATTTGTGAAGTCAAAAATAACAATCCATCCTGTACATGCAAAGAAGAATACAATGGACAACCTCCATACTGTAAACCAGAATGTATAAGTAACAGCGAATGTGCACCACATCTTGCATGCATCAAACAAAAATGTAGAGATCCTTGTATAAAAGCGTGCGGAACAAACGCAGAGTGTCGTGTTGTCAGCCATTCGGCTATGTGTATTTGTCCACAAGGATATTTAGGTGACCCCTTCGTTCAATGCTCTGTTAAAATTGAAGATGAAATTCTTGCTCCATGTTCTCCATCACCTTGTGGACCTAATGCGATTTGCCGTGAACATCACAACATTGGTGCGTGCATTTGCAATGACGGCTACTTCGGCAATCCTTATGAAGGATGTCGTCCTGAATGTATTTCTAACTCCGACTGCCCAGGCGACAGAGCTTGTATCGGTAACAAATGTCAAGATCCATGTCCAGGAACGTGTGGTATTAACTCTGAATGCACAACAGTATATCATTCACCAACTTGCACATGTATTCAGGGTTACACTGGAGATGCTCTCCGTCGCTGCAATCCTATTTTGCGTAAGTTTTATTTTCTTTTTTCATTTAGTTTTTGCCCGGTTATGAAAATTCGACCATATTTCCTGATATATACATTTTCAGTATTTTCTGTTCTGTTTCATAAGTGAACGTTTGAGAAAAATACTGTTTCTAAATATTTTTATTTAATTAAGGTCGTTAAGCTTTATAAAATCGGTTGTCAAACAAAAGAAAATGGTATATAATATTTTATTTTTGCCTATTTAGGCATAATTAATCAGATTGAAACTTTAAACATTACTATTGGTACTTCTTGAAATGTTTCTGGTTAATATATCTCTTGCAACTCATTTCAACATATTAGGTATATGTAGTCACGATAATCAGTATATAGCCATAGGATACAAATAGCAAAACTAGGCACTTTTTTGTAATTTTTTTTTAGATCATTTATATAATTATATTTGTTTTTAGCTCAAGAAAATATTCAAGAAAACCTTTGTATTCCAAATCCATGTGGACCACATAGTCAGTGTCGAGAAATTAACGGTCAGGCAGTTTGTAGCTGTTTGTCCAATTATATTGGAGAGCCCCCCTCATGCAAACCTGAATGCATTTTAAATTCAGATTGTAACTCTAACAAGGCCTGCGTTAATCATAAATGTATTAATCCTTGTCCGGGACCATGTGGCGAAAAAGCTGAATGCAAAGTGTTTAATCATAATCCTATCTGCAGCTGTCATTCAGGTTTCACAGGAGATCCTTTCACGCGATGCTATCCAAAACCAGGTAAGCTTGGGGCTGATTTATATTATGCTAGGCTGGCTGATGAGCCAACGGCTTCTACACAGCTATCATCTGTCAACACGTAAACATAATGACAGTGAACTATTCACATTATTAACATTTGATTAGCACCTTAGATTCCTTATATTTTAGCGGTACGATGGTAATTTTATAAATATCATTGCCTCTAATCTTTTGGTTTTACTTTTATGCTTTTATATTGATTCTTTTAAATTTTTACGGTGAATTGTTTTAGTAATACAAACCATGTACGAGGAAAGAAACGACCCATGCGTACCTTCGCCTTGTGGTCCACTCTCAATATGTAGAAATGTCGGTGATCAGCCTTCCTGTTCCTGTGCTCCCGGCTACATCGGTAGTCCTCCAAATTGTCGCCCTGAATGTGTTACAAATCAAGAATGTCAAAGTTCACTGGCTTGCATCAACGAAAAGTGCAAAGATCCTTGTCCAGGTTCTTGTGGTCAAAATGCGAAATGTTCAGTTATAGAACACGTATCTATTTGCACCTGTCTGGAAGGCTATAAGGGTGATCCGTTTACTTCATGTGCACCGCAACCAATACAAGGTAGGTACTTTGAAAAGATTGTTTAAAATTAAATTATTTTTAAATGTGCTTAATATATCATTAAATTTCATATTTTTACAGACCTGGTTCCAGCTGATCTTTGTAATCCATCTCCTTGCGGATCAAATGCCGAATGCAATAACGGGGAATGCTCATGTTTACCCGATTACAGAGGTGATCCCTATCTGGGATGTCGACCTGAATGCACGATCAGTTCAGATTGTCAAAAGAATCAAATATGTGCTAAAAAGAAGTGTTTCAATCCGTGTCCTGACACGTGTGGTCAGAATGCTATTTGTGAAGTCATTAATCACGTGCCTATGTGCAGTTGCCCTGCAGGATTTACTGGAAACTCTTTTGTTACTTGCAATGCTATTCAAGGTATATATTAAAGCCCATTGTTCATTTTAACGTGTTATCATAAGTATTAGTATTAACAATGAAGACGCTAAATTATATTTTTTCTTTCTAGTACCCATAGCGGTTAACCCTTGCAATCCAAGTCCTTGTGGACCGAACAGCCAGTGCAAAGAAATTAAGAATGTCGCTGTATGCTCTTGTATACCAGGCTTTTCAGGAAACCCACCTACTTGCAGGCCTGAGTGTACCACAAGTGCAGAGTGCTCTTTAGATAAAGCTTGCAATAACTATAAATGCATCAACCCATGTAATGGTGCTTGTGGCATTGGAGCATTTTGTCAAGTGGTAAATCACAATCCAATATGTTCGTGTCCAAACGAATATACGGGAGATCCATTTACTAGATGTGTACTGAAACGTAAGTATTGGCTCACTAGATTTACGGAAGATAAATGAACAATAAATAAAACATTAACTTTATAAATATTTTAGCTGCAGAAATACAACCGCAAGTTAATCCGTGCTCACCTTCGCCTTGTGGACCAAACTCAATATGCCAAAATAATAATGATTCTCCCTCATGTTCCTGCCTACCGGAATATACTGGAGTACCCCCGAATTGCCGTCCGGAATGTACAAGTAATAGTGAATGTGGAAACCATTTGGCGTGTATCAACAATAAATGTGGAGACCCTTGTGTCGGCGCTTGTGGACAAAATGCTGAATGCCGAGTAGTCAGCCACACGCCGAACTGTGTCTGCCCGTCAGGCTTTATTGGAGATCCATTTATACAATGTTCAATACAAGAAATTTTACATGAAAATATCACTCCGTGTGTCCCGTCGCCTTGTGGAAGCAATGCTTTATGTAAAGAACGCAACAATGCTGGTTCGTGTGTTTGCTTACCTGGATATTTCGGGAATCCATATGAAGGATGCAGACCCGAATGCATAGTAAATACTGACTGTCCTTCGAATAGAATTTGTCAACAAAATAAATGTCAAGATCCATGTCCAGGAACATGCGCTGCAAATGCTCAGTGCAACACAGTGAACCACGCTCCGATATGCACTTGTTTACCTGGCTTCACTGGAAATCCTTTCCAAAGCTGTCTTATCATTCAAAGTAAGTATGATATTCTTTTCAACGTAAAACTGCATTATAATTTATTTTTTATATTTTCATTAATATGTCTTTTGATTTCAGACATTGAAATTGAAACGAACCCTTGCTCACCAAATCCGTGCGGACCAAATAGTATATGTAAACAAGTAAACGAACAAGCAGTTTGCACATGTTTGGCAGATTATCGCGGCGCTCCTCCAAATTGTAGGCCAGAATGTGTAGTCAGTGCTGAATGTCCAACAAATAAAGCTTGTGTCTCCTTGAAATGTCAAGATCCATGCATAGGACAGTGTGGTCTTAACACGAAATGTCAAGTTATAAATCATAGTCCTATATGTTCATGTATAGAAAGGTTTACAGGTGATCCTTTTAGCCGATGTTTTGCTTTAGTATCTAGCCCACCTACGCACGAGGAACAACCAAAGAATCCATGCTTACCATCGCCTTGTGGACCATTTAGTGAATGCAGAGATATCGGAGGTATATCCTCATGTATTTGTTTGCCTAATTACATTGGGGCCCCTCCAAATTGTCGCCCAGAGTGTACAATTAATGCTGATTGTCCTAGTAATTTGGCTTGTATGAACCAGAGATGCAAAGATCCTTGTCCAGGCTCTTGTGGTTTAAACGCTCAATGTTTTGTCAAGAAGCACATGCCGATTTGCACTTGTCTTGACAATTATGAAGGAGATGCATTTACTGAATGTAAACTTCAAGGTATCTATACATTTTGTCCTTTCGTCAATTTGGCATTATTATAAAAAAGTAATATATTTTAACTCTTTGAATTTTATTTCCACAGAACAAATTAATGATGAAATAGATTTGTGTAATCCATCACCCTGTGGTCCTAATGCCATTTGTAATAACGGAGAGTGTACATGCCTTCCTGAATACCAAGGAGATCCGTTCTTTGAATGCAGGCCTGAATGTGTACTGAATTCCGATTGTCCCCAAGACAAAGCTTGCCAAAAGAATAAATGTACAAACCCATGTTTAAGCAACGCTTGTGCCGCTAATGCGATATGCGAAGTTTTCAATCATGTTGCCATGTGTAGATGCCCAGAACGTATGACAGGAAACGCATTTGTTCTATGCTCACACCTGGAAGGTACATTGATTTTATTGTAAAAATAGACTGTAAAATAATCACACTATTTAAATGATTTAATTCTTATAAGTGTATGGTATGAAACTGATGATAATTTTTTGGCTTTATTTCAGTTGTCAAACCACAGCCATGTCAACCAAGTCCTTGTGGTCCTAACAGTCAATGCCGTGAAATTAATGGGCAAGCTATATGTGCTTGTTTCATTGGGTTTGTTGGAAGTCCTCCATCTTGTAGGCCTGAATGTACAGTGAGCACTGATTGTTCTCCCAACGAAGCCTGCAGCAATCAAAAATGTATCAACCCATGCCAAGGAACTTGTGGAGTGAACGCACAATGCCAAGTTATTAATCATAATCCTATTTGCTCATGTCCATCTTCTCTGACTGGAAATCCATTTGTAAGATGCTTTGTGCAAGAGTTTAAGCCTGAGTATAGTGATCCGTGCACACCATCACCTTGTGGACCAAACTCTATGTGCCAAGAAATTTCTGGAGCGCCGTCATGTTCCTGTCTTGATGAATATATTGGAAAACCACCTTACTGTAAACCTGAATGTATCAGTAATACTGAATGCCCACTACACTTGGCTTGCATTAACCAGAAGTGTAAAGACCCTTGCCCAGGTTCTTGCGGATTAAACACGCAATGTCATGTAGTAAGTCACTCTCCAACCTGTTCTTGTGATTTAGAATATACAGGAAATCCATTCATAGAATGTCACCGCATACAAATAATATCTGAAGCAACAACTCCATGTCAACCTTCACCCTGTGGTGCAAATACTATTTGTAAAGAATTCAATGGTGCTGGTTCATGCGTGTGTTTGGAAGAATATTTTGGAAATCCTTATGAAGGTTGTAAACCAGAATGCATAATTAATACGGATTGTCCTTCAAACAAAGCTTGTCTGCAAAACAAATGTCAAGACCCTTGTCCAAGTGCATGCGCACCGAATGCAGTATGCCAAGTAGTGAACCATAACCCATCTTGCTCGTGCGAACGAGGATATACTGGAGATCCCTTCCGATACTGTACACCAGAACGTAAGTTATTTAAAACACATCCATTACTTTATAAATGCTATTAAAATTATTCACATGATTATGATGATTACATTGATGAACATAAATTTACAATTTTATGTTTTACCTATTAAATTTTGTAAAGTACCATAGATTGCAACTGGAATATTTGATTATTAAATTACAGAAATTTTGGAAACGCCAATTAACGTATGTCAGCCCTCACCGTGCGGGCCGAATAGTAGATGTCAAGAAGTCAACAAACAAGCTGTATGTTCTTGTCTACCAAATTACGTTGGGTCTCCTCCTGGTTGTCACCCCGAATGTGTAACTAATGGAGAATGTCCTAGAGACATGGCTTGCATTAATCAGAAATGCGGTAACCCCTGCCTGGATGCCTGTGGAATCAATGCAGAATGCAGGGTTATAAATCATAATCCAATCTGCCAATGCACAATGCATTATACTGGAGATCCATTCACAAGATGTAATCCTATACCCCGTAAGTTTATTATATTTTTTTGTTTGTTAATTTAATCAATTTTAAATAGTTGTTAATTATTCCACGTTGTCTTTTTAGCTCCAGTTGCTAATGCTGATTTAGAACCATACAGAAATCCCTGCGTTCCGTCACCCTGTGGGCCAAATTCCATATGTCACGAAATAGGAAACATTCCCTCCTGCGCTTGTATGGATAATTATATAGGAAATCCACCGAACTGTAGGCCAGAGTGTATAGTAAATTCGGAATGTCCAACATCATTAGCTTGTATACAACAAAAATGTAAAGACCCCTGTAAAGGATCATGCGGATTAGGTGCCATTTGTACGGTTTCTCGTCATACACCGATTTGTGTGTGTCCTGATGGCTATATTGGAGATGCCTTTACCATATGCCAGCCAAAACGACCAGGTAATTATAATATAAAAAACTTATAAAGTGCTACCCTTAAAATATATGTTATTGGAGCAATTGCAAAAAAAATTATAAACGAAATTATAATTACAATCTTTTTATTTTATTTTTAGAAGCAGATATTGTTGATAAATGCAATCCGTCACCGTGCGGTTCCAATGCCATTTGTTCTGATGGTGTTTGTAGTTGCATAGAAGAACACCAAGGAGATCCATATATTGGATGCAGACCTGAATGTGTTCTTAGTACTGATTGTCCTAGAGATAAAGCTTGTGTTAAAAATAAATGCATAAATCCATGCATAGACACATGTGCTTCTAATGCCATATGTGACGTGATAAACCACACGCCAATGTGCAGTTGTCCTCAAGGCATGACTGGAAATGCTTTCTACTCTTGTGATTTCATAAAAGGTATAATATCATATCAGTAAATAATCATTAAATATACAATGTACTTCATAATTTACATGTACTAAATTTTATGTCATTTCGTAGTGCCTGTTGTGACAAATCCTTGCCTTCCATCACCTTGTGGTCCGAACAGTCAATGTCGTGAAATAAATGGGCAGGCTGTATGTACCTGCATCCAAGGTTATATTGGCAGCCCTCCTTTATGTAGGCCAGAATGTGTTGTGAGTTCAGACTGTCCTTCTGACAAAGCGTGCAGCAACCAAAAATGTATTAACCCATGCGATGGATCTTGTGGAATAGAAGCAAAATGCATGGTAGTTAAACACAACCCAATTTGTACCTGTCCAAATAAATACACTGGAGATCCGTTTACAAGATGCGTGCCATTTAGTGAGTATATTCATGATTTAATGATTGGACGATAGTGTTAAAATTCACTATCCTACAATCTTCAAAAATGTAGATATTTCGAAAAAATCAATACATTATCGACGTACTAGTAACATCCTAGGTGTACGAAAAAAAAAAAATTTTTAAAACAGACCTATTTTCTAAAGCTCTGAAGTAATATAATATGAGATACTTTTCTACTAAGTTCTTCAAATACCTCTCGCTATCCTTTAAACCGTCATCGCTGTCGTCTAATATATAATTTCTACAACAACTTATTTTAGGAGTACCTACAGCGGACGTGACGCCTTGTACGCCATCTCCATGTGGTCAAAATTCAATTTGCAAAGAAGTATCTGGAACTCCATCTTGCACGTGCATGCCAGATTTCTTTGGTACACCGCCATATTGCAAACCTGAATGCACTAGTAACAATGAATGTCCCGTTAACAAAGCTTGCATAAATCAAAAATGTGCTGATCCTTGTACCAGCGCATGTGGACTTAATGCTCTATGTAGGACAATAAGTCATACGCCGACCTGTTTTTGTGATAACGGTTATACTGGTGATCCATTTACGAGATGCTTTATTGAAGAAATTTTATACGAACATTCGTCACCATGCGAACCCTCACCGTGCGGACCTAATGCTTTATGCAAAGAACATAATTCAGCCGGATCGTGTGTTTGTTTACCCGATTATATTGGCAATCCGTATGAAGGGTGCAGACCAGAATGTACGATTAATACTGACTGTGAACCTAGCAAGAGTTGTATTCGCAACAAATGCCAAGACCCATGTCCAGGAACATGTGGAGCATTAGCAACGTGTGCTGTTGTAAATCATTTACCAACTTGCTCGTGTCTGGAAGGTTACACCGGAGATCCGTATAGAAGATGTGATATTATGCAAGGTATATTTAAAAAACTTTATACATATATATTTTTTAGTTATTGCTTAGGTGGGTGGACGAGCTCACGGCCCACCTGATGCTAATTGGTTACCGAAGCCCATGAACATCTACAACGTAAATGCCGCAACCTACCTTGAGATATGAGTTCTAAGGTCTCAGTTTTTATAGTACAACGGCTGCCCCACTCTTCAAACTGAAATTCATTACTGCTTCGCGACAGAAATAGGCAGTGTGATGGTACGTACTCGTGCGCACTCACAAGACGTCCTACCACCAGTATTTACGAAAATTATAATTATGCGGATTTAATTTTTATTACACGATGTTATTCCTTCACCGTGGAAATCAATTGTGAACATTTGTTATGTACGTATTTCATTAACAAAATTGGTACGTGCCTGCGGGAATCGAACACCGGTGCATCGCTAGATACGAATACATCGGGACGTCTTAGACATTAGACCACGACGACTTCTTAAAATTTCTCTTCATTTGTTTTAATTTAAATTTTAAGCCACATGTATGATGTTTATAGGTCATAAATCTAATCTTAAATATATCTTCACTTATTTCAGTTCCAACAGCTATATCGATCACGCCGTGCGTGCCTAATCCATGTGGCCCGAACAGTATCTGCCACACAGTTAATAATCAGAGCGCATGTTCATGTATGCCTGAATACGTGGGATCACCGCCTGGTTGCAGACCAGAATGTACAGTTAGCTCGGAATGTCCACAGAATAGAGCATGTATCAATTTAAAATGCACAGACCCTTGTCCAAGTCATTGTGGAATAAATTCCCAATGTAAAGTCATAAACCATAGTCCTATTTGTACTTGTAAACTAGGATTCCTCGGAGACCCATTCACAAGATGTTATCCTCAACGTAAGTAGTGTACATATACTTATAAGATGTAAAACTGATAAGTCACAATTAACTAATTTACATACTTCATTATTACAGCTGAAGATATACCAGTTACTAAGAATCCGTGTTTGCCAAATCCTTGCGGTGATAACGCTATTTGTAGAGAAATAAACGGTTCGCCGTCTTGTGCATGCATACCGAATTTCCTAGGAATTCCACCAAATTGTCGACCAGAATGTGCTATAAATGAAGACTGTCCTTCTGACAAAGCCTGTTTCAATATGAAATGTGGAGATCCCTGTCCCGGAAGCTGTGGCCAAAACGCTGAGTGCTCAGTGTTCAATCATGTTCCATCCTGTGCTTGTATCCAAGGATATACCGGAAATCCATTTTCGGCTTGTTTCCTGATGAAACCTATTCAAGGTAAAGTATTGCAATTAAAAATTACGTATACATAACATAAGCTTACGTGACTTTTATTCTCACCATTGAACTAAATCAGTGAGACAGATTGATTGATTGAACTTTTTAGATTACTAAAAATAGGATAACGCTGCAACTAATGTCTTTGCATATTTCAGATGAAATACCAAAAGATCCTTGCTATCCGTCTCCGTGCGGATTCAATGCCCAATGCAATGATGGAATTTGTACATGTTTAGAAGAGTACTTCGGTGATCCTTACTTAGGTTGCAAGCCCGAATGCGTGATAAATTCAGATTGTCCCCTGAACAAAGTATGTTCAAAGAACAAATGTATGAATCCTTGTCCCGGAACATGTGCACCTACTGCCCAGTGCAGTGTTTATAACCACATACCAATTTGTACTTGTCCCGACGGTACAACGGGCAATGCTTTTGTGGAATGCCATACTATACAAGGTACTTATACGTAAATGAAATATTTTTAACAACCTAGTTGCTTATGAAATATACGATAAGATTTTTTTCCTATAAACTGATAATATTATTAGAGCGATCACACACAATGGTTTGTCATTGTTTCTTAACCTTTGCAATTCAAGAAGAGACGTCACATTTTCAATATAATTAGTCTATAATTTATAAATCACATTTACAGTTGTCCACGAGGAACCATGCAATCCGAGTCCGTGCGGACCAAGCAGTCAGTGTCGGTCTGTGAATAACCAAGCAGTATGCTCGTGCTTGCCATCATTCATTGGAACTCCTCCATCTTGTCGACCAGAATGCATAATTAGCGCTGAATGTCCTAGAAATGAAGCGTGTAACAACCATAAATGCATAAATCCCTGTCAAGGTAGCTGCGGATATGGAGCTAAATGTGAAGTTGTAAACCACAATCCCATATGTTCTTGTCCACCACAGTATACGGGTGATCCGTTTACAAACTGCCAGCCGATAGGTAAACTTAAAATTATAAATTTCGAAATGTATACTCTAAATATTGAATTAAATTGGATAATAAATGTTGCAATTGATTATTTACAGTGACAGCGCAATTACCTCCTGTTGATCCTTGCACGCCATCACCCTGCGGTCCATATTCTATATGTAAAGTAATCGCAGAATCACCTTCTTGCACCTGTCAGCCGGATTTCTCGGGAACGCCACCAAATTGCCGTCCAGAGTGTGTCAGTAACTCAGAGTGCCCAAGCAGTCAGGCTTGTATCAATCAGAAATGTAAAGATCCGTGTCCAGGTAGCTGTGGTTATAATGCTGACTGCAAAGTTATAAGTCATGCATTAGTTTGTTCTTGTCCAAATGGTCAAACAGGAGATCCACTTATTTCATGCAGTCCAATACGGGGTAAGTTATGATTTTAATGACCGGTCACTACGTAGCGTTGTTTTAGTAATTTAATGTTCAATTTTTATATTTTTATTATTATTTTAGAAACCTTCATTGAATACAGCACGCCGTGTGAGCCTTCGCCTTGCGGTCTAAACGCAGAATGCACGCAGAAAGATAACGCTGGCTCCTGTAAATGCATTGATGGCTATATGGGAAATCCATACGAAGGATGTAGGCCAGAGTGTGTTATTAATAGTGACTGCGCTCCTATGTTGGCTTGTATTCAAAACAAATGTAAAAATCCTTGTCCCGGAGTGTGTGCGCCAAACGCAATTTGTCAAGTGGTTAATCATCTGCCATCATGTCACTGTCCACCTGGCTTAGCGGGTAATGCGTATCAATACTGTGTTACTAAAGTTGAAGGTAAGAATTTACTTAAATTTATTAAAATAGAAATAAATAAAATTTGAACGAAATTGTCATTACTAATAATTCAATGACCTCTTTTTCTAGACGTTAAACCAACACCGTGTAGCCCATCGCCATGCGGTCCCAACAGTGAGTGTCGCGAAGTAAACTCACAAGCCGTATGTAGTTGTCAAGCTGATTTTATGGGAACTCCTCCAAACTGTCGCCCCGAGTGCACCATCAACAGTGAATGCTCTGTTGTGAAATCATGTATTAACCGAAAATGTGTTGATCCATGCATAGGACAATGTGGTAGAAATGCAAATTGTAGAGTTATTTCTCACAATCCGATTTGTTCTTGTCAAGATCGATTTACAGGAGATCCGTTCACTAATTGCGTCCCAAGTAAGTGTTTACAAATACGGTATTTTCCTAATTTTATATTGTGGAATTAATGTCCTTATTTTCTAACATTTTAGTTGCCATATCGAGTCTCGAAACGTATCCTGAAGTTAACCCGTGTATTCCATCACCCTGTGGACCTAATTCCATTTGTCAAGAAGTAAATGGAAATGCCCGTTGTACTTGTGTACCTAATTACAAAGGTTCTCCTCCCCGGTGCAGACCCGAGTGCACAATAAACTCCGAATGCAATGCAGCAACGGCTTGCATTAACAACATGTGCTTGGACCCCTGTCCTGGGGCATGTGGAAATAATGCTCAGTGTATTGTAAACAACCATTTGCCAATATGTTCGTGTTTGCCAGGATATACAGGAAATCCATTCAGTAGCTGTTTCCTGAAACAAGAAGGTAATTAAAAAATCTAATTGAAAATTTAAAAGCTGAGATTACCTTACAAATTAATTTAAATGTACATCTATATGAAATTAATCGTGTTTTAATATACTTTATTTCAGAACATGTTGACCTATGTTCTCCCTCACCGTGCGGTTCAAATGCTATTTGCGAAGATGGACTGTGCACTTGTATACCAGAATATCATGGTGATCCATATTTCGGATGTAAGCCAGAATGTGTCCTAAATTCGGACTGTGCTAGGGACAAGGCATGTATTAATAGTAAATGCAAAGATCCATGTATTGGAACTTGTGGAACAGACGCAATTTGTGAAACTATTAATCACATTCCCATGTGCTCATGTCCATCTGGTTTTACTGGTTCGCCTTTCAGTTATTGCACACAAATTTTAGGTAAGGAATAACAGATAATAGCATATGTATTTAAATTTGAGAATGAAGGATTTGAAGATTGAAGGATCTTGCATGATTAAAGTCGATCGAGTTTTTGAAGAGCCGTGGTTTGTGGCTCTAGGTTGTACTTCCATATAAATCTTACTATTCATCTGTAACAGCAGCATTCTCTTAAGGATTACATACCTACCTGATCTCACTACTGACATTCCTAAGTTTAAAAGAAACAACTCATATTGAAGTGGCATATGTGTATTTTTTCTAACTATCTGGATACGTATCATAGTCGTGTTTATTTTCTAAAAGTTAGTAGATTACATTTTATCATTTTTATAATCATTAAAACGTTTTCAGAGCTACCCACGCCTGTCAATCTTTGTGTACCGTCACCTTGCGGACCAAACAGTCAATGCAGAGAGTTGAATGCACATGCCGTGTGTGTTTGTGTGAGTGGCTATCTCGGAAGTCCTCCAAATTGTCGCCCGGAGTGCATATTGAGCTCTGATTGTAAATTAAATGAAGCCTGTTCCAACCAAAAATGCATAGACCCGTGTCCTGGAGCATGTGGTCGCAATACACAATGCATTGTTGTCAATCATAACCCCATATGCACGTGTTCGCCTGGATTTTCTGGAGATCCATTCTCATCATGCCAAATTATCCGTAAGTATTACAAATCTATGTGCACGGTATTATTACAAACGATTGACAAAATAGATTGGAAAGTTTACAAATACCTCACTTATCTTTTAGCTGCCACACCGCCTGCGAAGGTCACTCCGTGCCTACCTTCACCGTGTGGTCCAAATTCAGAATGTACAGAGAATGGTGAAAATGCAGAATGCAAATGTTTCTTAGAATATATTGGGTCACCTCCTAATTGTCGACCGGAATGTACAAGTAACACTGAATGTTCTCAAAATATGGCTTGTATTAACAGAAAATGTCAAAACCCCTGCGCAGGGGCATGTGGTATAAACGCGGAATGCAGGGTAGTAAGCCATACTCCCATATGCTTGTGTGAAAATGGATACTCAGGAGATCCATTCCTTAGCTGTAATATAATAGTATCATCCGCAGTAGTGGAACGTCCGACACCTTGTATACCATCACCATGTGGTGTTAATGCTGAATGCAGAGAACGGAATGGTGTTGGATCTTGCATTTGTTTACCTGACTATTTTGGAAACCCATACGAAGCGTGTAAGCCAGAATGCATTCAAAATTCTGACTGCCCTTCGAACCTTGCATGCTACAATAACAAATGCAAAGATCCATGCCCGGGCACTTGTGGAATTAACGCTCTGTGTAACGTCGTTAATCACAATCCTTCGTGTTCGTGTATTGAGAAATATCATGGAGATCCATACAAGATGTGCGCATTTAAAGCTGAATGTAAGTATAACTTGAATAAAATAAAATAGCTCCATTTCAATAAATAAAATAAAATATGCTACTATTGTTTTATCATTCTGTTTACACTAGCGCTTTATGATTTTATTTCCAAATTTGCAATCCTGTTTTTTTCACTTCCAGCGGAAATTTTAGACCCTTGCGAACCTTCGCCGTGTGGACCTAACAGCCAATGTAAATCTCAAAACGGCTTGGCGATATGTACTTGCATGCTTGGCTATCAAGGAACACCACCTTCTTGTCGCCCAGAATGTATCACTAGTTCAGAGTGCTCTCTAGATAAAGTCTGTGAGAACTTTAAATGCAAATCGCCCTGTGAAAGAGCTTGTGGATTAAATACAGAATGTAAAGTGATAAACCACAATCCTATATGTGTGTGTAAACCAAAATACACAGGAGATCCATTCACAATATGTTATGCATTACCTGAGCAACAGCCACCCTTAATGGAACCAACAGATCCGTGTGTTCCTTCACCGTGTGGATTAAATGCGGAGTGTAGGGAAATCGGTGGAGTTCCGTCTTGTTCCTGTTTGAATGGATTTTTCGGAAGTCCACCTAACTGTAAACCAGAATGCATACTCAATTCGGATTGTAGTAATGACAAATCGTGCATAAATATGAAATGTCAAAATCCATGCATTGGTTCATGCGGTCTAGACGCTTTGTGCAATGTTGTGAAACACGTTCCTGTTTGTTCTTGTCCTAGTGGTTACGAAGGAGATCCATTTTCCATCTGTCACATCAAGCCTCCAGGTAATAATGATACAATATTTTGCAACTTTAGTAAACAAGTTTTAATCTAACTACGCGAAGAATCGAAACCGATCGCTCTTTAACCAGAGAGATGTATTTATGCCAATTCTAAAATAAGTTTTCATTTGTCGGTTTTGTTCATCAATCTGTTCAGTAGTTTTTGCATGTTGCCCGAAAGAGCTAAAGACCCAACAAGCAGTCAATATAATAGTTTAATTTGACATTAGATTAAATTAACTTAATTCACTAAAAGTTTTCTTTGAATTTAAGTCAAGTTATAGTTTTATTTAATTTTGATTTACGAATCTACTGAAACTTTATTTTCTTTACTTTTAGAATTACCACAATCAGTAGATCCATGTCAGCCAACTCCATGTGGACCCAATGCTGTATGCCACAATGGCGTATGTTCCTGCTTACCAGAGTATCAAGGGGATCCCTATTTTGGCTGTCGGCCTGAATGTGTATTGAGCACCGATTGTCCTCTGGATAAGGCTTGTTTCCGTTCAAAGTGTGTTGATCCTTGTCGTGACATGTGCGGAGTCAATGCAGAATGTAATGTCTACAACCATGTCGCTATATGTAGCTGCCCAATGGGACATACCGGAGATGCATTTACCCATTGTAAAATAATTGAAAGTAAGTAAGACATGAAATCTATTCATTTTATTCAATTTTGGTAGTAATCACGTTCTAATGTTAATAGAATTTGTATCTACAGAACCTTATCTTATCTACAGCATTTAATACATTGAAATCCACATCTTTGTTATAATGAAATGTTTTATTACAGAACCAGCCAATAAACCTTGTGAGCCTTCGCCTTGTGGACCTAACAGTGTTTGCAGAGAAGTAAATGGACAGGCAATCTGCGCTTGCATCGAATCTTTTATTGGTAATCCGCCAAACTGCCGACCTGAGTGTATTCAAAGTACAGATTGCTCTCCCTCAAAAGCTTGTATAAATAGAAAGTGCCAAGATCCATGTCCAGGATCGTGTGGTCGTAACGCTATATGTATTGTTAACAAGCATAATCCTATATGCAGCTGTCCTGCAAAGCACACAGGATCTCCATTCACTTATTGTTACGGTAAATATGATTTTATTCTTTAAAGTGCGTTTAAATAATCAGAATCTTAAAAGTATTTCCAAATAATTTCACAATAAAAGGTAAATACTTACCAGCTCAATATCCAATAACTAGTGTTATAACTACTGTTATAAAAAATATACACCAATAAAATTAAGATAACATAACAATTTCATTCTTTTTAACAAATAAATTTTGTTTATTTTTAGTTCAATTAGAAGAAGAGCCACAGTCTAATCCATGCGTACCATCGCCTTGTGGACCAAATAGTCTATGTAAACCAACAGCTGACGGGAAATCTTATGTGTGCACATGCCAACCGTCTTTTGAAGGAACTCCACCTCTATGTCGTCGCGAATGTACAACAAGTGATGATTGTTCGTCTGACAAAGCTTGCATTAATTACAAATGTTCGGATCCTTGCCCTGGCTCCTGCGGTTTGAACACACTTTGCGTCGTTCGACTGCACACACCTATGTGCTCATGTGAAAACGGGTACACTGGAGATCCATTTTTATCATGCTATCTGATGCAGCCAGTGCATGAACCAGTTGATCCTTGCAATCCTTCACCTTGTGGCGCCAATGCTCAATGCAAAGAAACACGTAGCGGCGCAGTTGCTTGTATTTGTGAAACTGGATATTTCGGAAATCCTTACGAATCTTGCCGACCAGAGTGTGTGGTTAATACTGATTGCCCATTTAACAAAGCGTGCCTAAGAAACAAGTGTGATGACCCGTGTCCCGGTGTTTGCGGCTCTACAGCAAATTGTGAAGTTATTAATCATGTACCATCTTGCACGTGCGCGCCAGGTTACACCGGAAATCCGTACACGTACTGTCATATCATCATTAATGAACCAGGTAATTGAATTGAATAGTAAATTTTGTTTATTGTTATTTAATTATATAACAAAATTCACAACGCCATTAAAATGAGGCCCGAAACACATTTTGATTTACTAATTTTTTTTCAGTACCGAAACCGATAAATCCTTGTTTACCGAACCCCTGTGGCAGTAATACTATATGTAACTACTCTAATGGCCAAGTATCGTGCTCATGTATGCCTGAGTTCTACGGCTCACCACCGAATTGTCGACCAGAATGTACTGTCAATGCTGAATGTGATAAATCGAAAAGTTGCATAAGACAAAAATGTATTGATCCTTGCATTGGAGTGTGCGGACAAAATGCAGAATGTAGAGTTATTAACCACGCACCTATATGCTCGTGTAGTCTTGGATTTGAAGGTGATCCGTTTATTAGGTGCATGGAGAAGGAAAGTAAGTAAATTAAAACAAACATAAATTAAGCAATGAAATTATGATAATTTTATGTTATTATACAATCAAATAGATCACAAAAATCTTTTATATTAAATTGGTTTATTTAAATTTTAGAAACGCCTACGCCAGTCACCAATCCTTGTATACCATCTCCTTGTGGACCCAATTCTATTTGTCAAGCTGTAAATGAAATACCGATGTGTTCGTGTGTCGAAAAATATATTGGTTCACCGCCGAACTGCAGAGCGGAATGTGTCATTAATTCTGATTGTCCAAGCACTGAAGCTTGCATTAACCAGAAATGTAGAGATCCATGCCCTGGCTCTTGTGGTCTTTACACAGAATGTCACGTTTATCAACATTCAGCCATATGTAGTTGCAATGAAGGGTACACCGGAAATCCTTTCCAGAGCTGTCAAATCAAGCAAAATATTGGTAAGAAGCATTGTTACTCTTTTGAAACATTCTTGCTGATGGAGGTAAAAAATCGAAAGAAGTATGACATTTTGTAATTTTTTCAGAACCTGTTCCAAGTACATATGATAATTGTAATCCAAATCCATGTGGCGCAAATGCTGATTGCAATGATGGAGTTTGTAAATGTAGAAATAATTACTTCGGTAATCCCTATCTTAGCTGCCGACCAGAATGTACTCACAGTTCGGAATGCGCAAAATCTTTAACATGTATTAACAACAAATGTACAAATCCATGTATTAATATATGTGGTGAAAATGCCTTGTGTGAAGTATACAATCATATGCCTATGTGTAGCTGTCCTCCAAATACAACTGGGAATGCATTTTTCTCGTGTACACCGATTAAAGGTAGGATATTATTGTGATTACTTTAAGTTACTTTCAGATGAACATGAAATTAATTTTATTATTAACAATTGATTGCATTGTTTCAGTAGTAGTCCAGGATACGAACCCTTGCCAACCATCTCCTTGTGGTCCAAACAGCGTATGCCGTGCACTTTCAGGACAAGTAATGTGCTCTTGTATAACTGGTTACATCGGTACGCCACCATCTTGTAGACCAGAATGTTTAGTGGATTCTGATTGCACGATTCTTTTGTCTTGTTCGAATCAAAAATGTGTAGATCCATGTCAAGGTTCATGTGGAATGAACGCTGAGTGTAGAGTTCACAACCACAAACCAATATGCTACTGTAGGAATGGACTTACTGGTGATCCTTTCTCTTACTGTAGAGTTATTCAAAGTAAGTTAAAAAAATATTTAAACATTTTAAAGTTCGTTATGATATAACTACAAACTTTAACTAAATTATCATTTTAGAAGAACCACCAAAAACCGCACCATGTGAACCATCGCCATGTGGACCAAACTCTGTTTGTAAATCAAACGGCGAAGAGCCACAGTGCCTATGTCAAACTGGATTTATTGGGTCTCCTCCATACTGTCGTCCAGAGTGTATTTCTAATAGCGAATGCAGCTTCAATAAGGCGTGCATCAACAATAAGTGCGACGATCCCTGTCTTGGAGCATGCGGTCCTAACGCTGAATGTCGAGTTATCAGTCATTCACCACAATGCACTTGCCAATCTGGCTATGAAGGAGATGCATTCAATTTGTGTCACCCTAAACGAGGTATTTATTATATATTTTTTGTTTGTTTACTAAAAGACTCGAGATGAAGTTTAAAAGAGGAGAATATATGTGGGTGAAATCACACAGCCAAAAAACCTCCTAAAAGATATGGGAGGGTTTGGCCTATGTACATGTATATATGTAAATGCATTTGTATATAGAGAAACTTATATGTGTGTATAGAGAGAGAAAGAGAAATGTTATTTCCGCTACCAGTATATTTAGTACCTATTTTCTAAATATCTATTACTAAATATGATGAAAAAACAAAAATTTGAATCATGAATTTCTGTCTCCATTTTTAACTTTAATTATTGTTTTTTTTATCTTTAGACCACGAACCAGTCACACCTTCCGAACCTTGTGTTCCAAATCCCTGCGGTCCGAATGCTATCTGTCAAGAACGTTATAATATCGGCAGTTGTACTTGTGCGAATGGTTTCTTCGGTGATCCTTACGAAGGTTGCAGACCTGAATGTATTGTTAATTCTGATTGTGCCGAAAGCAGAGCTTGTATAAACAAAAAATGCCAAGATCCTTGCCCAGGGCTTTGTGGAGTAAACGCTCAATGCCAAACAACTAACCACGTTCCATCATGTACTTGTATACATAGATATGTGGGAAATGCTTACGAAAGCTGTATACTCAGAGAAGGTAGGTTGTATATGCCCATGTAAATATTTATAGTCTCTCTTTAGGTACTAAAAAAAATATAGAAATGTAATTATTTCTGGAATGCGCCAAAAAATATCTTTATAAATAGAAGATTCATTTTATAGAATATTATTATATAGAATTATTATTATATAATATAAAATATTCATCTAATCTTTTCTTTTAGAAAAACCGACAAACCCATGCTCACCGTCGCCTTGTGGAGCATACAGTACTTGTAAAACTATAAGCAACCAGGCAGTTTGTACGTGCTTGCCAGATTACGTTGGAAATCCGCCAAGTTGTCGACCAGAATGTATCATTAGTTCGGAGTGTCCCTTGAATAAAGCATGCGTTCGTAAGAAATGTGTAGATCCATGCATAGGAACATGCGGAGAAAATTCAGAATGTCGCGTACATCAACACAGTCCTTATTGTACTTGTCTGCCAGGCTATGAAGGCGATCCCTTTATAAGATGCTCTAAAGAAATTTTATCCACTCCACCTGTTGCCTCGCCTTGTGAACCGAGTCCGTGTGGGCCATTCGCAACATGCAGAGACATAAATGGTTCCCCAATATGCAGCTGCAAGCCAGGATATATCGGTGCTCCACCTCGCTGTGCACCAGAGTGTACTATAAATGAAGATTGCCCTAACAACAAAGCGTGTGTTCGTGAAAAATGTGTAGATCCATGCCTTGGATCTTGCGGTACTCATACAGACTGTCGAGCAATGAACCACGTAGCTATTTGTACTTGTCTTTCCGGATATCGAGGCGATCCGTTTATTGGTTGTTCATACCAAGGTAAAATTTGTTTACTCCTTAATGAAATATAATTTAATTAAATTAATCCGCTGCCTGTGTCGTCGTGACTAGATTTACAATGAATAGTTTCTAATAAAAGTAAAAACACGGATGGCTGAGTGATACCATCCTGCCTATTTTTGCAACGAAAAAATTTGCGTTTTTTGTTTTCTGAAGAGTAGGACAGCCTTTATACAATACAATCCTATGCCTCAAGGTCCCAATCATCCTTCTCCAGAAGCCACAATAGGCTTCACCGCCAGAAAATGCCGGTTGGCGATCACAGTATGTTTGTATAATACTCTGAAAGCTGAACGATGCGATTACTTTTTATGTGAAACCTTTAGTAGCCTTTTGTGACACTCAAGAGAAAATTTAGATTATCATGTGCAGTCAGGGTTGTACCGATAAAATTTTTATATCTTACCTTATGTCTCAAGATAGTGGCATTAATATGTATGAGTTCCGGTTTAGCTAGTAAAAACAATGTTTTTTTTTTCAGACATTCAGCCACCGGTGTCATTCGACGCATGTATTCAATCACCGTGTGGTATTAACGCGGCGTGTGACAATGGAACGTGCACTTGCATTAGTGACTATCATGGCAATCCGTATATAGAATGTAGGCCGGAGTGCACTAGTGACAATGATTGCCAAAAACAACTAGCATGTGTCAACTATAAATGTATTAATCCTTGTAAAAATGCTTGCGGGATTAATGCGGTCTGTAATGTTTACAATCATATTGCAATTTGTGAATGTCCTACGCCACTTCAAGGAGACGCTTTTATATCCTGTCATCACGCGATTGGTATGTGTCTATTTATTTGTAAATGTTTTTACAGTAACTGTGTTTGGGTTTCTTATTAAGAGTTTTTGTATTTTTTACACAGAGCCATCAATATCAGATCCATGTACGCCTAACCCTTGCGGACCAAATAGTATTTGTCGTGCTGAAGGAATCGTAGCGCACTGTTCATGTCGGCCTCCAATGTTCGAAGATCCTCCAAGCTGTCGACCAGAATGTCGCGTAGATTCAGAGTGTCCACCTAACCGTGCTTGTAGAAACAACAGATGTCGCGACCCGTGTCCAGGATCATGTGGTGCTTCTGCAATTTGCCACATTCGATCACACTCACCTATATGTGCATGCCCAGCAAACTACGTTGGAGATCCGTTTATTCATTGTCTCCCAGGTATTTTATTAATGTTAAATTTTTCGTTGTGCCATGTCGTATTGAATTATTCCTAGTGGTCATTGCCTAAAGGACAAGACCTCCGGTGTACTCGTAACGAGTGATGCTACTATGCCGGGGTTCGAATCCCGCAGGCAGGCAAATAAAATGTAACACGTACATTACATACATTTATACATGTTTTCGAATGACTTCCACGATGAAAGTATATAACATTGTATGATAAAAATCAGATCTACAAAATTAATTTGCATAATTACCGGTGGTAGTGCACCACCACCACCTTCCCTATTTCTGCTACAAAGTACTCATGCGATCCCTGATTTGAAGGGTAGGGTTACCGATATACGAATCAATTGAGACTTAGACCTCATGTCTCTGGGTGGATGGCGGAATTCACGTCTAGGGGATCCGGTATCCACTTAATACTAGGTAGACCGTGAGCTCGTCACCCGTCTAAGCAATAAAAAAAACCAATTGGTCTTTATTTAAATTTTATTAATTATGTAAAAAAAAATATCGATGACTTAAGATATATTATATTACATTATCAAATCAACGTATGAATAATTAAATTTGAAATTATTCTCAGCGAAGCTATTATAGGAAATAAAATAAAAAATAGTTTTCACAATTTTTTTTTCATTAATTCTCTTCCACAGCTATTGAAGCAGAGCCTTCGACTCAAGCACCTCAATCTTGCACAAACTGTGGACCAAATTCGGACTGTATAAATGGGCTCTGTAGCTGTAAATCGGGCTACGTTGGAGCGCCACCCTATTGCCGCCACGAGTGTCTCAGTTCCAGCGACTGCGAATGGCACCTTATGTGTTTGAATCTGCGTTGTGTAGACCCATGCCGCGGAGCCTGTGGACAAGGCGCTCTTTGCGAATCTCTTGCTCATGAGCCTCATTGTACTTGTCCTTCCTCCACTACTGGAAATCCGTTCTTCGAATGTCGGCCCATCGTTACAACCCGTAAGATAAATTAAACAGGAAAATGCGTTTGCTTATTCTACGATGCCACAATAAATTTTCAAATAAAGATTTATTTTCAAAATATTATTTTCAAATATTTATGGTAAATCAGGTTCTCGCTCTTAAAGCTTAGGCATGGGTTTTATTGGCGAAACCTGGTGAGCCTATACGATTTCGCGGTGTTAAGATAATTTGTTTCGCTATTAAAGTGCTTGTTATGCTGAGTTTTAATATTCGCAGACGTTTGTTTCATAATTTCTTAACAAATTTTCAGAGAAAACTCCGAATGACCCTTGCAACCCATCACCATGTGGGCCTGGTGCTTTATGTAGCGCTAGGGGAGCGAGTGCGTCATGTGAATGTGAGCCTGGACTCTTCGGTGACCCATACAGTGGATGCCGCCCAGAATGTGTATCAGACTCGGACTGTTCACCTTCTCGTGCGTGCATGCGTTCTCATTGCCGGGATCCCTGTCAAGGAACTTGTGGTATAGGAGCTGACTGCGAAACTGTCAACCACATTCCTTTATGTTCTTGTCCAACAGGAACTAGAGGAAATGCTTTTGAAAAGTGTGAAAAGATTATTACAGGTACAGTATGACATAGCCTTAAAATTTATTTTTGCGTTAGTCGTATTAATAACAATTTATTATTTTACAATGATTAGTAGAAATTTATTCAATTGGAAATTGTCTCGTACAATATGATTGCATTACGTACTTAAGTTTTTCAACCCATAACTGTTGAAGATCTAGTATTTTGTGTATTAAAAAAATCTTATTCAATCATATGTAAAGAAAACAAAATCATTTAGTGTTACTTATTTTGTCATCAGCACCACCTTGCAACCCCTCACCGTGTGGACCAGGTGCTGTGTGCACTACATCAGGAAGCAGTGCCATATGTTCATGTCCAAGTGGAACTTATGGAGATGCTAAATCGACAGGATGCAGACCGGAATGTGTTGTTAGCTCTGAATGTCCACGTGATAGAGCATGTGTGCGCAACAAATGCATTGACCCATGTATTGGAACATGTGGAAATGGCGCGATGTGTCGAGTATTTGATCACGCACCAATTTGCTCTTGTCCACCGACTACTACCGGGAATCCATTTACAGAATGCACTTTAAAAGGTACAGAAATAATGAGTATTCGTCTCGATCTTCATCTTTCCTTTTGTTCGCTTCAATCAACGTTTCAAGTTACATCCAAGAATTTAAGTGTCCATTAGCAAAAAGTATTGTTTAGCTTCTAGCTTTACTTCTAATTATTTTCAGATGTCACTCCACCTACTTTTGACCCTTGCGACCCTAACCCTTGTGGAATTCATGGAACTTGCCGCGACGGACAATGCATATATCCAGAGTGTATCGTGAATGATGATTGTCCCGGTGACCGTGCGTGTATCAACAGGAAATGTGCCGATCCGTGTGTAAATGCTTGCGGTATAAACGCCATTTGTACGGGCATCAGACATACAGCGGTATGCTCTTGTCCATCTGGATATACGGGGTCTGCGTTTGTTCGATGCGAACGTATAATTATTGACCAGCCAACTCCACCGACACCTGAATGTGTAAATGATAATCAATGTGCTGATGATGCCGCTTGCGTTGATTCACGATGCTCACCAGTCTGCGGATCCAATAATTGTGGCATTAATGCCCGTTGCTTGGCTAAACAACACAGAGCACGTTGTACATGTTTACCGGGCTATGAAGGTGATGCTTACACTGGATGTTACTCGGGTAAGTATTTATTACATACCAAATTTATACATTTATATGGTAAATTAATAAACTTTTTTTTCATTTTCCTTTTTATATCTGCAGTGCAATGTCACAGCAACAACGATTGTCCAGAAGACGAAAGTTGTGAAGGCGCTTCATGTGTGAAGGTTTGTTCACGCGTTCGTTGCGGAATCGAAGCGCGATGCGTCGCAAGAGGTCACACCGCATCATGTGAATGTAACCCTAGCGCAAGAGGAGACCCTTGGACCGAATGTCACATAGCCGAATGTAATGCAAATGAAGATTGCCCATTATGGTTAGCCTGTAAAGCGAATAAGTGTAAGGATCCTTGTCCTGGAGCTTGTGCACCTGGAGCCGTTTGCACAGTACTACGACATCAACCAACATGCGAATGTCCTCGAGGAACAAATGGCAATCCTAAAATAGAATGTCGACAAGGTTTGATTTTGTCTACTTATTTTGTAGATTTCGTGTAAATTTTTAATTTTCTCTATGCTCTTATAATTAATAATTTTTAATTTCAGTGGCAAACGAAGAGGAATGCCAATACGATGCTGAATGTGGACCAGGTCTGGCATGTCTACAAGGAAACTGCAAAAATCCGTGCGAACCAACTTCGTGTGGAACACGAGCCGTCTGTCGCGTTGCTAATACTCTACCTTTCCGCACCCTGGTTTGCGAATGTCCGAAACCACTCACTGGGGACGCATCTCTACAATGCAATCCAAGTAACTATTCCGTTTCAGTAAAAAAAAAAATATTTCATAAAAGAATTGAAGAATAACTTAGCTTCACAAAAAATACAAGATTCGTAGATTACTGTTTTTTCAAATGAGTCTCATTATTTCTAGCAATTCCTCTGTTGCTAAACTGTCAAACAACTAGGTAAGGTAAACTTTCAATAGTTTATATAGCACGTGTTAAATAAAATCACCATTTGTAAATTTGTACATAAAACAATTAGCCTGGTGCTTGAATCATAGGTACACCAAGTAATTTATTTGTACAAAATATAAGTTTATTGTAAAGCTTCATTGTTACTTTTTTTAATTATTTAAAACTGTTTGATCGTTTAAATCTTGACAATACATTTAAATGGCACTAATACATTTCAGGAGGAGAATGTACGTCAAATGACGATTGTAGTTCAGAAGAGAGCTGCATAAACAAGCGTTGCGTGAATGTTTGTAGCAACGGCGCCTGCGGTATAGGTGCTGAATGCCGCGCTCAGTCTCATAGAGCTAACTGTGTCTGCGTACCACCATTACAGGGTGACCCACGTGTAGCTTGTATGCCTAGTAAGTAAACTTGTGTTATTCTATTCATTCTTCTTCTTCTTCTTTCTACTTTCTTTCTTCTTTCTTGTTTCTTGTTTCTAATTTCTTCTTTTTTTTCCATTCTAAACATTTACAAACAAAAATACATTTTTTAAAATAATTTTCGAAATAGGTACACCGACTGCAGAATGCGTCGTAGATTCAGATTGTGGTAGCGCCGAGGCATGTGTATCACGACGATGTGTTTCGGCATGTATTGGAGCTTGCGGGACGGGTGCATTGTGTGACGCTGCGCAGCATAGAGCACGCTGTCACTGTCCACCGGGGACTGCTGGAGATCCTGCAAGAATATGCTATACACGTATGTATTATATATTCATATATTTAAAATATAAAAATTCATGCTAATCATTAATAGAACACACATTTTCATTGAACACTCGCCACTCTTTTTTGTTTTACAGCTGAGTGTACATCTGATGACAACTGCCCATTCGATAAAACGTGTTTCAATGGATACTGTAAGGATCCTTGTGGTGTGGGCTCTCCGTGCGGACGCGATGCAAGCTGTGAGGTTGTAGCTCACGTTGCTACCTGTCGCTGTCCACCCGGTACGCAGGGCGACCCTCGTCGCGCCTGTATCTCAGCGGCCTGTCATTATAATGAAGACTGCGATGATTCTCAACTCTGTAATCGTCTCAACCGCGTCTGCCAATCAGCGTGTACAGACAACTCTTGCGCTCCTGGTGCTTTATGTACAGGAGAGAATCACCGCCCTACCTGCAAGTGTATTCCTGGATATATTGGTGATCCATATCAACGTGGATGTACATTTGCCCAAGATACCACTGAATGTACAACGGATGCTGATTGCTCAGCGCCTTTAGCCTGTGTGGACGCACGTTGTATCGATCTCTGCCTGAATAACCCGTGCGATAGCGGTCTCATATGTAGAACAGTTGATGTGCTTCCTTTACGAGCAGTTGCTTGTGTATGCCCTGATGGAGGTCGAGCTGCACCGGATAGTGGCTGTCGCATACCACCAGAAGTAGAATGCTCCGTGGACTCGGATTGCGCTAGTAGCCAAATGTGCTTCCGTGGTAGTTGCGTCGAAGCCTGTAAAGCTGATCCATGTGGACAGAACGCACTATGCGATTCGATTGATCATGCATCACGTTGCGTTTGTCCACCTGGATACAACGGAAACCCAAGATTTGAATGTAACACAGGTATAATATCGTAATTTTTATAATTCGATAATAGTTTTTTAGCCTGTTGTGGCTCTATTATCTGTATGTTGTTTTCTCTTGTAGTGCCACAAGAACCAATAGTTTGGGAATGCTATGAAGACAATGAGTGTGGACCTGAACGTGCCTGTATCAAACGATCATGTGTCAATCCGTGTATTGATGGTTGTGGTATTGGAGCTCTATGTCGGGTGATTGATCATAAGCCACAGTGCTCTTGTCCAAACGGTTTTTCGGGCGATGCATACATTCGATGCTTACCACGTAAGTGAATATAATGTATTCGAAATTAATTTACATCATAATCTTATATAGTATGAGATAATACTTTTTTTTTTTATTTCAGCATCCGAGAAGTCTTTTATTCCACTTGGTTGCAAAGCTAATTCAGAATGCCCATTATCTCAAGCCTGTATTAATGGTGCTTGTGCCGACCCATGTGCTTGTGGCGCACAAGCTGATTGCTCAATTGTGAGACATCATCCAGTTTGTTACTGTAAACAAGGCTATTCTGGAAATCCCTATATTGGATGCACTANTTTTTTTTTAATTTCAGCATCCGAGAAGTCTTTTATTCCACTTGGTTGCAAAGCTAATTCAGAATGCCCATTATCTCAAGCCTGTATTAATGGTGCTTGTGCCGACCCATGTGCTTGTGGCGCACAAGCTGATTGCTCAATTGTGAGACATCATCCAGTTTGTTACTGTAAACAAGGCTATTCTGGAAATCCCTATATTGGATGCACTAAAGGTAACTAATATAATAGTAATTAAATGTTTTTTTTAATAATTAGAAAATTATAAGTACCAGTAAATGTACATTTGTTTAAATCTAACACCATATTATCTAAATTTTCAGTTGGGTGCGACTCAGATTCTGAATGCTCGGACAGCGATTTATGTTACAACGGAGCTTGCCTTAATCCTTGCCTAATAGATACCCCGTGTGCTATTAGTGCTGAATGTTATGGCGTTAACCACCGTGCAAGTTGTCGTTGCCCATCTGGCACTGTTGGAAATCCATTCACGAGATGTATAGCAGCTGAATGCGAAACAGATAATGATTGCAATGATGATAGTGTTTGTGCGAAGGGAACGTGTTACAATGCTTGTTCTGTCAACGGCATTAGCTCTTGTGCAGATAATGCCGAATGTTTCTCGCGTAACCATGCGGCATCGTGTAGATGTCCACCAGCTTTCCCGATCGGAGATCCTTCTGTTCATTGCCAAAAAGCGACGGTATTAAACGAACCTGAGTGTATAATGGACGGTGATTGCCCCAGCGGTCACGCTTGTCTCAAGGATGAATGCCGTGAAGCTTGTTCCGAACTTAAGCCGTGCAAAGGAAATTCCCGTTGTTCAGTTTCAGACAGTATACCGTTCCGAACTCTGATTTGTCGTTGCCCAGAAGGCTTTGTACCTTCTGAAGATGGTAGCTGCAAGCCGGCCAATTTACCACCCCTTGGTTGCTCTTCGGATAATGACTGCACAGACCAAGAGTCTTGTGTTAACAGAAATTGCAGAAATCCATGTAACTGTGGTGATAACGCGGATTGTTTTGTTAAAGATCATAGACCTATTTGTTCATGCCGTAATGGATACGAAGGAGATCCTTACCGCACTTGTCGCGTTGTGGGTTGCCGTACAAATTCAGAGTGTGACACCCGAGAAGCTTGTATAAATGGAAATTGTATAAATCCTTGTTTAACAAACAGCACATGTGGACCAAATGCCGAATGCTTCGTTCAAAAGAACCAACCGCTGTGTCGTTGTCGTGTTGGATTTGAAGGAGACGCCTATTTAGGTTGTAATGCGATAGAATGTAGATCAAACGGAGATTGTCCACGTGATAAGCAATGTAAAGCTCACAGATGTATTAATCCTTGCTTCATTGACAATATATGCGGTACGCACTCTAATTGTCTGGTTCGTAATCATTTAGCAGTATGTAAATGCGACCAAGGATATGGCGGAAATCCATACATTGAATGTAAGCCGCAATTTGCTCAAGAATGCTACGTCGATGCTGATTGTCCGTCAAGAGCAGCCTGTTTGTCTTCCAGATGCGTTAACCCTTGCACGACATTAAAACCGTGCGCTAATCCTGCTACGTGTGAGGTCTCACCGACATTGCCAGTGCGTACAATGCTATGTACTTGCCCACCAGGTTTTGTGAGCAACGGTGGAGGCATATGTCGCCCAGTCATTGAATTCTTTGAATCGACTTGTGAAATTGATAGCAACTGTACATCGAACCATGCTTGTATATCATCTGTATGTAAAAATCCTTGTGATTGTGGACCAAACACTGACTGTATTATGAAAGATCACAAGCCTGTTTGTGCTTGTCGACAAGGCTTTATAGGGGATGCTTCGTCAGGTTGCTATGAAATACAATGCCAATCTGATTCTCATTGTGCTGACGACGAAACGTGTATAAATAGGCGTTGTGTCCCTGCTTGTTCGGTAAATGCTAATACGTGCGGGCAATCGGCTGAATGTTATGGATTAGAACATCGTGCATCCTGTCGCTGTAAGATCGGTACAGTTGGAAACCCATCTATAGCTTGCACTCCCATTGGCTGCAGAACTGACACAGATTGTCCATCTGATAAATCATGTATCAATTCCAAATGTGATACACCCTGCAATGCAGATATTTGCCAGGAACCAGCTCAGTGCAAGGTACATTTACATCAAGCTCATTGCGCATGTCCTCCGGGATTCACCAATACAGGGAAAGAATGTAGAAAAACTGAAGGACCACAATGTATAAGTGATATAGACTGCCCTTCGGGAACAGGATGTCTTAATTATAGATGTGTCAACCCATGCCTGGTATCAAACCCATGTAGTGAAAATGCGCAGTGCAAGATTGTAGACACCATGCCTGTTAAAACCATGGTTTGTGAATGTTTACCCGGATACAAAGGAAATGCATTACAAGAGTGCAAGCCATATCGTAAGTGTAAAATATATTTAAAAGAATTTATATTTAATAGAATTTATGTTTTCATAATATATTTTCATTTTCAGAAACTGTTGCTAAATGCATCGAAGGTCAAGGATTAGACTTGTATGGTGAATGTATTCCTTGTCGACCAGCAGAAGGACGTATTATAGATTCTAGGGGTCGATGCGTTTGTGACTCTGAACGTGGTTTTATAATTCAAGGAGATAAATGCGTTGCTGGCGGCTGCCGCACTGATGACAATTGCGCAGATAATTCGCGATGCATCCGCGGGCAATGTGTAGATGCCTGCAAAGCTGAGCCTTGTGGTATTAACGCAACCTGTGATGCGGTGGGGCATCGCTCTCATTGCACTTGCATTGCCGGCTACACTGGAAATCCTAGAATTCAGTGTAATGCAACAACAACAATGTACCGAACCGATTTCCCAACACCAGATATTCAGGTAAATCAAGATGCATTGATCTATATTACTATTAATTAATTTCAATTTGATGTTAAGAAAATCATATCATGTTATCATGCTTAATTTACGTTTTTGATTTAATACTTTTGTTTTCTTAGGTCGAATGTTTGGCTGACGGAGTTAGAGTTCGACTTAAGATCAAAGATTTCAACGGCCTTTTGTACGTAAAAAGTTACAGTAAGGATGAGAGATGCAGGAAAGTTGTAGAGATGCCTAAAGACGAAGAAAGCTTTGTTTTCTTCACTGTACATTTCGGAGATTGCGGCCTTGTTCATGTCAATGTGAGCTCAACAGTTTTACTTTTACAACAACAGTTTAAACTTAAAAGTCTAAAATGAAAATTTTATTGTGGTTAATTATTATTTTTAATATTTTCATTATTCGCAGGGCTTAGCAAGCTTCGTTCTAGTAATGCAAACTCATCTGAAACTGGTGACATCAACCACAAAAGCATTCCACATCAAATGCATATATAAAACTGGTGAACAAAACGTAACTCTTGCATTCAATGTGTCCATGTTAACAACAGCAGGCACAATCGCCAATACCGGCCCTCCACCTACTTGCTCCATGAGAATAATATCACGTTCTGGAGACCAAGTCAGTTCCGCAGAAATAGGAGAGAACCTCGTTTTACAAGTAGATGTCCAACCATCTAGTAAGTCTAAGGGCTTTTATGAGTCTTTGAAGTAAATTCTTTGGTAATAGCGATTAATATCCACATTTTCCATTCGTAGGTATCTACGGAGGTTTTGCACGCAGCTGCGTTGCAAAAACAAGTGAAGTATCAACTAACGTAGAAAATGAGTATCTCGTAACAGACGAGGACGGCTGTGCTAAGGACCCCGCTATTTTCGGTGAATGGGAACGAAGCGAGGACGGCAGCGCGTTGCGTGCCGCTTTCAATGCTTTCAAGTTCCCCAGTAGTGACAATATACGATTCCAATGCAACATTCGCGTCTGCTTTGGAAAATGCGTACCGGTAAGATATCCATATATGTACCTATTTTAGCTTTCCGTAAACAAATAATGTGAATTAGCCATAGTTCCTACATAAATTGTATTGTGCAAATATAATATATTGACATTCTTATAGGTTAACTGTCGCGGTTCGGACGCATACGGTAAACGAAGAAAACGAGAAGTGACCGACGAAAGCACCGCTTTGACGATGCCGGTAGGTCAACTTCGAGAGGAGGTGACCGTTGAATCGAACCAAATACTAACGACGCAGCGACGCGAACCGTCACAAGTGGCTCGGCAGCGTGATGGTACTGGTGCAGAAGGTGCCAGTCAGAGCAGTGGAGAAGTGTGCGTGTCAGCAGCCGGACTCGCGGTCGCATTGGCGCTGACCGCATTACTGGCGTTAGTAGCCGTGGCGGCTGCGGTCGCTTGTTGGCTCGTAGCCTGGAGACGTGCACGTCCTCCTCCAGCACCGCTTCCACATCCGCCGGACTTCCCCAATCCGCTGTTCCAGCGTTGAAGTACGCCACGCACCTTCCTAGTCCCGTACCCCGCTCCTCCGTCGGCGCCGGGCGGTGTCGGCTCTTTTCTTCTTAATCCTCAGCTTTAATCATTGCGTGCTGTCGGAGGACCGCCGGGCGAGGACGTCGCGAGCGCTGCACACCTTCGGGTGGCCCCTCGCTCGCGCTCACGACGCCCTCCGTTTAAAATAATATAGTAATTATTCTAAGAATATAATTTTATATCGCCTCCTCTGAATTTTGTGATATTCATGATAAAAATGTTCGAAATCACCATAATTTTTGTAATATAAAATCGAATATTTTCTAAATATAAGCAATTAATAAAAATAAAAATATTTTTCTTTATCTCATTAAAACCACGGAACACGGTTACGGTATTAGTCATAAATTCCTTACATCCATACTGACTCGTACGTGAGCCTAATAACTCGACTAGTAACTAACAATCTAGTTAGATAATTAAACGGATTCATTTGCGAAGCAGCTGCACTTGAATAGTTAGGTCTTCTCCGGTGGCGCTCGGGCAATCGGACAAATCCCATCCCTCCTGGCAGGGCCCGTGCTCACCCATCTGTCCTGGTGAAACTGGAAAGGCCTCCGGGCTGCCAGTAATTTCTCAAACATAAATTAATAAAAATAAAAGCAATGCTATCGTTTAATAAAGTATAAGTTTTTTTTTATAATGGCTTTTTAAGATGGGTAGCCAGACTCGCGGCCCACCTGGTGTTTGGTGTTAAGTGGTTACCGGAGTCCATAGACCATAGGCAACCGTTGTAACTATACTTGAGACCTTAGAACTTATATCTCAAGGTGGGTGGCGCATTTAAGTTGTAGATGTCTATGGACCCCAGTAACCACTTAACACCAGGTGGGGTGTAAGCTCGTCGACCCATCTTAATTTAGAATGAGAACAATAAATCTAACAGAGCTACTGTAAGATTTATTTTTTATTGCCTTTGGAGACAATTTTGGCTCACCTGATGTTGAGTCTTCACCATCACGGATATCAATAATTGTAGGGGCGAAGCCACACCCCTGACTATTGACTTTGACTCTCCTCATACTTCACTTAAAGAAGGAAATGTTATAAGGTCAAAGGGACACCGAGAAGGGATATTAATTTTAAAGCCGGACCTATGACCGAAACGGTCTTTGACGACACACAATGAATGACCGCTGTGGCTCTAGAAAATAAGAAGTGAATGACGTAATGGTATAGGAGTATATTACGGGTCATCGTAAAAAATCATAATATCACTCCTCAACGAACATACGGTTAAAGACTACAAAGAAAACGATAATCCCTTCTCCAGGTTTCAATCTATCTATGAGATCAAAATTAGAGAGAATTAGAGTTCGAGTTTGCCTTCTTTTGGTTTTTAATGCGTTTTAGTCTTTTAGGTCTCTTAGAAATAGGTTAATTCTCAGTATCGTTCGTATTCGTCTTTCCCAGAGTGTAAAAGATACTCTGGGGCCTTAGTAACAGATATCGACATAATTACTTCAGTGCACCACTTAGGGCATCGGTGACCTACATGGCAGTCAAAGGGTTAAAGCATACTCAAGAGAGCCCCTTCCTCAATTAATTCTGCTTCTCCTAATTTGCCGGTGGCATCCTAATTATTATAAGTTTTTTTCCTACCGATACTGATAGCCTTCAGAGGCTATATCAGCTTCGCCGTGTAGGTGAGCTCACGGGGCTCAAACCAGAGTTGTGCCAACACTGGCCCTAGCAAGAGCAGTGCTTCGCAGAATCTACCACCAGATCGGAAACGCGACCCACTGAGAAGATCCGGCGAGAAACTCAGTGGGCTGTGTCAGTGGGTTAATTCGCTCGTCGAGTCCTTCGTCGCAAGCGACGGGTTCCACGAGGACGATGATTGTTATAAGATATACGGCTGGGACCTACTAACGCTGCCACGCAGTAGGTATCTATGCGTCTCTATCTCAGGATAAGAGTACTCTTATTTCCATATGGAAGGTGGTCGTGGTTTTGTAATGTATGTAGGCTTATGTTAAATCCGATACACACCTAAGAGTTACAGTGGGTGAGGGGCTTTTTCGTGTTGATGTCGAGGCCAGATAAGGATGCACGTCATCGATAACCACAAATAAAAATATCAGATACCTACAAAATAATTCTGCTTTTTAGAAGATAGCTATAGCGTATCTTGAGATGTGTATCCAATGCTAGGTTGGAAGACTGATCGACGTTAATAGTAATTCCCAAAACGTACGTAGTAGTTACTTAGTTCAGATAGTCGTACTTAATATTTCTAGTAATTCATCTAGTCATGTAAATGTGTACGAGTATTAGGTATTATAAAACCCTGTCGTAGAACCAAAATGTCTGTAATTTTTCCTATTGTTTTCCATTATGTAAATTAAAATACAAGAGAAATGGTAAGTCAAAGCTGATCGTTCATTTTAATGAACCCTGAACAGTACATTGAAGTTAGTAACGCAAGCGCAGAGCAACGTTTCATGGCCATCGCCTCGCATGCGCGAACTCCCCTCTTCCTGTCGACTTCCCCCACTACTGGTTGCCACAATCGCATTTTGTTTACCAATTGCTTTGCCTCGATTGACGAGTTAGTCAGGGCAGTCGGTCGAGTAACTATAACGACCTCGCTCGTTCTCGCGTACGTTCATAATTCACAGTCGCGCGTCGTCAGCGACGCACGCGACTTATAATCACCGCGTCATGACCCTGTGACGTGATATTATGAACAAAGCCGAATCTTCGACGGAAACCGCCGCGCCCAGCGTGGCGATCCACGTGGAACAGTATGACGACTGTCAGGACGTCGAAAGCTCAAAGCTTCTCAACCTGCAAGAACCGGCAGCTACAATTAATACCTCTGCACCAATGAGAAAAGTTAAGAGCTTTAGTGACACCCAAAAAATTCGTGATGTTGCCGCTGCTTCCGGAGCTGCTTCTGCAAGAAGTTTACGACCATATGAACAAGTGATTCCTTACCCTGAAGGATCCGAAAACGGAACTAACCAATATGGAGCGCCATCGGTTCGATCCCTCGCTTCAATCGGCATGGGCTGCACCGATGGTCGCAAAATGGTTATTAGACGAGTACCTACTTCGCCCACAGAATTGTTCCATCTAGTGCGTCCTCCTACGTGAGTACCTCTCGGAATAACACATCCTCTGACTTGCCATTATTCAATTGACTATATGGACATCTTTATAACTTTAATATCCATATGAGTATTTTCTATTGTCGTCCGGTCCCACGATCTTAGTAGTATGTTAGTGATAGATTCTTATTGCATGCTATTGAAGCATATTTGTTTAAATAAGTATTTTGATAAAACGATAAAACACATTCAGTATTACAAAAACATTATATCTATATCGGTCTTAATCTGATTAAAACAAATTATAATTAGGAATTGAAGCAACGTGCATTGCGCGAAGCATTCGTCGTTAATTTTATAAAGTTTGTTGTATGTTGATAGTTACCTAATCATTAAAATATCAATTGAATCGTTTGTACCCAAATAATTTTCAAAACTATTTCAATTTTGTCTTTTTATGTTGTGGTCGAAGATTGTGCATTTAACATTCAGGCGCTAAATTTATTTAAAATTTCCTCTGTCATTCGTTTCATTCAACTCTGTGATTCAACTGTTTCAATTATAGCAACATAGTTTTTCACAATTCTCGTATTTAGAACACTTACTAAAGGTATATATTAAAGTACATAGTCGTAAAAGTATATATACTATTCTTATGCATTTGGTTCCCGCATATGTATTTGCTAAACAAAACAATAGTTGCAACGTAAGAATTCATATCAGTGATAAATCAGATTTGTTCAATCACGGAGATCCATAAATCATTTTATCACAGAACTTACATAATGTTCACAACGTGCACCGGATTCAATACGCCATGAAATTATTTTTAATCAGAAATCAACTGAAGTCTTTCATTGAACATTGTACAGTACCTACTCAAAGAGTACCACCACACTATTGATAAAGATTTCTCTTTCATTAATCTATGTGTGAGACGAGCTGATGTTATTTAGGTATTGACTTGATATTAGATACACTGCAGAACATAAGGAACAAATTATTTTTTTATTATATACTATAACAGAATGATGATAATAGAATAAATTTGGATTAATTAAATTTGGAATGATTAATAACGTGAATTGTAAGCTTTTATTTTTATTTTTAATAATCAATATTTAATTTTAGTAATACATTTTCATAGGTTTTGTCAACATGTAATTAATTAATGATAACATATTGTTATTTCCTTTCCTGGACACAACGGGCTCAAGGAAATAGCAGAGACGTAAATATACAACATAAAAAGATGTGCATATTATTAAGTTCTAACACAACAAGGTGATTTTCCTAATATTTGATATTTGAAATTATTTTGTAACTAAAATACTTTGCAAAATAAAAAAGTCTGATTAATTTAGTTTTGATAGTCCGTAGAAAATGTTAGTGCTAATGAAAATCGAAGTGAAGTAATTATTTTGGCCAAATTGATTTATTTATTAAGGTTTTATTTGATAAAATAACATCTATTAACAACACAACAGTACAATTTATTTAATTGTTTTTTAAACAAACATGGATTCAGTTAAAGCTACGAATTTATCATTTGCAATACTATCGCTGATAAGCATAAATATCAACTCTGCAAAGATTAGGATTGAATTCCGTTATCATTTGCTAATCCGCCAACCGTGAACTTAATATTTATGACACATTCGAAAAATCATAATGAAAAAAAGAATTACAATTAAAAACAACGAATTTTAGTAAAGAATCAACATAAAGGAATTATCTGTTTTAGATTTATCTTTATTCGCCATTCTACAACAAAATTCATTTTATGTTTTCTACACATTCTTAAAATATATTAAAAAATTGTGTATAAAAATGTATACTTGCTAATGCGGTGACTTTAGGAACGGACACTAACAACATTTTAATGCTACATAAACGTTATAATCTCGCTTATTATTTCTACTTTGTTAGTTCGCGCACTATATTCTAATGACCAAACAAAAATTAACCATGTAAGTAATAAATAAGTATTTACATCGGTTTTTGTGATTCGTTATTACTACAGTAATTACTCAAATTCTTGTGTTCGACTTACGGGGGCCTATCTATATCGTCTTCTATCACTATGGTAATTCTATATTAATCATAAATTTAACCAATTATAAACAAAAGTAACACGAACACAAATCAATATAATTTATCTCAATGTCTGCCTACATGGAACCTCCATCAATCCCGATACTGAACTTGCATTAGGGTGTTTTTCCCCTTACCTATGCTGATAGCTTTGAGAGACTATTTCAGCTTCTCCTTGAAGTGTTGGTGACCACACGGGGCTCAAACCGGAGTGTTGCTAACACTGGCCCTAGCAAGAGCAGTGCTTCGTTAGAACCACCAGATCTGAAACGCGACCCACTGAGAAGATCTGGCGAGAAACTGTGGGCTGTGTCTATGGGTTAATTTACTCGTCGAGCCCTTGGTGCTCTCTTGAACGCGGTGAACTAATAAACATCATCTCTCCTGTATTATAGGAGTAGCGTAGAAGTGATATATTCAAGCGGTCCGCAAGACTTCAAAATCGATCACTTAATAAGGCCAATGTCCACTGCGTTTATTTAGTCCTTATACATTGCTATTAATAAACACGGTGTAATAAACACTGGCCTAGTATATATTTTGTCTCTTTCGACCTTATGTCAAATTGAATGGTAATGAAAAAGAAATGAATAATCTTTTATTACACAACGGCTATTTATTAACTATTACAGCCTAAGCGAAGGCCATAAACTTTCATAGTTTTACCCAACTCGAATACTATACAAAAGCCTAATTCAAAAGTAACTTCCATGATAGCAAAAACGTAGTCAACAACATTTATAAGTAAAACCTACATATTGATATCGGTTTATATCAGTCACACGATTTGATGCGCCATCCTTAATTCCTCTTCCACAAGGGAGATCCTAACTTCTAGAGTCGTTTTCCTCAAAGTTGTAAATTCCCTCATGGATCACTTTCTCTGTGACGAGGACGGCATCACGCTATCCAAGTCTGTTGTTTGCCATATTAAGTATATTAAAAATGCTATATTTTAGTAAAAGGATAACACGGAAACGGTGCAAAATACTGCAGACTCGTATGTGCTACTTAAGGTAGCTATTAATAGATATCTCAATCGAAATAATTGAATATAATTTAATTTAAAACGTTTTTGGATTATAAAAATGGAACAGAAGACTTTGCTTTTCCGTTACCGTGAAAGAAATATAAAAGAATAAACAAAATTATTTTACGACCATAATAAAGTGTTGAAAATTTAAGTGTCCTGCTTGTTTATTATTAATATTGAATGATCATTATTTCATATTTCTAAAGTCAGAGAATAATTTATAAGTACAATATTAATATGATAACAATGAAGGAGCATAATTAAATCAAGTTATAAGTTTTATCATTATAAGAGAGAATTGATTCGTTGTATGATGTGGGTTTTATGAAATGCTATAGAAGTTCCTAAATAGCTTTTTATTAAATTCGTAATTGATGACGCATATTAAAAAATTAAAATTTAAAATCTAAATTCTAACAAAATTTATTATCAACCTTGAAACTCTGATCCATTTATTATTGATTAAAAAGGAAGAGTAATGAAACTATTATAATATAATTGAAATTATATTATTCCATAAATATAGAATCGAAGCAAAATAATAATCATGTAGGTACTTCTGTTTCTATTAAGGCAGACAAAAGTACACAAGACTTACGTAAAAAATACTTTTCATTATCATAATCGAATTTCGGTATTTCATCCAAATAACAACAAAACTGAAAACCTTTATCTGATGTGTATTTTAAACTTTTGTGATCTTGAAATGATAGTGCATCGGTTCGTGTGCCAAAGAACGATAATCACTACATAGTATAAAACAAAGTCGCTTTCTCTGTCCCTATATCCCTATGTTTTCTTAAATCTTTAAAAGTATGCAACGGATTTTGATGCGGTTTTTTTTAATAGGTAGAGTGATTGAAGAGGAAGGTTTATATGTATAATAACATCCATTAAATAGTGGAGAAATCAATAATAAATTAGTTTCCGAAGCGAAGCGAGGGCGGGTCGCTAGTATATGTATAAATGAACTTATATGAATGCTTTGCCACGACCGTTTTACTCGTTCCGTTCCGGACAGGTAACATAACAAGTCCATTGTTTAAAAGCCGTGACGTCATCTCGCGGTAAGGCTTAGTGATAAAAGATTTTAAAAGTAAATGATGCATTTTACATTTATTTACATTAGTGTCAGATTCCAACATTCAAAACAAAAGGCTTACATTGATTAATTACTTTGTAATAAAATCGCTTCGATTCCTTACTTCGACATCCATTTTATGTCTTTAGTCCCAATAAAGACATTTTTGATCCGCATCAGTAATACATTATAACAACAATTCAAAACTTACAGTACGTTGAAGTCATTATTGAAATTATGTAAGTAGAGCCTTCGGTGACCGTGACCGGTGAAACATGTTTTAATATTTTGTTAATTCATATTTTTTTATTGCTCTTGTCAAGCATACGGCTGGCCCACCTAATGGTGAATTGTTACCGTCGCCCATGGACTTGAACAATGCCAGTGGCAGAGCCAAGCCACTGCCTACATATATTTATCTGTAAAAAAATTTACACACTTTTCAAAGGGGATAACCGTATTATATGAGTGTACAATTTTAATTTATTTTATATTTATTTGTGCAAGAGAAATGTCAACAAATATTTTATACTTGAAACTAGGATTTCCACTACTACTTCGGACTAACATAGTTGTTCCTATTTGCGAGACATTACTACCATTTCTTCTTTTCAGAAAGGTAGGATAGTAAATAATTAATAATTGCATATTTGCATAGTTCATTATTCTCTTTGCATTAATTGTAAGTCTAAATTGTTCATAAAGCCAAATTTTCGGAAATTATAAATGTTCTGAAGAAAAACACATGATTATGAAAAAAGGGGTTCCGGACAACGAAATTTTCGAATGGTTCGAAAATAAATAACTTTGTTATTTTGCTTCATAAGTCTCGGAATCGCGAAAGATTTAGTGCGTCCAACATTTTGACAGGGCTACTTGAGACAATCCTAAAATCCTGCGATGATTATGTTTACAAAGAGTTTTCGTCGTTTGACCTTCACGTTGAGACGATAACGCTGCAACCCAGCTATCTGCTCACACATATCTCGCATACGTCGTACGGATACAACGATTGATCGTGCGCCAGTACCGGTCGGCCTTATCACCGCCTACTTGATAATGATTTTAAAATACGTTTACGTACTTACGCGTTGACAGCTGAGGATTACTCCTGCTTTAAACTGTCTTCGCGTGTTTACGGTTTCGGTAAAAAACTTTCCTGAATACTCCAAAATATAATTAACGAACGCACATGACTATAACATACACGTCGTTTCTGAACGGCAATAAATATTTAAGACTAGCTGACCCGGCAGACTTCGTAGTGCCTAAACCTAAGCCTTTGTATAAAATAAACTTAAAACAAACAAAAGGAATCCGTCCGACGGGGGACACATCAAAGGAAAAACAAAATTGTTATTTTTATTTAATTCCGATCATTTTAATATTTATCTAACCTTTTTAAACCTTCCCTGGACTTCCACGAATAATTCAAGACCAAAATTAGCCAAATCGGTCCAGCCGTTCTCGAGTTTTAGCGAGACTAACGAACAGCAATTAATTTTTATATAATAATATAGAGAAGAAGAAGATATTACACTTTTGTTTTTAGCCAATGTTAAACAAACAGCCGTCTGTTGTTAAAGATTAGGTAGAATAAAGGCAACGCAAGACCAATTAAAATCATGACTGTATCGTATGATATCTTTATTGAATCTACACGAAGGTTAATTAAAAATGTTAATTGAGTTATCTATTATATTTTTATAAAAAGCAATAACTAGTGCTGCAGTTTGTTGACCTCGCATAGGGTCAACATCTTCCCAACGATTGTCATCGCCTTTCATTTGAAGTAAAACAGCAAGTGACATTCAATTTACGATTCCAACAGTTTACCGCCAGGAGAATATTGAACTCATAATCCAATAAAAATCAAACTGGCTTGATATAAATTTAAATTTTCCAAAAAGCTATGTACTGAATTCGACGTTTTTTTCAGTTTTATGTTTTAATTTGACCTTCACACAACCTTAAGCCGGCAAGTTTTTCTTTGCCTTTGCCATATACCATCCCGCCGTGGGATGAACTCCACGGTATTCCTTGAGAGTTATGACATGCGCTTCAATGAGAGTCCATAGCAATACGCAGCTTGGCTGTGCCTTCTGGAAATGCGGATGTTCATGAGTGGCAGGGACCACCCACCATTAGGTGCGTCGTTAGCTTGTCTGCCTTCGAAGACAGTATAAAATAAAAGAATTCAAACGATAATAAAAAATTGTAGATATTATAATATATTCTAAAAATCACTTCTTTGTTTTCAAAGCTTTTCCGCTTTAAAATTTCTAATTAAAATTTAAACTGTTAAATTTCACTGTTTAATTTACAAAGGTAGTCTTGTTTTATTTATTTATTTCCCAATTTCTATTGTAGTGATCAAATACAATACAATTAATACAATTTTGGTAATAATTGTGGCTTTATATATGTAATGCCGACCTTTATCTATAGCTCTATACATGTATGTACACATGTATACATACATATATGATATGGAATATTACAGAATGATATAATGAGGAAACAATAGGCTTATATAAGCCTATATATATAAGCCCTTAATCTCTTTCAAAATTAATATTTCAAACAGTAATATTATACTCTACGAAACTGAACTCTCTTTTCACTGAATGACACGACAGGTGAGCGATTCCGTCTAGGAAAAAACATTTTTTAAACTAAAGAGTTTAAAAAGGTTTTAAATGATCAAGGTTTTTTCTTTACACATATATACCTATATAAATATACACACATATCATTATTGTTCATATCCACATTAATCATATCCTTATAATAAACTTTATGAATGAAAATATATAGGATAAAAATTACAAACAAATCAAAATCAATATTCTCTTTATTTGTATATTTAAACGTAAGGTGTTTTCGAGGAGTATGATTATAATACATCTTAAAATGCTTAGAAACTATCACCTTATACAGTCTAGCCTTTGAGCCATTTCTGACGTCACGTTAATCTTCCGCTGCTGTAGATCATTCATCATTGATCAGACCAAACAGCTCACTTTCATCAAGGTCGTGGTGCGTAAAAAAACTAAAATTATTTTGATGATACTCAGTCAGAGGGTGGAATTTTATGCTTGCGTAAGTGACCAGATGATTATCATGGCAATACTTTTGCACAATACATATTTGAATTGTATTATGAGTAAATGCATAAAATAGGAGTTCAACGTAATGTAATGTAATACAAAGTTGAATACTCATAAACTATAAGTAATGTTTGCAATAATACCTTTTAACAAAAATCTTGAGTCGTGGGAAGGAAATAAACAACAGTACCGCTACTCTGAGGTTTTTCACCGGTAGTATCCAGTTAGCCTCTAAGACGCTATTGCCTATTCCGACATTGGTTTTCCCCCACCCTCGGTGGTAGCAGGATGCACCCCAAACCAACCATTACCACGTCAAAAAACGAATTTATCTACTACAATCAAATAGTGCTTAATCTCAATGACAGTAATTTTAAAATTAAATTAGTAGTTGGACATCGGTTCGCCTCTTTGGTCAAATGCTTAGTGGTTATCTTCCGGGCCTATTGTAATCTTCACCCAAGATTTCCTCGAGATAGTGCTGTAGTAGAAAGCGGTATTCGAGTATGAAGGCTAGCTTCGTGGGGTCTTCTCCTCGCAACTTAAGTCATTTACAAGTAATTGTTGCTCAGGCTGGAGCCTTTCAAAGGCATAACCGTCAGATTTGGTTATCTTCTCGAGAAAAAATGCAAAAATATACCTTGTCGTCGAGTGGTTACACGCTTCCCGCTAGGGTATCTTTCAGTCAGTTCACCAGTTTCACGATAACGTTACCAGACTGCAATAAACATACAGTGAAACAAATTCGAAATTAAATACTAGTTTTAAAATTGTAATTTGACACCCCTAAATGTCTAAAACCATTATTTTATTAATTAGAATTCAATTTACACCAAAGTTTAAAGCAGACTATTTCCACCTGCATTACAGCTTCCGAATTACATATTTTCGATAAACCAGTTTATAGAAAAAGTGTTTAAGATGAAGGGTGAAGATAAAAATTAAAACTTAAATTTAGAAAAACAAGTAATCTTCATTTCATGACAAAAATATAAATAGTTTGCACAATCAGAAAATAGAAACAATATAAATGGTCATAGATATGGCAATAATTAAATTTAAAAAATCGTTGATATTTACCACAATCTGGCTATCGAATTTTATACACATGACGTTTTATTCTGGAAGGACATTGACCGCCATACAAATAAATTTTCTTTAAATGCCGAACGTAAAAAAATATTCGTCACATTTTCGGCAGTCCATGAGGTTAGCCGGAGATTTGCCCGACAAGTACAGATATTATTACATAGTATTCGCTTAAGCACGTACCTACATATAATACGTATTTGCTATTCTGTTACTATTTGTAAATCAAGTTAGCTGACGATGTCATCTGATCAATAATTGATTGACATGGCTAGGTACATACGACATATATATATATATAGCAACGTGTCTATTATACATGTTCATTCGTTCTGTATCTTTAGTCCAGTCCATAACAACTTACCATGCTCTACCGAAGGTCTGTTTTATAAATATTTTATTAATTCGAAACCAACTAATGGAATGTGTTTATAATGTGTTTACTGTAATTTATTACATATAAATTATTTTATTTTATTCTAATTATTCTCTTGGCTCCTCCAATGCATCGCCTTATTGTCTTGAACAGTTGACCGAATTTGATCTTATTTTTTAAACGTGTGTCTCTGGATGGCTTCTTAATTGAACCCAGTGGGTGGTACCACAATTGGATTCTAGCTATTTTTATTTTCGGAGCCAGACGAGGTGTCCACTCTTGTTTTATATAAATAATTTAATTTAAATTGTTTTCCCTTATTGTTTCCCTTGTTTAATATAATAAATTTAAAATAAATTGAGTTTTCTGTCCTACAAAATGACGAACAACTCGTTATCTATTAAGTTAGCTATGGCGCGTGTGCATTTGTATCTAATCTAATTTCATCAGCAAACACATCAGTTCATTAAAACACAATGTACTTACATAAATTACCTGAGACATATGGAATCCTTTACGGCTCAAATTATTTTTTAAACAAATATTTGCATTCCAAGTACAAATAATCTTCAGTTAATGTAATTTAAAATTATTCAGAATTCATTTTCGCTCCTTATATTCAAAACCGCGTTATTGTTACTTCTCGTGTGCATGTAATGAAATAATAATCCTATTTTCAGACCCCCCGATGAAGATTCGGCATCCCACGAGAGTGACTGTGAAGAAGAAGAAGAAGATGCCGCAGTACATTTGAAACCCCGAAGGCCCTTTTGGGCTAACAAGATTCAGTTCGTGTTGGCATGCGTCGGATACTCCGTTGGCCTCGGCAATGTTTGGCGCTTTCCTTATCTCTGTTACAAAAGTGGAGGAGGTAACGTGATTCTCTGATACGTTTTTAACATCAAGTTCAAGGACGCATGTCACACTTTTCCATTAAATGAGGTCTGAATCAAAATTCCGTCGCAATAACGACATAGACTATATGGTAGACTCTCTACCACAAATAAATAACGTTATCTCGAGACCGTGACACGAAATTTTAATTTCCCACTGAGTTTCTCGCCGGATATTCTCAGTGGATCGCGATTCCTATCCGGTGGTAGATTCTGTCAAACACTGCTTTTGCTAGTGTTATTCTTAGCAAATTCTCTCAGGTTGAGCCTGTGACCTTCACTAACCATCCGGGCGTAGCTGGAATATACTCTCATGCTACCAGCGAATAGGTAGGAAAAAAACAAAAAAAATCATGAAATTTCAAAGATGGTCATTGACTGTTGGAGTAGCGGCTTGACTGTACCCCTAGTGGCCGTACGATCATCTGCCTACAGCGACAATAAAGTAAAATACAATGACCAATAGGTTATGCTGTCGTTAAATACCAGTTAGACTAAAGCCGTCTCTCCGTCCGTGCCAGTTAAACAAAAACTTATTTGAGCTTTCTCTTCAAACGATTTAAATTACTCTTCAATCGTAATTTAAAATCCTTGTGTAGGTATTTAACGAATTCGTCATAAGTTCATTTGAAAATTAAATACAGAAAGGTACGCTAATTTACGGATTCACCCATGTGATTTTTTGTTTACGTCTGCCATTGCTCCGAGTACATAACTAATGGGCGATATTAATTTTTTTAGCATTTTTAACAAGGCATTCTAAATTTAAAATATAAAAAATACGTTTTATAATGGACAATTCCAAATGATTTGTTGTTTACGATTCACATTATCTATTGATCCGAGCAACCAATCGACAATGTTACATTATATTAGAACTTAAGAGGTGTGAACAACGTGCATCGAATTCTACATAACACGCCCACTTTATAGTTCTTTACTTCACACTTAAGATTTAGTTTCACCTGAATGTGTAATTCGGAATTTTGTTTAAAATTTTATTAATTAAGTCACGTGCTCTCCGACAACTGAATAATCTGAAACTTTGTCAATTAGTAAAGATCGTTAGGAATAAAATTATTTAATTGTATGATTTTTTAGAAGCCAAGTTTCGCGGGCCCTCTTACAATCACCTGACCTTGAGCGGTCACCAGAGCCCATAGTCCACAACGCGAATCCCTTCTCATACTTGTCCGGTTATTCTAGCTTCAAAGCAGACTGTATGATTCGCGTCTGAGTAGGAATACGGCGCCCGTCCAAGCGGGCTTGCAACAAATTCTACCATCAAAACAAAATTAGTTTATTAAAAGTAATCATCATGAATCAGAACGATAGCAAAGTTTTTAATTTTTAAAACTCTAATTTTACATCTTGGTCTTTTTACGTAATACTTTTATGGAGATGTATAACAACGGAGGAAAGATTTCCTACCGAGCGGATGATATTGCTCGGTAGACCTTGTAGAAGCTTGTCTTGAAAATGTCGTAAGCGAGATTCAGGCATCTGTCAAATGTCTTGCGTTGTATGATGGCTACCCGCCACAAATTCGTATATATATTTTTTAAGCTAACATATTTGCACTCGGTCCGCTAATATAGAATCGTCGCGACACTCGGCCGGTGTAAATTAACTCATTAAGATGACAGAGAGATCGTGTCCGTCGTGACATTGCATTAAACTCAACTATTTAAGTGGCAATGTCGTTTGAAATTAAACAGGCACGAAAAATGATCCACAATCAGATTGACCATGAGGACATCGATTATCACAATTTTTTAGCAGAGCGTCAATTTAGAAACGTGATCAATAAAATTAACACACTAGTTGGAATCTAAAAACGAGAAAATACCTCATCTCAATTAACTGAAATGTGAAGATATAGTTTTGTTACGGCTTAACAATATCGAACAATTTGTCTCGAAGACAATGAAACGAAATCAAGCCAAAACTTTAATACATGGCATTATAATGGTTCTTTAATTGTCACATTTGGAATGTTACACATCATGTCGTTATATTAATATAAAGTTGCTAAATTAAACTACTAGCAGTTTTACTGCAACTAACAATTATATCTATTTAACAAACTTAATCGGTCCTTAAGGTGCTTACTACCTTCTTTCTGTAATGATATAAAGATACGAAGTCAAATGACGATCAGCCGTAAAAAAATCAGACAGACGCGACCATGTCACGAACACTACCATTATAAGTTCATTTGGACACACCCACAATCCAAATACACCAATATATGTATTTACAATCATTAACGAACAGCAAATACGTTATGTATATAAACCGCGCGAGATCGTGATCTGTGATGTTTGTGTCATCTGTCACTAATAGGAGCTATTGTCGGCGAGGTACCAACTCGAACCATCAACACGACAACACGGTGTGAATTACAGCTGATGCTTTCTGTAAACTGACTCTTCACAGTAAACAAGTTTTCAAGATATCAAATGATTTATCACAATTAACTAATTACGTGAGGTATAGGTGCCGGGCAAATATTAACCAGAATTTTTCTACGCTTTTCGTGTTAGTAAAAATTTACGAATATAGTGTTCAATTGTAAAATTTGTTGTAAAAAATTTCTGATTAAACTCATGTATGCATGTTTTACCTATTAGATAAACATATCAAATTTTCCGACAGTATCTACGTACACAATAACTGAAATTTAAAACTACCGATTTCTGAGCCTAGATATTTTGTATTCCCGATTGTCGTCCTGCAGTTTATCTAAAATATTTTTGTACTAGTAGCTTGCCTTCTTCATTTATCTTTTTTAATCAATCGTTCATATTAAAGTCAAATACATTATCAGAATTACAGGAAAAATAGCTGAATCTATTAGTATCCGTACATTTATGAATTTTGAAGAAGTCGAACATGTTCATCTTACCGTTACCATTTTAGTGTGGTCACGACCACTGTATTAATTTATACTTAACCGCGTCATAATCATAGTTATGTAAAAATATTAATCAGTAATTTCATTGTATTAATATTTCAGAAATAATGTTCGAGGTTCAAAAGTTATAAATGAACAATTTTGAATATCTTTGCTAACTCAACACGGTTCAGTTTAGCGGATCATGCATGTTGTGCCTTTAATGTGTTAAGTCATATATTCAAGGACTTGTACCACTATAATTTCACTTTTTTCTGAAAGTCATACCTAATTAACATAACGTAAAGTGTTCGCTAATGCTTACATTTTATTTTTAGACAAAACGCCTACTATACAGAATCTGTAAACAATTAAATTGACGTTCTTTATTCTACATTATGCAACGCAGACGTATGATATTCTCTAGTATAACGGTTAATTGGATTCGGGCAGAACATTCAGGCACTGGGATAAGAATATTATTTACTCGTTTTTACGTAAAACTTGCAAATTTAACAATCGATCTATAGTGTTGCTTGGTCCATATTTTAAAATAGTTTTCCTGCTGCTATAACGGATAAGACTTTTTTTGTTCTTTCTTATCAAAACAAAAAACTTATCAGCTTCCTGAATTAAAAAAAATAGCACCTCTATATTTTTTACTTCTTTGTGCATGACTTATCCATATTTCATATCATGCTGCATGCACCATGCATTGCTGTGACGGAAGTCACAGGCATCACTTAAGTTACCTTTGGTTGCAATTATTTTTCTGTTCGTTAGTATAAAACCTAGTACATAATTATACTCCATCTTCCAGAGTCAAATTATTATGATCAAATTCCTCGATACCTTATATGTGTAACATATAATTTACGATTTTAATGCAAGTGGCTTTTTCCTTTTTAATCACAAATTAAAGCTCGCTCGCAAATTAACGCTCATAAAATTTGTACTAAATTTTCATGATATTTTTAAACTAGTGTATTTACGTTATTAATAGCCATTAATCGATAAGAAAGCGGGGTAACAAATATATAAAAAATATTTAAAAAATATAATGTAACTATACTGAAATAAACTAACTGTTCTAAACTAAACTAAAAGTATGAGTAATCGCAAATAGACAATCTTATTACATTAATGTATATTACTTACTGATACATGAATGTAATAAGATATCTAAAAAAGATATCTAAAAAATCATAAAACTGAAACTTAAAATATTGAAATTGCGACTCGAGAGGCACCTACAATACCACGGATCTACGAACACTTAAGCCCTTTATCCTTTCAAGAATAGAGGTTAATTAGATAATGGTAATAATGGATTAAAGGCAATGGGTCATCTGCGAACGTAATTGAAAATAAATTGAACCTAAACTACATACCTTAATAGTGTAACTTAAATTAAAAATTCAAAAAACGTTAATGGCAAAAAAATCACGATAGATACAGCACCTAATCGTCTATGTGAATATTTTATATCTCTACCATCAAAACATTAGGAATAAAAAAAAAGTTGCAAAAGATTATACACTATTTATCAATTTTCCGTCATTTTAGATAAATTGATACAATTTCACGGAGGATCCTCCTTGTTAATATTTTATCCGACGATTAAGCAGAAGTACAAATTTACGTCCGCGGGCATTCAATCTACGCTTAACTACTTCCACATATTTCTTGTTTAGTAATAACATCGTCACCTTACTGTTCAAATCAAACACCCCACCAAATTATATCTTAAGAAGAATACTAAAATCAGTTTTACACAGACAGACAGTTTATAGTATCGTCTAGTGATGTAGTCATCAAATTATACGACATCGCTACGTGTTATGCCGAATCTTAATACTTACCATTTTTAATCTTCCACAGGTGCATTTTTGATACCTTACTTCATAATATTGTTAGTTTGCGGCGTCCCGATGCTCTTTATGGAACTGGCTATAGGGCAATACACAGCTCACGGACCTATAGGAGCTTTGTCGCAGATATGTCCACTTTTTAAAGGTATTTTTAATAGTATACGTACAATTCCTTGGCTTTAGTAATGTGTAATTAATGCTCAGACCTAATTCGAATCGAAACCCAAGAAGTTGAAATTTTAACTGTATGACAACATTTTGATAGATACATATATTATATACAAGTCACCGTGAAATAGGTTCATATTGAAATCGTCGTGGCCTAAAGGATAAAACGTCCGGTGCATTCGTATGTAGCGATGCACCGGTGTTCGAATCCGGCAGGCGGGTACCAATTTTTCTAATGAAATACGTACTCAACAAATGTTCACGATTGTCTTCCACGGCGAAGGAATAACATCGTGTAATAAAAATCAAACCTGCAAAATTATAATTTGCGTAATCACTGGTGGTAGGACCTCTTGGGAGTCCGCACGGGTAGGTACCACCACCCCGCCTATTTCCGCCATGAAGCAGTAATGCGTTTCGGTTCGAACGGTGGGGTAGCCGTTGTAACTATACTGAGACCTTAGAACTTATATCTCAAGATGGGTGGCGCATTTACGTTGTAGATGTCTATAGGCTCCAGTAACCACTTAACATCAGGTGGGCTGTGAGCTCATCCATCCATCTAAGCAATAAAAAAAAATCGTTCACAGTTCACGCTTAAGTTGGGAGTTATGCGTGGGATTTTATTTCTAGTAAAAAAAAAATATTACGGAGGCGATCTTACACCCCTCAGGATCAGCCTATGCCTGGCTGCTGCCTCCGATCCAACAGTAATTCCTCCCTCCATTGCCTAGTTGAAGGAGCCCATATTGCGAGCGATATTATTGAAATGCGCTAAGCGCCACCTAACACTAAAATCACAATTATATTAAACCGGTATAACCTAAACACTTAGTTATTATTGAAAAATAGTAAAGTAGCAGGATTTCATTATTTTTGAAAATTCACGATTAAACAGGGTTGGCAAATTTAATTTTTGATAATGCCTGTACTGTTACGTTATTCTAGCAACGCATTATAGCCGAATCTCCGAAATTTAACGCGAGTAATACTGCGGTTTTTCATATTTACTGTGACTTCTTCTTTACTTTTACAAAAACGCTTTTTTCTATTAAACAAAAATCGATGATGATGTAAATAAAAAATGGTGTTATGTGACATGGATGGTGGATGATGACAGTGGAATTTTTTACGACTAAATAATGTACAATTTTAGGTGCAGGTTTAGCGAGTGTGGTGATCTCATTTTTAATGTCCACATACTATGCTGTGATAATCGCGTGGGCAATTTATTATTTCTTCACGTCTTTCAAAACGGAAGTGCCATGGGCCAGTTGTTCAAATCGATGGAACACGGATATGTGCTGGGTGCCAAACCATAACTACACAAAACCGAATGGATCTCAAACACCCACCGAACAATTCTTCGAGTAAGATTATATTTTAGGTACCAAACTAAACTGATTTTTAACCGGGATAATGGACGTTTATTAGAACTGCTTCCAATACATTTAACGCAATACCCGTTGCAATAATGAATCATTTACTTGCATGAATAAGTCATAATTAAATAACGAAAAATTAGATTATCATTAATCTTTGTATATTTTCAGGAAGAAGGTATTGAGTATGAGTGCCGGTATAGAATTTCCTGGTGGCATGCGGTGGGAATTGGCAGCTTGCTTGGTCTGTGCTTGGGTGTTAGTTTATTTCGCCCTGTGGAAAAGTATCAAGTCATCCGCCAAAGTTCGTTATATCACCACGACACTGCCTTTTCTGCTAATTTTAGTATTCTTAGGTCGATCTCTAACACTCGATGGGGCGGACAGAGGCTTGAGATTTTTCTTCAAACCAGAATGGGAACTTCTAAAACAATCCAGACCATGGGTTAACGCCGCTTCACAAATTTTCAATTCCATCGGCATAGCGTTCGGATCTATGATCATGTTCGCTTCATATAACAGATTCGACAACAATTTTCTACACGATACTGTGGCTGTAACATTGGTCAATGCAATAACCAGTCTCATAGTCGGAATATTCACCTTCGCTACTATTGGAAATATCGCATTTGAACAAAACACACCGGTCAAAGATGTTATCGCAGATAGTAAGTAAATCCTTATTAGTCATTAAGTCNTCGGATCTATGATCATGTTCGCTTCATATAACAGATTCGACAACAATTTTCTACACGATACTGTGGCTGTAACATTGGTCAATGCAATAACCAGTCTCATAGTCGGAATATTCACCTTCGCTACTATTGGAAATATCGCATTTGAACAAAACACACCGGTCAAAGATGTTATCGCAGATAGTAAGTAAATCCTTATTAGTCATTAAGTCTATGCGGAAAGGTTGAATTGAAAGATATACTTAATACATTTTTCAGTGAAACAATAAAATATGAAATGATTCACTTTTACTCCATTAAAGATTTTATATAAAATTTTCTGTCTCATAGGTCCCGGACTTTTATTCGTGGTTTATCCACAAGCAATTGCAAAGATGCCAGCTTCGCAACTTTGGGCAGTTTTATTTTTCTTTATGTTCCTGTGCCTTGGCCTGAACAGTCAGGTAAGTTTAATAAAATAAAATTTTAATTCAAACTTTATTTTTTCCCAAAAAAAAATGACTATTATTACTTTACATCATCTGGTACTAGTTATGTTAATTGGCAACATTACGAATTAGACGGGTACCTACCCTTTTTTAGTAGTGTGAGGTTGAATTACCGGATCAGTAGGTGCCTCATGTGTTAGAGTAATATTTTGAAAAAAGCTCCAAAAATAAATACCTAAATAAGAAACCACGAAAACCAATAACAATAACAGCATCTCACAAAGGTCTACAATAACACCACCCAACCCAAGACGTGGGCGTCGTAAAAGATTAAGGGATTTACAATAAAAATGGCAGCAGCGTTTTCTGTGTATAAGTAAACGTACTACGATTTTCAACTGCCATTTACTGGATGTACCTACAAACAATTCAGAGAACTCCTCATGAAAGTTACGGTACAATAGACAGAGAAAACCGAAGTCCGTTAGTTAGAGGTTCTAAACGATATATGAAAACGAGATTATCGGTAATCCAAATGGCCCTCTTGTATATGGAGAAGTAGCTAATATTGCGAAGCCCCCGCCCAAGGATGAGAATCGACCAGTACTCGACGCGAGGCCAGACTTCTGCTTTATAAAAGCACAAGCGTGCAATATCGCTTCGCTTCACTCTAATGAGAACACCTAATATTTAAGAAGCGAGCCTACCTTTACCTTCTGAATGACTCTGATTCTGAACACTGCTCGTAATATCGACCCCAATTAATACCCAAGAATGCGACCTCGATAAGTTTGCAGGAATATTGATATGATATCCTTGGAATTACGGTTACATGACAAAGGGGTATTTCTTCGCAATTAACGTACCAAGCTGCGCTTACAAAAAGGTAGAAAGATTGATGTCTGTATAAGGTATAGACCGTCGGTCTATTCTACATAATAAAACAAAAAAAGGGCGTAAAGTAGTAGAATATACCAATATTAATATATTATTAAAAAACTGTACACTAACTACTACTAACGGCATACTTATACAAATAAAAAAAATTATTAATTAATTTTGTTTGTTTCTTTTACAGTTTGCCATTGTGGAAGTTGTCGTTACTTCGATACAAGATGGTTTCCCAGATATGATCCGTAGGAAACTTGTCTATCATGAGCTCTTAGTATTATTGGTGTGCGCAGTGTCACTCGTATTCGGCCTACCACATATAATACATAGCGGCATATACATATTCCAATTAATGGACTACTATGCCGCTTCGCTCAGTATCACGTATCTTGCATTTTTCGAAGTTGTTGCCATAGCTTGGTTCTATGGAGTGGGGAGACTTTCTCGAAACATTAAACAGATGACAGGTAAGATTAAAAATACTAATATTGATGATTGATGATTTCTTCATTCGTCATTGTTATGTACCTATGCCAGGAACTATTTTTGTCACTGTAGACAATATTAGTTACATTTCAAAATTATATAGTTTTGAAAGCAGGCTCGTATAATATCGACATACCTACATGTACATGTACACAGTAATTTACCTATTTAAGTATACGACGTTACAACATTTATACAGCAATCTTTTGCTTACCGAGTAATCAGTTAATTAAAGAGACGAAACATCTATAAAAGCCATTGCCGGATGTCCCTTATAATGGGAATCACAACAATTTTTACATACATAATAATATGAACTCATTCATTTTTAAACAATGTCATGAATCACTACTATTATCAAGATTGTTATTTAACACGCCCTAAAAAGTTTTATCTTTATATTATGTATTTAAGTATATAATAATTTAAAACTAAATCTGTTATTAGCTAAAACATCAGCAATATTTATTTTTGACATCAGCAAATAATCATGTGGTTAGTTTTTATTGTTGCTTGCATAAAACAGTGTTTAGTAATTTGATCATTCACAAGATGGACGTCACTTTTATCCTAACAACAGGAATCGAATTTAATAGTACGCCTAAAAATTAAAACCCTTCTGAATCTCCCTTTCACATATATTTTATTTTTAAAACATATATTTAACACATTGTCGTGTATTTACTTTTACAGGTCGACGTCCGTCAATTTATTTCCGATTTTGTTGGCTGATTGCTACACCTGCTCTATTAATAGCACTATGGGTGGCAAGTCTCGTCGATTATACTCCCCCCAGCTACCGGCAGTACCAATATCCAGCATGGGCACAAGCAATTGGTTGGATTATCGCCTCCCTTTCCTTATTATGCATTCCTGTATACGCTGTAATAGTCGTATTTAGAGCACCCGGGGAAAATTTACTTGAGGTTTGTCTATTATTAATAAATTAACCCCCTTAATGGTTTTAGTGCAGTGCAATAGTCATACTGTTTTATTGCAAGCTCTCTCTCTCTCTCTCTCTCTCTCTCTGATAATTATAGCAGTCATCTCTATGTCTTTACAACATGTATTTAATAGGACGCGATAAAAAAATTACTGGCACGATTATTTTACAAAAATGTCATATAATTTACGATGTTCTAATCCTCAAAACGAAATGACGTGTATCGGTACGAACTGCCTAATGTACCTACCTACCTACCAAACTTGCCAATCGCTTCCTACAATATTTATCGTAAAGATAAGGTTTGAATTTCCCAATTTTTTTTTCTTACAGAAATTACGTTATTCGATTCGCCCGAGTTCTATTTGCGACTGTGGCGTGAATGGTTGTGATATATGCTGCTCGGAATCCGAAACTGCTGAAGATAAAACTGTTATAACTTAGTTTTTATTTTTATTTACTGAACATTGGAACTAAAAACATTACATGAGGTTGATCTACGCCAAATACCTACCTACCTACATAATTACGAGAATAGTCACTTGATATCTTTAGATAAACAAGGCAATAAGATAATAAAGACGGTCTTCCATCATTTATCATTTACAATGAGTAAGAAGTCAGCACTCGACCTAAAATAACAATTATCTGCCTATCTAACTTCACAGTCACTAGTGACACAGATATCGCACTTGAATGCCTGCTAAACACTTAACGATCAATTTTGTACAAAACACACAATCAATTACATTCAAAATGGGTACTACTCTATTGGCAATTTTTTTTCGAATACATAATTGTTTTATGGCTTTGTCTTGCTATAACTTTTTCAGCAATCAATCGAAAAAAACGTTATGTTACTACTGAATAATTCAACTAAATTAGTGATGAAGCGTATTACAAACTAGATACTACTGCCCTGCAACTATTTCTACAAAATATCAATCATGGGTTCCGGTTTGAAAGGTTTAACAGTCTTGATACAAAAATGATTAACTTCGACCTCATGTCTGAAATATCAATTTTTAAATACAAAAAGCAGTATTACACATAAATCGAATGATTTACAAGTTATATAGCTTTATAAAACATGTAAGTACAATAATAATTCTAACATAAGTTTCATAATTTTTCATCCTGTTGTTCTCTTAGTTATATATAATATGTAATTAAGGGCTGCATTTCCAAAACATTCCATGAACACAATCCAACGAAAGTAAGTCAATTTTAGTTTTTAATAAACTTAATATTGTGTTCTTAAAACACGGTGAAGGAATAACATCGTGTAATAAAAATCAAACCCGCACAGTTATAGTTTGCATAATTACTGGTGGTAGGACGTCTTGTGAGTCCGCACGGGTAGGTACCACCACCCTGCCTAGTTCTGCCGTGAAGCAGTAATGCGTTTCGGTTTGAAGGGTGGGGCAGCCGTTGTACTATTTAAAGTGAGACCTTACAACTCATGACTCAAAGGTGGCATTTACGTTGTAGATGTCTATGGGCTCCGGTAACCACTTAACCCGAGAAGGCCGTGAGCTCGTCCCAAAAATAATAATTGCATCATTGCTATTGTTTGTATTTATTTTAATCATTGACATTAAATTAAAATGACTGTCTAAATTATTTATCTGCAGTGTGGTTGTCCAACCATTCCATTGGAATTTTTATGTAAAATTGTATTTTCGCATGTGAGATTAAATATTGAATACATATCGACCAGTATTTGTATTTTGAATAAGTTAATGTAAATAATGTTACCAATAGGTACTATCAAGTGTTATAATATAATAAATGTAATTAAATAAAAATGATATTTTTTTTATTCTTTCTTAGTACGCCATTATATACGTCCAGTAAAACTACTACTGAAAAATAATATAAGACACAGTGCTTCATCTTTGCCCTTCGGTTTCTCAATTCTATTGAATAACAGCAACTCTACAAGCCAAAATGCATAGTTACATGCATGCACAAATGTGATGGTAATACCTGTATGGGTTTGGATCTACCTTGATTACAATTTATAGACGCTCAGCTCTGACATACAACATATAGTCCTACTTACAATGCACCGTTACACCATGCCCCATATTGGCTTGTATGAAGACTATGAAGAAGGTATCTAGATTGCTAACCACAATGAGATCGAAAAGCGCATAAAAATCTTAAACAGACTACAGACCCAATTAAAAACTTTACCTGGTCTAGCATATTATAACTGAAGGTATATTAACTAGTATTTCTCAATAGCAAATAGAAAAGTCCAATATATACGAGTATTATATAATATTATAATATCTACATATTATCGCTTTTTTTTTCCTACCTATGCTGATAACCTTGAGAGGCTATTTCGGCTTCGCCGTAACGTTTGTACGTGAGCTCACGGGGCTCAAACCGGAGAGTTGCTAACACTGACCCTAGCAAGAGCAGTGCTTCGCAGAATCTACCACCGGGTCGGAAACGCGACCTACTGAGAAGATCCGGCGAGAAACTCAGTGGGCTGTGTCTGTGGGTTAATTCGCTCGTCGAGCCCTTCGTCGCAAGCGACGGGTTCGACGAGGACGGTGATCGGTGCTTGTGGTGCCTAAAAGCACCGTTAATGGATCAGGAGGATCCGTAATGACCTGCTTTGGGCGGCGTCGACGGTTTACCATTCGGTCTACTGGGTCGGGTATGTAGTTTCCAGCGGCTACGATGAGAGGGTTCTCAGGTCGTACCGCCTTCTCAAAATGGCGCAGCGATGCCGACTGTAGATACTTACTAACTGAATCGAGCTCCAGGTCATTGTGGAGTTCCGCGTTCCTCAGGAACCATGGGACTCCGACGGCTATCCTGCAGAATCGGGATTAAATAACCTGAAGGGATTTCATGTGGGTGCGGGCTACGTGAGCGAACACTACGCTTGCATACGCCATGACGGGGCGTATACAAGTTTTGTAGAGAGTTACCTTATTACGGAGGGACAGTTTGCTTCGACTACAAAGCATTGGGTAGAGTCGTCCTAGTATAAACGCGGCACAGTCGCGTACCGTTTTAATGTGGGGACGGAATGTCATCCCTCTGTCAAGGTGACACCTAGGTATTTGACCTTCGAGGCCCACGGTATGGGCTGGCCAAGGAGAGTGATGGGGCTAAAGGCGGAGGTGTTTGCGCGCCTATTAAGGAGTGGGATGCTCGATGTGGTATTCGGAGGGCGACCCCTTTTGAAGAGCACCGCTGTGCTTTTCGTGGGGTTGATGTCGATTCGCCACTTCCGGAACCACTGTCCCATGGTGGCTACTGCGATCTGGAGTCGCCGATGAAGCAACGACATCTTCCTACACGAGTAGTAGATAACCGCGTCATCGGCGAAGAGCGCTAGACGGGTCTTCGGAGACCGAGGTATATCATTGATATACAAACTAAATAATAACGGGGAGAGCGCGGAGCCTTGCGGGACTACGGCAATCGGATGACGGGGACGAGAGCGAGTTCCTTCTACTCGATATCGAAGCGAACGGCTCGACAAGAAGTCTCGTATGATGAGCACGAGTCTGTCTGGCACTCCCATGTTGTACAGTTTGTAGATCAAACCGTTGTGCCAGACTTTGTCGACCGCCTTCGCGATATCGAAGAAGAGGGCGCCGGTCGGGATTTGTTTACGCCTATTTAGCCCTATTAGGATGTGCTCAGTGAGGCGGTGCACTTGTTGTACGCACGAGTGTTTAGCTCTCCAAACTGCTCGTCTATAAGAATTTTATTCGCGGTAACGAAGTCCCAGAGGAGTTTCCGAAGGAGCCGTTCGTAAATTTTGCCTATCGTCGGGAGGAGACTAATCGGACGGTAACTAGAGGTTTCGTTTTACGGTTTGCCCGGCTTATGTATACCGATAACGTCCGCTTCTTTCCACACCGCGGGAAAGATGCAGTGCGTCATAGCGGCATTTAAAATGGTAGTCAACATTGCTATCAGTTGGACTGGTAAGAGTTTTAGCGCGCGGTTGCGGATGCCGTCGGAGCCGGGTGCCTTCTTAGGTTGGAGGTATTGGATCGCGTCTCTACTTCTTCGTCAGTGGTAATGGGGGGTAACGCGTCCGAGGGCGGCAGGGAAGCTCTGCGCTCGACCTCCCTGTCGACTAACTCGGTGTGTTCGGGGTCCGCTTATTGAGTGCTGGTGGTGCACTGCTCTTGCAGTGCATCGGCCAGCAGCTCGCCTTGTCATCGTCATCGAAAGCCGGTGGTTGGCCTGAAGGGCGTACGAGGGGAGGCATAGTAGCGGTAGTTCCGGATTTGAGAGTCCTAGCTAGTTGCCAATAAGCTTGGTGAGAGGGCGCGAGTTCTTCTAAATAGCTATCCCAACTCTCATTTCGGGCGTCGCTTAGGCGGGATTTGACTTCCCGCTGTAGGCGACGCATCCGAATCCGATTTGAATGCGTGGGAAGACGATCGTAGGCCCGGATTGCCGCGTTCCTAACTCTTAAGAGATTCCTAAGCTCAAGGGACAGTCTAATGCGATGGAAGCTATCCTCCACATCTACTTCTTTGGAAGATCTAATGATCGCGTGATCGGATGAAGAGATATGATCGGTAATGATGTTTATGGATTCGACGGTGTCCTCGGGGGATAGATTCGAAACCGGGCCGTAAGGGAGGATTGGTGGAGCGGCTTCGGCTAAGCACGTGCCCAGCTTATTGCAATCCACCATGGTTCTCGTAACAGTCACTGGGTTGTGGGGGCGACCGAGCTGCATAACGACAGGTCGGAGGTCTGAGTCAAGCTCTGACAGTGCTTCGATGGAACGCAAGCGCAGAGTTACGTTCCTAAGCAGTGCCAGGTCTATAGTGCTCGGGCGGAGCGCGATGTTATATGGATAACATGTTGGAGTTGGGGGACCGACTACTTCGAAGGTGAGGACGTCTATAAACGCGTCGAGACGCCTACCGTTAACGTTTGTACGATGGCAGTTCCACGTAGTGTGGTGGTAATTTAAATCGCCTGCCAGGATGACAGAGTCTTCCATGCCGAACAGTGACTCGATGTCACTGCTCAGGAGGGGCTTGTCGGGGGGGAGATAAACGGATGCGATGACGATCGGCTGGTGTCCCGTCAACGAGATACGGCACACTGACGCCTCGATATGTAAGGGAGCATCGAGAGGGACAACGTGCAGGGCCCGCCTATAGTAAATGGCAGTCCCACCTTTGGAGGTGGTGAGTCTGTCATTCCTAACCATGACGTAATTCGCGACTTTCGGGTCACGACCAGAAGGCTTCAGCCAGCAGGTCTCCTGCACTAACAGAATATCTACAAGATTGTCGCGGAATATCATCGCGTTAATGCGATAATGCCTTGATCATCTTAAAAACATCTGATCACATATTATAAACATTATATAAAAATTCAATATGTCCAAATGGCAGAGCTCAAATGGAATACACAAGACAAGATGTACCTTTATACTATTTATTTTGACATTTATTGATAAATTTGCTAACTGTTCATAAATGAAGGTCTTTTTTTTTATTGCTTAGATGGGTGGACGAGCTCACAGCCCACCTGGTGTTAAGTGGTTACTGGAGCCCATAGACATCTACAACGTAGACGCGCCACGCACAGTAATAGGCAGGGCGGTGGTACCTATCCGCGCGGACTCACTAGTGGTCCTACCACCAGTAATTACGCAAATTATACGTACGTCAACGATACGTCAACATCTTGTCAAATTTGCTCCTCATTTAATTTAATATCTTCGAGTGTTGAGTAAAGTGCCGACTCTTAGTCATTGTGGTAATCAATAATTAGTGTATTTCCGTCATTTTGATGCTTCGATAAGGACGTTTGGGATATCGTAAATACATTTTCGACGCAAAAACATCTGGATTGCCGCATTAAACTACCTTCATTACATCTTCGACGCGACGGTCGGTTGAAATAACGACACAGGACCATACTCGGCGTACTGTACTTCAGAGGTGAATTCAGCAATATTTTTATTTCATTAAATATATTTTTCTCTTCCGATCATCAAAATGGCAACCCTTATCCAATGTGCGGGATGCCTCGATAAAATAAAGGACACGCCGTTCTTGCGCTGTTCCCGTTGCGATGCCGTATTTCACCACTCCTGCTTGAATATTTCCTTGAAGGATTATGCTGCCATGACCAATGAAATCAAAGCTGTCTGGTTGTGCGTGTTATGTTGTAGCAGGGACCGAAAGGGGGGCGACAATTCTGACACACCAGTTCGAGTGGCGTCCACTCCGCAACACGGTTATGTCACCCACCGTACCAAAACTCGCGTGGTCGACCATAGCTCTTCTTGTGTGTCAGCTGAGGGGATCCGTGACATTATTCGAGAGGAGCTACAGAACTTGTTTAAGATGAGTTTCCTGCCCAAGCTAATGGAAGTTCAGAACGCTGTGTCAACCTTGGAATCTTCGCTATCATTCTTTAACGAAGAATTGGAAAGGATCAGATCTGTGCAGGGTGCTCAATCTGCAACAATGAAACAATTGGAGCGAGAATGTGAAGATCTCCGTGTGAACAATCGCGGTCTTATGGCCAAAGTTGCTTTTCTGGATCAACAGTCGCGGTCCTCCAATATCGAGATCCAGTGTGTTCCTGAGCACAAGCAGGAGAACTTAATGAACATCGTGCAACAGTTGGGAAGAACAATAAAGTGTGCTATCGGCGAGAATAGTATCCAACACTGTTCGAGAATGGCTAAATTAAACAGCACTAGTCCCCGTCCCCGGTCTATACTCGTAAGATTCAATAGCCAACGCCTTCGTGACGAGTTCCTGGCATGTACAACCAAGTTCAACAAAAGCAACCAGAATGACAAACTGAATACTAGTCACCTAGGTATCGGTGGAAATAAGAAA